AGTCCATTTTTCTAGAAATTCGTCATCTTTTTCGACCTTATTTCATGATTTTATATTTGGCGCCACCCCTCGCCCATTGAAATTTTGATTATATATAGAATATGGTATATATAAAATATTTCAGCAAACATATTTGTGGACGAGGGGTGGCGCCACTGTTAATTTTTTCAGAAAACTGACTTAATTATCCAAATTATTCCAAAATCCAGGCGTTCTCAAATTCCCCTACATGTATGACGTCACAAATACATCACTTATGACGTAATATGTGAAAAATGTTTTATAATTGAATTTATTGGACATTTTAACATATGCTTTCGTATAATTTTCACACATCATCGTAGTCGAAAAATTTCAGGTTTTTAGGGCCTAAATTATGAGTTAGTGAACCAACTCCTTGTAGAAATTTTTTTATATCTCCTTCTAAAAGCATAGAACAAAGCATAGAACAAACGAGATAGTATAGTAATATTTATTTTCTGATTCAATTTATAGCATTCTTTTCAAAATCGTGCCATTTCCATACAAATCTTCCGTTTAATTTATATTACAAAAAGAATTACTTTTTTAAAAAGCTAAACATTTGGGTTAATTTGAATAAAACGATAAGATAAAACATGAATGAACAGTAATTTGCAGCTGAAAGAAATAATATCAAATAAACATTCACTTTTTTCAGATTGATAGAGGATATCAATCGGAACCTATAGAATATATATTTCCTGTTTTTTTGGCTTGCCTTTGTTGTTACTGGCAATTAGGATTATTTGCTATGTTTGCGGAAAGTTCAAACAGTGCTTTGTTATCAGAAAATATCTTAACAAATTAGACCACGGGTTATATACTATAATACATGTATCATACAAATCTTTCACAGTCCAATTTCTATTTCAATGAAAAAGCACAAAAATGTAAATGTATTAAGCTATGAGAAAATGAATGAAGACATGAGTCCATTTATAGAACGAAGGGTCAAAACATGAGGAATTTGTCTAGTGTCAGGGCAATATATGGTTTGCCATGTGGTACGTCTATAAATAATTGTGTGTATCCATTAATGACAGTAAGTCGACCCATAGAATGTCTATTTGTTTGATGACTGGTTGCCGTCTAATTTAGGTGTACGCAACATCATGAGAGATTTATCCATCTGAAAAAATTTAGTTTGTCACATCGTGACAAGTTATCGTAACAATATATGAATAAATGCACAAACGTTATTACCGTTTGCGAGTATCTTTTATTATGATATGGACTATTTTGTATAGTATTTTATGTTTGACATATTTACGCGTTTTGCAATGATTAAGTCATTATATGCTAAGGTATGTATAAATCAATCATTGCAAAAAAAAATCTCACAACGGACGAATTGCATGCATCAAACATGTATGTTTCACTGTATTTTTAAAGTAATGGCGTATTTATTCTTGAGATAACTTCTCTTATGTGTGCCACATCATACTCTCAGTTGTAGGCCAGTTTGTCCATCTATTCTTGGCCCCCATTCCTATACATCCACGTTTAATTTTTCATTTTCCAAACATATATGGGGAGCGGGATCAATATACCGTTATTTACATATCAGACCGTACTGGTTACCGGAACTTTCGATACACCAAACCAGGTACTTCATATCTGAGAATCAGGCAATATATGCCCTAAATTTTCGAATTCATTTATACACTTTTGTATTATTTAAAATTATCAGGCAATATGTGTTCTACAAGGATCACCAGTCCTTCACCTATCATCTGATACCTTAATTACTAAAATATATTCTACATAGTTTGATATTTACACATATACGTAAGAACTATTTTGTTTTAAAAAATTTCCTACTTTCCGGTATGTTCTTTTTTGACTGGGCCCGATTTGGAGGTGTAACATCTTACATAGTCTATCCGAATCATTTTGCAAAGAAATCTGCTCAAACCGTTGCTAGAGGCCGAAGTGACTAGGAGATGAAGAACAGCAACAAAGACACTGTTCCTTTGCTTTTTGAGTGTTTTGTGATTTTGTGTCATGGATGAATAAACCATAACCTTATGTTTTTCCAAATGGCATCCAAGTGAATGTTATGCTGCAGATGATTTGCTGCAAATAAATGTGAAAAGGGTTTGAAAGGAATAGTTAAAACTTTTCCTTTTAATGCTTATCTAGCTTAATGGTGAAACGAGTCATTTCTATCATGTATCTCACTATAGAAAGGATATCATGTGGCAGGTGCATTCGACTCCAATCAAAATTGACTAGGAGTATCAGTTTTCCTATCGAAGGTTGGTTGTTCTCTCCGGGAACTCAGGTTTCCTCCACCAATAAAAACTGACTGCCATGAAATAACACAATAATGCTGAAAGTGGTGTTATGAATCATCTCTCTTCCTATTCTGTTTAATAATGATTAGTGCAATCCCCTTTTTGTTCACATAATCCATACCTACCATCATAATAACTATGCTACGTTTTATCTCGCAGGCAAATGACAAAAGAGTACAGGGACATTTCGAAGAAGCCAGAAAGAAAAATCGTCTAGATTTATGCATGATTATTTCCACAGTTGTTTTCGTAATAGATGGTGCTATCGACGTAACACTTTTATATTCACGGCAATAACTTATATCGTTGTAACTAAATCATCCGTATGTTAACTTTGACATGTTTCTTTAGATACTAGAAAAAGTATAAAAAGATATTCTACAAGACAATGTTTTATTAGAATTGCTATACTGAATTTAATCTAACAGTCAGACGAAGGAAATAGATACATTTGGATCTTTTTGTTACTTCGTTTTGCAGTAAAACCATTGAGAAAAGGAGAGCAAAATATACTTGCGTCAAAAGATGATAAAAAATATGTGACGTACGGATGAAAACTCAAAACATTTACAAAAAATTACGTTCTCAGAACAGAAAAGAAATATATGAATATTTTAAGTGGTGATTTTCAAACTTCTTTAGTTCCATAGTCATTTTATTAATATTCTGGTTAAAACAGTAAATAAAAGATCGATAATTTACACCACATACATTTCCAATTCACACAAAATTTCATGGGAATAAGACTTTGATTACAGCACTTTGAAAATATTACGGATGAGAGCACTTATATATTTTTCAACTACGTACAATATCACGTAGATGATAGATTTATAAAGGAACGTAATTCGTTGATACTGAGGTGATCCTGACTACTGTGCTCCTATCAGAGTTTAAAAAAAGAATATTTTATGTCCCTTTTGTAATAAACATCATAATGTTGTTACATCCATTACTCTCATAATGTTCGCTGTGAGCGTTCTTGATGGTAATTCCAGAAAAAAACTTCGGACACACGAATTTTTTTTTTTTATTTTTTCATCTTTGAGTATTTATTTGTAATACTTACATCAACATTCAATTTTGCTTGAACCAGTTGATTTGAAATAATAAATTAAACATGTTAAAGACGGGTCAGCTGGTATTTTCAAATACTTCGGCCTTCGGTAGTGCTGAAGAGACATTAATTATCAAAATGTCATCTGAACCCGTAAATTTGGTACTGTTAAATAGTAACATTTCTGTTTCAGAAATAATATGGTGGTGTAGTACATGGAATGGAAAAATCATAATTGTGGTTAAAGACAATGTATATCAAAGGCACATGGGTTATCTATGTCTTCTAGAAAGCTTTACAGTAATTTGCTTATCAGTGTTTCTCTTCTTCTATTGAAGTTCATTCACATTTCTGACAGAATTGCAATTAGTTTCATTAAATCAAACTATTTTGGAAAGAATTCCGCTCAAATCGGTGCTAAGGGCCTTCTTAAACTTGCAGTAAGGTGACAGGTTTTTTTTTGCTCCGTGTTTAATGCCTCAATGTGACTTTAAGATGAATAACAGCAATAAAAGCGCTGTTCCTTTGATTTTTGTGTTTTGTTTTATTTCCATTTTTTTCTATTATTCAATTCTTCAGATATTTTATCAATCAGCTGTAAAAGAAATAGTCAAGTCATTAAGTAATTATCGGAAAGTGGAAAGGAAAGCATACTTACAATCATATTTGATCAGTACGTTCCAGATATAATAAATTGCGTTATAAACATATTTAATATTAAGATTTGTATAAAAATTATAGAACGTGTTTTGTAGTTTTTCATTGATGAAGACCGTACGGTAACCTATAATTGTTTACATCCAAGTCATTTGGACTCTGATGGATAGTTTTTCATTGACAAACACACTACATAGTCTTTTTTGCCTGCGTCGCCGAAGGCAGAAGCAGGTCTAGTAACCGCTTGACTCCGTCCTTATGAATAAAAATATGGTCTGCAGCTTGATATTGTTGAGATCAAGCGAATAAGCATGTTTTACATCTGCCGTGTGTTCACTTCCTGTTTGACAATAGTTTGAGATTTTACGACACTCATTGTACAAGGAAACTTTACGTCAAAGTTTTCTCGGATCCTATTCAGTGAAGGGAATGGTTTAATATTTTGTTTCCAGCTTAATAATATTGAGTTGTAGCTAGTAAGCAATTTTTAACATCTGTGCCAAGTAAGCACTTCCTTTTTGTCGATAATGTGAAATTGAACAACACTCATCGTACAAGGAACATTTTTGTGAAGTTTTTTTCGTGAAAGGGAAAAAATATGCTATGCTCCAGTTTACATATTACCTCAATCAACTGCATGCAGCGACGCATGTCCGGATCCGGTATTGGTCTTGTTTGACAGATAGGTGAAAAACAATATGTGTTGTTGAACATATATACGATGCAGACATAAAAGGAAATATAAAAGGTTTCATAAATTTTACAATTCATCAATTTAAGAACCAAATACATACTGAATGTTGTCAACTACGAGCTTTACCTCGGTGCAAAAAGTAGAAAAATTAATATGAAGTAAAACAGACGTAGAGTATACGACAATGAGACAGCAACTCTATAAAAAAGCATACAAAAGACATCTAGATGGCAACATACAACGTATACGTAAGGTAGTGATACTGACAAAAATCTAATTGAGCTTGGTTTTATTACAGAAAGAGGTATCTGCATTATAAGAGCAGCTATCTCAGGATATTTTATGTGTTTTTACTTTTTGGATAGATAAAAGATGACTGAAATTATTCCACAAATACACGATGAAACTATCCAAGTCAAGGTCCAACGATTATATGTTCTTGCTGTATCATAATCACCTCGTGCTCTTGCTTTGGATGCCTACAAAAACAAAAAAGATTAATGCAGTTTGTAGTTAGTGAGAAAACGTGTAAAAGCAACAATGACGAGCAAGACAAGATCTATCAATAATTGAATTACCATAAATAATCAATTGACTCCTGACAGGAGTTAGTGCTCTTATATGACATTCTTTTTAACCATTTATCTATTGTCTAGAACACAACAAAATATAGAGAGAAACCTTAAGATAAAGAAAATCAGATAGAAAGGAGGAACAAACATGTCAATAGACGGAAATCTTTGGTGATCTTCTAAGTGTAGTTAGTGCCCTGCAATAATAATATTTACCCCTTTTTTGTGTTTTGGTTGATAATATAGTCAATATAGAGAAATTGAAAACAGCTAAAACGATTACAAGGTTCTTTTTCGTTTTAATCGTAACATGTTACCTTGTCTGCACTCTAAATTTCAAATTTTAAATATTTAGTTTATGAATAGAACGCAATCAGGAGGAAATCGTAAGAAAGGAACTGATTAAAATAACTTTTGGTCATCTTTTCTCAGTTTTCATTGAATTTACATTATTCAATGAACACAAATCATAAAACGAATTAATGGTTGAAAGCTATATGTGAGTAAAATGGATAATCTATTGTTTAACAACCATACAATAAAATACTTTTTTTTCATCCTAGATTCTTTAATTCTAAATGATCATACGTCAATCATTCAACACTTACTTTTCTGGCATAAGAGATGGCAAGCAAACCTGATGGCAAGAAGCAACAAAGACATACAAAAATGGCTAGACAAAGATAATTGAAATCTTCTGGTGGAGATTCATCCTTCCTCTGTGTCTAAAAAAATCAAAATCTGCTGTAGAAGATATAAGATAAACAAAATAAAACTTAAGAAATCGCATAAATTCCAAAAAGGACTTTGTATCTACGATTGCAATATTTGTCAAACATGCTCTGTTTAATAAGACAATGTAATATACTTTTCAATTGAAAGGGGAATAGTAGTAAAACGCGTAGAAAAATCGAAAGTTTTTATATTACTGCAAAATCGTAAAGATTGTGAATAGGATTTTGTATTAGATCTTTAGAATTTTGAAGAATCCATATCGTATTGACAATACTGGCTGAATATACCTCATTACAACATTTCTAAAGGCCATGTTTTAATTCAAAAAGAATGTTGGTAAAAACGATGTTAAGTCGAAAATCCTGACCGTCCAGCTATATATCGTTCTTTTGATTTATGTGATGTTTAGGTATATTTATAAAGAAGGCAGATTTTCATCGTCCTCTTTATGTTATTACAAAGCAGATAAAAGACATCAAAAGTGCCGAATTTAAGAAGACAGACAAGTTAAAGTCATTGTTTCAAACGTTTCCAGACACCAAAATAAGGGGAATATCTGTGTCACAGATGTCCACGGTTATATTCCAAAAGTCGTACCCACATTGCAGTCCTTTTTTCCTGGATTTTGACATCACCGAATGAGACTTATCACGAATTTTGTGCTACTACTGAGCAACACGACGGGTGTTACATGTGGAACAGGGCCAACACCGGCAATCAGTCTAAGATTTGTAGGTGTTTGTGTTTTTAGTATAAAATAAGGATATGTGGTATGATTGCAAACGAGACTATTATCTACAAAAAGTAAAATTACAAAAATACTGAACTCCGAGGAAAATTTAAAAAGGAAAGTCCAAAAAACATGACAGACGGCGACCAACCACAACCACTAAATAACAGGCTCCTGACTTAGGACAGACACATGTAGAATGTGGTGGGATTACAAATTCTTGTAAGCTCTCAACCCTGCTCCTAACCTGGGACATTTGTGTAGCAGCCCAAAATACGAAAAAACTGTCTTTAGTTTTTCTATGTCATGTTTTGTAGGTTTTTAGTGATCCTTCCGTCGTATTCCGTTTTTTGCCATGGTGTTGTCTGATTTTTTTCCGACGTAAATTTTGATTGTACGATTGGTATCATCCGCCTCTTTTAAGTCCTCCTTTTTTAGTTTTATTGAAAAAGACAAGTGCGAGTTCTTACATGATAAGCGGCACAGAAACCAACGTGTACATGTGTATGGATATCAATTGACTATGCAAATTGAAATTAAACTCATTAAGCAGACAGAACAGAAACAAGGACGGACAATATCATAATTAATTATCAGTGCTGAACATGATTAAGTAAACTTATAAATTATTAACTTAGGATTTGAAACCATTTCAGATGTGCATAAATTTTTCTAGTTCTTTAAAATTACACTTCTTTTGAGATGTAGTTTGAAAACCCTTTATGCTTTACCATGAATTTATAAGTAAAAAATCATACAATACCATTGAAGATATATTAAAAAATAACTTACCAGTAAACACCAGAAAAAAACTTTATATCGAACAAAACAAACGTCGTTTAAAACCTGAGATGACTTTTTATACTATACAATATTTGCTTTAGTGGATTCGTGACATTATACTCATCTATATCTATTTTATATGAGGGGGACAGGGGTCACTGATTTTCACCCTAAGTCACGCTTTCTTCCTCCTACTACCATTTCCTTCCCTCTACTTCCACTTCCCTCACCCTTATTCCCAGACAAAAATCGGTCAAAAAGATTTTCCAGCATATCCCTTTTTCACTCAACCCCCCTCTTCTTCGGCCGGTTCCTATCGTCTGAATCGCACTTCCCCCCTGACTCCCGCTTCAAGTCCCCTGATTCCAATGTACACTTACCCCTATCAACCCTCTTATGTACAATTCACTAACCTTGGTAGCAGAAATCCTTTGATACTCAGGTTCATATGGAACGAAAGAAGCTGATGACGTTGGTTTATCTACCAAAACTGGAACGCTTTTGTTTGTTGGCAAAACATCTGTTGCAACACATATATGCTCAACTGAAGTATATGGAGGTGGTGTATCTACTTCAGGATTTACCATTGATGTAACTATGTTGTTGGCAGAAGAAGATTCAGGTCTGGCAAACTGTTGATTTTCCAGTAAAGTATGTGACGGTTGTTTATCGCCATCTTCTTCGTGATATATTGATGATTTATCAGGTTCATCTGGCTGGACTTCGGCTGGTGGATATGGCTGGGACCGATGTTCTTTCAGTGGAATTTGACTGTAGGTTGAACACTCCGCTGCAAAAATTAAAACTATAATTACATACAAGGATCTTACTCATCAAAAGGATTATAAAGGGTATAAAAAGGGACAAGTAAAATTAAGCTACAAAATCGTAAAGTAATTTTACAGAAATATTTTAGAATCATAATAAACATATTTTACATACATTTTAGTTTTCATTAACACCACTCATGATTGACTGGTTGATTGATTATTGGTAATTACTTCCCCTTTCAGCAACCTTGACTTTATTATGGCGGCCAGTTTGTATTAGTGGAGAGAACTACCAGCTAATGCTAATAAAACTTGCAATCCTAGTCAATTAATATCGGAGTCGAACAAACCTTCCACGAGCGGAGTTCGACCTCATTACCTCAGTGTTGACATGCTAGTGTTAATTGTAGATGAACTACTTAGATCACTTGGCCACCGAGTTTCTCCCCACTCTTTTAAGTCTTTTTGAATTATTCATGGCACTTGGTTACAGATATATACGAGAAAGGCACATAATGTGGTGGTGTTAGTTAGGTTAAACGTGCGCACAAATCTCACCATTCCCTTATCTAGGCTATAAACTTTGGCCTTCGAATTCTGAAATGACCTATTAAAAGAGTCCTGAGTATTTTATCATGCAAACAATATTTTGGCTAAAAGCATTTTTTATCTGTTATCTTATATATATTAAATCCTTAGAAGATATCTTAACAGCAAAAACTTTCAGGAACAAGATTTGCAAGAATGCTTAATGGAACAATATATTGACTTCTTATAGGAGTTACGGTCATCAAATGAGGATTTTACGGGTTTTTGTGTTTTGTTTTTTTTGTATTGTATCATAAAACTATTATTGATAGCTGTAAAGTGTAAAAATTATCAGAAAAAATAGATTTTAATCAATTGTAATGATTCAAAACTATAAATTGTCCCATTTTAGTAGTTATTTGCCGTAAATGAAAATTTTTACCAATATAAGCACTATTTATTAAACCACAATAGATGGCCAAAAATACAAAGATATGCAAATAGATTATATGACTGAGATCATCAAATGTCTCCTAATAAGGTTGCTGACCTGAAATAAAGATATCTGACCTATTTCCGCGTTTTATAATATTACCTTCACAACGTTATTTGTTAGATAAAACAATAACAGCAAAATTATCCACAATACAGATCTCCAAAAAGGCCAAAATATGACTGAAAAATATCAGCTGTTTCCTTAAAGCAGTTATTTCCCATAAATGACGATTGTTTGACAATTTCATCATCATCATGAAGGTAAAGATAGCCAAACAAATAACAGTTTTCGGTAGACGTCAAACTGACACTAACCTAGCAACAAAGAGTCAACTTTTGTCACGTTCTATAAATGTAGCACATCCGATTCCAAAAAAATTAAGGCAAGCAAAAAAAGTGAAAAGTGGTCCCACATAGGGTTAACCGTATAAATTAAAAGCCATCCAAGATGTACACAAATGTCTTTTTGATTTAATGATTGACTGGTTCCTTATAAAAGTTCTTTCCTTAGACTACTTTTTTGTATCAACCGTTTGATGCATGCATAGCATTAATGACTTACGCTTTCGACGTACCAGGTCTCGCCCCTGATGGAGTTTAAGCGATTTCCTCCGTTTTACCTTGATTTAAAATAAAATTGAGAATGAAAATGGGGAATGTGTCAAAGAGACAACAACCCGACCATAGAACAGACAACAGCAGAAGGTCACCAACAGGTCTTCAATGCAGCGAGAAATTCCCGCACCCGGAGGCGTCCTTCAGCTGGCCCCTAAACAAATATATATACTAGTTCAGTGATAATGAACGCCATACTAAACTCCAAATTGTACACAAGAAACTAAAATTAAAAATAATACAAGACTACCAAAGGCTAGAGGCTCCTGACTTGGAACAGGCGCAAAAATGCGGCGGGGTTAAACATGTTTATGAGATCTCAACCCTCCCCCTATACCTCTAGCCAATGTAGAAAAGTAAACGCATAACAATACGCACATTAAAATTGTCTTCTTTGTCGCTTTGTGAGATTAGAACATAGATAAACTACTTCTTTTACTTGTCAATTATAGTGTAACGTATTTCCGATAGAGAAAAACTGTAAACAGAACAAATAATAAACTGACAAGATATACAATGAAGATACAAAAACAAAATTAATAGTTGACTGGTTTGGCCATTATTCGTTTAAAAGATCTTAGATAATGACTAACACAAGACATATCTATAGAGACTTGGTGGAAATTTTTTGTATGATTGAAAAAAAAATCTTGTCAATTTGTAAACGTTCGATTTACTTTAAAAAGAAAAATCTGGTATAAAATCACCAGTCACCAATAAATGTTAGATTTTTCATAGTCCTTCATTGAATAGATTTATGCAAATATGTCGTAGTCCGTCCGTCCGTCAGTATGTCAACAGATCGAACGATAACTCAAATGTACCATACCCAATTGAAATTCAATTACTACACATCATTTCAATTGGCGAAGGAAAGCTTCTTTTCAATTCTGGAATTGTTTTTGTTAACCGCTTTATGGTTACGAGACTTTAATCGTGAATTAAATGATTTTATTCACATATCACACTCTAATTCGAGTTTGATTTGATTTATTTACCTAAAACTGTATGTTGTTGTTTGGATTGATCAAAGAAAGCTCGATTTTCATATATTTTTGGTTCAGAGTTAGAAGACATTAACCGTCAGGTTAAATGCGATTTTCCACGTATTGTACACTTACAAGAGTATGCTTAAAATCATTTGCTCAAAACTTTATGCTGTAATTCGCATTGATTAGAATTGGTTTAGATTTACTTAAAACTTTAAACAGTCATTGGTATTAGTACAATTAAGGTACATTTTTATGTTGAATTTTTTTTTGCTTGTTTTTACAGAGTTATTGGACTCTAACCTCCATATTTATACTCTAGTATGCTTGGATCAAAAACAACAAACTTTACACTGGTGCTTGTATTGGTGAATGTGGACTCGCTTTCGATATCGAAAATTTTATGATCCGATATTCCAGAGTTGTTGGACTTTTTACAGTGATATTTTATGCAATATTTATATGCCAGGGATATCGTCTTGCAACTTTTTTTGCGAGGGTTAGTTTACTGATTATAAGATAAAACACATTCTACAATCTATTAGTATGCAAGCTGGAGCGATTACTTCACAAACTGAATAAAAGTCATTCGGACTTTTATGTGAAGTTTGTGTGTCATCGACCCAGTGAACACATCAACTGCACAATTGACATTTAACTACAGATTGAGCCACTATATTGACTGGCTGGAATTCATAAATGTTCGAATAATGCAATGAAATCGATAATGAAACAACATCTACCTCAGAAACTCAATTTTAATGAGTTATTATTCGAATTTCATTCGTACCAATAACGGAATAACCTCCAGCTTGAAAGTTTAACTTGTATGTCGACATGACATAAAAGCACCATGATCATTCATGGGGAATTTCTCGGAATTTTATTTTATTATAAATTTATACATTTTTCTAAGCTTTAATGTGTTATTTCTTTTTGCGGGCATTTAAACAGGAATAACAGTTATGTAGTGTTTTTTTTATCAATATTTCAATTTTCTTAGAACCCTAGTATCCTATGCATGTGTATCGGGCATGAATAAGTTCCAAAAGAAGTTTCGGCAACATCGACCGAAGTGTAAAGCTATGGGGAAAGTTCTAACGGACCAGTCCCATTTAAGTATTTGAAGATATGCAAATCACTTAAAGTAAAAATTTTATCGGATTTAAAGCTTTCTAAATGTAAACGGTATATGCTTTAGTTTAGAAATTTTGGTTTAGAATTGCTGGATCAATTCACCTTTTAATATTATTTCAACAACGAACTCAGATTTAAACAATTAGGGAAAGGTGATTAGCTTACTCGTTTTAGACATCTACATATTGTAGAATATCCCAACAATTTGGGTTTGTTCATAGACGAATTAGACAAGATTAGTAATTTTGAAGAAAAAAATTATCTATTCGGCAATATGAATAAATAAAATGGTGAAATCTCATATAAACATGCTTAAGTCGGCCTATTACCTGTTTTCTCTCGTTTGCATCAAGATCTATCGTAAAAAGAAAGAGAGCAGCTGATGAAGTATAAAAATTGTCACACTTACCACATATATCACTGTTGACAAATCATTAGAAAAATACTTACCCATTATACCAACATTTGTACGTCAAGCCAGTCAAAAAGTTGAGGGGGTAAACAGATATATCCTTCTCTGGCGGTAAAATATAAAATTACATATTATTCTTTTTTTCACCCTCCTGACCCGAATTTGTGATATTTTCTGTTAATGGTTTGTTTTCAATAGGCTTTAATACTAACCTATCCCTCTAAATTCTAAGGCTTTTTTCGTAACTTCCGTGTTTTAACTTCAGAGAATGAAATTATATAACACACCTAAGATATTTTACCTTGAGCACTTGATAATTTTATTAGAAAATTAAAACATCAATGATTACAATACGGGAACAAAGAAGACCGATTGTCCTGTAATAAATCGGTATATTCTGACAAGATCGTTGTGAACATATTCCTTTTTGTGAATTTTGATCAAATTTGACAAACTGTATTTTGAACCAAATATTTATTTTTATGATGCACCCTTTCGAATTGTTGTAAATTGTTCATGTTAAAATGATATTTTTTCAAAATAGATCCAATAGTTAATTCGAAATTTTTAACTCACCTGGCTTAAAGACTAAACGTCCGTCGTCTGTCTTCTGTTACCTTTTACAAAGATCATCTCCTCTGAAACTACCGGGCCAAATTTAACCAAACTTGGCCACAGTCATTACTTGGGTATCTAGTTTAAACAAATTGATCTGATTACCTCGCTGGCCGTAAAACATGGCCGTCATACGGGTAAAATGCAATATTGACTATTATCTTGAAAACTGCTATAGGTAGAGAAAATCTGACATGGTCAGAAATGTTCAAAATGGTGAGATCTACCTCATGATATTTCTATATGTATATACCACAACTATCTGACGACTTTTTATAGGAGTTATTTCCCTTAAATTATCTTGAAAATTATAAAAGATAGACAGAAACTTTTAATATTAAAACTGATCAACAAGACCAGATTTACAAATAAATCAACATGATCGGAATCGTCAGTCAGCACCTTATTGAAGTTAATTTCCTTGAATGACAAGTTTTACCATTTTTTTTAAATTTTGCCTATTATTTTGAAAACTATAATAGATAGATAGAAACTTTAAATAGCAAAAACATTATCAGCAATATAATATCTATAAATAATGCATCAAAGCCGACATCTTCAGTTGACCAGTTATAATGTGAACTGATTGACAGTTTGGTCTTAGATACATGTTTTTTTTTATTAGTTGTTATTGGCTTTGAACTAGCTGTCAGTAACTATGAGTACTCTCAGATCTATACTCAATGTCCTTTTTGTTGTTAGGGATGAGGGATGGATAAATACTCTGCATAAATATATAAAATATATAAAGAATAGAGATAAATCATTGCTTAAAAAGTTAACGAATGTAGAATTGAGGGTCCCCCATCCAGACCCTCTTATATCAAAGGATGCAAAAACATCATAGGTAGACCATAACATCATACTTATGACTACAGTTCTAACTTTTTAATTGTAATTCGATCTTCATCAAAACACATTTGAATCTATCAAAGTAAGCCGTATACATTTATAATCAATTAATACAGTTTTGAAAATAAAAGCAGATTTTGTTTCAAAGCTTATGTATTACACGTATGACAGTGATCTACAAATATCTTGATTTTTATGATGAAAGGTGTTATTATTTCTTTTAATATTAACATCCATCAGACTTCTATACACGAATACAACCACGAACGCATTCGAATCAACAAGCAACATACGGGTTCTTTTTCAAAGCTTATATGATATGACAGTGATCAACAAATGTCTTGATTGTTATGGTGACAGATATTATTTCGTTTAATACTAGCGATCATTAGACTTCTATACACGAATACAACCATGAACGCATCCGAATCAACAAGTACTTAACGTCAAATTGAATTCCATATATCACTATTTAATGTGGCTTTATCTATTTCGGTATTAAACATTTGTTGTCTGGTTATACTGTACAAGGATAAGAAAATTAAAGAGAAGCGAATCAATATGCTGACAATATGTTTGAGTGTTAGCGATTCAGCAACAGGATTGGTGTGTGCAGCATTGAGTATTAAAATTATTTATATGAGATTGACATTAAAAAATTCGCCACCATTCTGTTACATCGGAATATCAATGGTTGATTCGACATTTCTCTTTTCAATAATTCAAAATCTTTGGATTTGCATTGAACGTTTAATAGCCACATTTCCAACTGTACAAAATCCTTTTCGTAAGATATCAGTCGTTGCTATGACAATTGGAATTTACGTTGTCTCCTTTGTCGTTTGTTTTATTTTCTGTTCATGCTGTTATGTTTTTGGAAATGTTTGGTCAGAGTCGGCATGTTTTCTGCATTCATTCTTAGGACAGGACAGAACAGATTACTCGCGCTAAGTCTATTTCAGTCAACATATTTAACATTGGTTTCTGCAATCATTATTATATATATATATAGGAGTTGTAGTTCGCATATACAGATCTTGGCTGCGTACAAGTCCAACCATCGAGACTAATAGAGTACGAATGGAACAAGTCAATCGAAGAGGTAACCATTCCACACATGTTACACCTATACAATCGGACAGTCCTCCAGTCGAACCTCAATTTAACTTCGTTGGTTTGTCGGTGCAAACAGTATCTAGCAGGCAACAAGCCATTCGAAGAACTAACCATGCTTCCGGGATAACACCTATTCAATTGGACACACATTCGGTCAGTACTGAACCAAACACCACTGGTCAGTCTTCTTCAATGCCGAAATCATTCTCAAATATTGGACTTTTAAAAACAGTGATTACAGTAGGGATACTCATATTAAATTTGCGTATGTCAATGATGCCTAAATTATACTTGGTTTTGCAATTATCTGAAATCTCTTGAATGAAAAACTTATCGGAGCTTTGGCAATTTCTGATTTGTGACTTTTCCTGAATTCACTGTTAGATCCAGTGGTATATGTTCTGAGAATTTGATCATTTCGTCAACGTATAAAATGTTCTAGTCACTAAAATTATATATGTATTACCCTCTCACAGGAGATGGTATTAAGAGTTGAGCGATACACAGTTTTCGAAGTGAATGCTGTCTGCTATCTAATTCGAAGATATTACGGAATCAAGTACGTATTCAAATAATTTGTATAACGCACTGTCTGTGTTTTTTTTTATGTTTTTGTTTGTATCGATCTGATGAGTCAAGCCTTTTTCAACTGGTTTTTATAGTGTGTTCTTATGTTGTGCTGTAACCCCAATGTCCCAGATTAGGGAGGGTTGAGTGCTCATAAAAATGTTAACCATGTCACATTCTTTATGTGCCTGCCCCAAGGCAGGAGCCTGTAGTTCAGTGGTTGTCAGTGGTTCACGTCTGTCATATTTGATTTTCATAATTTTTTTGGTTATAAAATAGGCCGTTAATTGAACTGACTGAAAATACAGGAAAATAGTTTGTGGCTATCTCAGTATTGACAGTTTAGTGATAAGTGTAGATAAATTTGACCACACTGCAACCATTCAACTCCGGGGAAAGGACATATTGACAAACCATCAGAAAGTTTACTACGTAAAGTATAACTAGATTAATAGCAAGACATCGATACTTATCTTATTTAAATCGGACGGCTCAACTTAAACTGCAGAAAAAAAATAACCATTTGTCACATCAGTAATATTTTATTCTTGATAGCCAGGGATAAAATATAAGATTTGAACGATTAATTCTATTTACAGATAATGAAAATATTCATGCTATTTCATTGAACGGTCACCTTAAATTAAGTATTTTTATGATTTCATCATCAAAGCAGCATGGACATGCAAATTATTCTCAATTTGCAATCGATGATGAGAACAGCAAATATATGCTAAGAATATCAGGATATGGTGGTTCACCTGGTAGGTTTATGCTTTATAATTATATTTTCATAAACGCTTTCTGTTTTGTATTCTAGTGCTTTTATAAAACTGTCAAAATTCCACTGCAATAATAGAATAATGACCCCTTTTAACTTATTTAACAAAATTTCAAGATTGAATGTATTTTGCTCAATTTGATCAGTTTCTATATATATAAATGTTTTGCTTGTAGGCCATGATTTAGCTAGCTATAAAACCTGATTAAACCCATCATTTTCTGTACTAAGGAATACAGTTTTTTTCCATTCGTTCCGTTGGTTGGTGTAGTAGAGTGTATGATTTTTTTTTAGGTCTTATGGACTTCCCCCTTTTTGAATTTACCTTGCAGTTCGGTATTTTGTTTAAACGTTTTCCATTAAAACATTTAAAAAAAACGAAATCATATTTTCTGTCAGATACAAATTTAAGTTTTGTATTGCAGATGATCTTCGATGCAAAACTTTATAACAACGTTAAAGTAGCAATATTGTAGAACAATACTTTATAGTATTGAATATCAGTTCGGACAAATCGTACACAAGAAAATGACCACACAGAAACTAAAAACTTATAAGAATAAAGACCTAGCACATGTTCGGTAAACTAAGGCAACTTGATACAAAAATATTTCGATTTTTAATGAAACAACAAGTAAGTAACAATTAATAAATAACTTAAAGGTAAACACATTATCCTGAAATATATACATGTATATCGTTTAATAATATGCATGCATTTAAAGTTCAATTTGACAACGGTGCCGATGTACACATAGTCCGTGGACTCATTTTCCACACCTCAAGCAAACAGTTTTGGATCGTTTACGGCCTTTAACAGTCGAACAGACGACACAGTTTTTTTTCGCGTTTACCAGGTAACCTAGATGTAAGGTAACATTGGGCATTGCATTTTCAATTCTCTCTAAGCCACCACGATCACGGTGTTGTCTATGTTCATTTGCAAGCGATTCAATGATACACAATGAATTCATATATCGTGATATTTGCTGGTTTTCGTCAGTATAATATTTATACACTATATAGGCATTGAGAAGCATCCTGTGAAACATATTAATAGCGACTCTTTTTCACATGGTTTTTGTTTTCCTTTTATCTTCATATATACCACACATCATATATCGTTAAAATCAATTTCCCCCATTTTTTGATTATAGCTAATAGCAAGGCTTGGTTTTTCATTTTGGTTGTGTATACCGTTATGAAGTGTAGACACAAAACGTACAACTTTTCTATTTGGTCTCTCTCGAAATGCACAACATAATAGCGGACTTCGTCTGGCGAACACAGTCAGACTGATTAGCTTTAGGGTTTGCCTCTTTGATTAATCTGGGTAAATGTCTATTTTTACGGATGGTACCAGTTAGATAGGTGTTTGTAGTATACAAACGACTAGCAAGTGATATCGAAGTAAAAAAATTATCACAAAAGACATGATACCATTTACCTAAGAGACCGGCGGATCTCAATAATTTGAACTTGCGTCTCATTATTTGGGATAGGATCATACCGTTTTTCCCTATACGGTAGAAAATGGATAATATATCCTGTGGCAGCCTCTACCAACATCCAAAGCTTAATACCAAACTTGCTACTCTTCGATGGTATGTATTGAGTCATGACAGTTCTTGCTTTAGTACCTATTAAAGATTCATCAATTGAAAGTTCTCGTTTTGGGGTAAGATGCCGCTTAAAAACCATATTAGCATGTTCGACTATCGGCTTGAACCATGCGGACGGGTCGGAAAACTCGCTGTTTCTTTGCGGGGTGGTTTTATTGTTAACTAAATGAAGACGGTTATGAGTATGGCATGTGTTAAACACATAAAATAAAAGAGCTGACGTTCTATGTTCAGCAGTGTTCAAAACGTTCACCTGGGGTTTTGCTATTGGTTTGTAAATAACTGTTTGTACAGCGATTTTTTACGCGAAGCTTTGAAAATAAATATAAAAAGACATTAAGTTATGAAATATTTACAGAGAAACAAAATATGTAGTCCAAACTGTTGCAAGTTACCTGTTTGTTTCTCTTGTTATTCTTTTTAGAACGTTTATGGAGAACATTAGATAAAAATAGGCAATAGGTAGTGAATTTCTTGGTGGCATATTTTTTACTCCTGGAACATCACCATGAACATTGTGTGGTTGTACTGGTTCTGGACAACTTCCAAGCGAGGACCGAAGCTCATAAACTCGGCAATCAGAAGGAATCGTTAAAAGCCGATAGATCGGCTTTCGGCTTTTGGCATATATTGAAGGGTTAATAATATGGAATTTTGCGCGATATGTTAATCTGCCCTGAATATACCACGCTCGTTCTAGACCAACACGATGAGAAGGATTCTAAAGGTAAAAGGTCCATGATATATAAAGTCACAGTACCCAAATTGCAACTATTTAGCAAATATAGCAGCGGAAACCTTACGAGTTTTTTTTAGAGACTAAACAATTTTTTTTTATGATTTTACATTATGCACCTCTTTCAACATAGGTAAATATATTTAAATATACACAAAACGTTGACAGTATTTATCAACAGATGACGTATTGTTAACTGGAAAAAGTAAAATCTACGGAAACGTCGCCATGCGACGTCAACAAAAAGTCATCTTTTAAAAATGAGCAAAAAAATTATGTTAAAAGCTTCCATTTCTTAAAAAATGAATAATAAGCATGGACTAATGTCAACATGTTCTAAATATTTGAAGAAATAAAACAAAACATCTGTTATTCGATTTTTAAGGATGTGAATTTAATCATGGATGCAATTTGGGTACTCCTCATTACAGAATCATGGATCGTTTGGAGCTAAATATTACTCAATGAAACAAAATTAAAGAGTAAGTTTTCCATAATAATAACGTTTTACCCAAAGAAAATGAAAAAAGAAAATTTGCTCTCTCCAATCATGTAAAACCTAGAATCAAGTACAACTAGTATGTGTTTTCCCATGTAGACATGTTACCCATACATTACGGTTACAAAATTGTGCGAATTTCAAAGCATTTTATCTACCTTGTCTTATGAAATTTTCTCATTTCATGGTCGATTCACCAGCTCCCGAAAGAGCTACAGTAAATAAAATACAAACTACTTTTCAGTCAATTTTCCTTGACCCTAAAATTTTATACGAAACTGTTCATTGCACACAAAGGCTTTGAGAAATGAAATAATTTATAAGGGTGTCAGTATATCAAATTTGATAAAACTTTTGACTCAATATTCACAAAAAAGTTCGACTTGCTCAAAAGCAGATATTAAATCATTTCTAGGACTTATTTTTGAGCCTGGATTTAAAGTTTTAAAAGCATGACAGTTCTTATAGCATATAATAGATCATAATAGCTCTACACAATAGAAAGTTAGATCTAACATAACGATAAATGACTGACCCGTGTTAAGAGAGATCCATATATCTCTTGCACGTAAAAGACACCCTTGTAGATTTCGAAAAAGAGTAGGCTAATGCCGCTACAAGGCAGCACTTGCACCCGCAAAGTGGAAAGGGATTAAAATTTAATTTAATATAAGTTGCAAAAACTTGTTTCCCAATCCACTATAAATAAATATGTTTAAAATAAAAAAAATAAAAAATAAACATAAGGTACGAAATGTAACTCTGTAAAAGGTACGAAACTGCTCAAAAATGAATGAAGGTACGAAACTACCTGCAGTAATAATTTGAAAGTGAATTAGATCTATATAGCTTCTTTTCAAACCTCGAGAAATGCACCAGGTAAATACTGCATGCGTACAGTAAGCATAGCATGCCTTGCAAACTCAGGTCAATTGTAATTATTTCGTCCTGTCAAAGTATATGTGCTGTTAACTGTAATCTGGGAACAGTATATCTAATATATATGTTCCTGCTGTAATTGACTTATTAACTTATCTGTTATCTTTTTTCTTAAAATTGACCTGTTATTGTGAAAAAAATTGGTATCGGGTCCGTTCTCTCCCATTAAACGTTCGCACCCTACACGTTCGCCCCCTGGGTCCGTTCGCACCATATTTTTATGGAAATAATACCGTTTGAATTATTAGATGTTTTTTTTTGTATGTATATAATTTAATTTTGGATGTAACGCGTCTTCTGATTGGCTGACGTTGTTTTATTTATCAGCTCATAGACATAATTGTGTCATGTGACCATGACGTCATCAACGTTTTTTCATGGTTTACTCCAGTTTAAAATGGAATTTAGAATTAAATTATAAGAGATGACTGTAATATTTTTTTTCTGTCTATTCGAAATAACATAAAAAATGTGGTGCACACTTTAAAATAACCCGCTACGCTGGTTATTCAGTGTGCACCACATTTTTGATGTTATTTCTTCATAGACAGTCATTCCTTAAATAAAATATTCATGTTTTCATGAATAAAAATTCCGGAATTTTTAAATGTATAATAAAAATTGTTTTTTTAATGATTATTGATGATTAAATATTTAGTTATTTTGAATAATTGTTGGAATGTATGATATCATAATGAATGAAAATAAAAATCAAATATATGATTTACAGCCGATTTCAATGAGTGTGTAGCTAAAGGTAATATCTTTGGTTAGTTTGCTTGCTAGCTGAACTGTGAAGTCATTGTTAGGTAAGGTATATTACCCTCCGTTCGAAGTAGCCTAGTCCTACAGACAGATAGATTGGTCATCTGTCGGACTAGTCTACTATTAAAGGAGGATAGTTTACCTAACCTAACAATGACTTCACGGTTCAGCTAGCAAGCAAGCTAACCAAAGATATTACCTTTGCCTATACACTCATTGAAATCGGCTGTAAGTTGATCATTTTTTCAACTGAAATGCAATACACAGAGAAACCTATTTTAGAAAAATGAAGCATTAACATTGGCAAAGTTAAAATCAATTTTTTTTTATAAATATAAATATAAGATGTGGTATGATTGCCAATGAGACAACTCTCCACATTAGAGACCAAATGACACAGAAATTAACAACTACAGGTCACAGTATGGCCTTCAACAATGAGCAAAACTCATACAGTATAGTCAGCTATAAAAGACCCATAAATGACAAATGTAAAACAATTCAAACAAGAAAACTAATGTATGTACAAAATAATGGACAAAAAACAAAAAGATACAAAGCAACAAATGACATCCACTGAATTACAGGCTCCTGATTTGGGACAGGCACATACAGAATGTGGCCTTAAAACATGACCATTATTTTAGAGTTTCAGAAAAAGTTTGGAACACATGTTAATTTTGTAAATGTAAATGTATTTTGAAATATGTTATAAGAATCTCTACCTATAAAAATGGATTTTGCTGTAAACCTTTTTTAAGTTACAAGTAACAAGCCAAATTTCAAGTCTGTCAGGAGATTCACATTGCTTTGATTGCTATTATTCGATCTTTACCATCCAGATGTATTAATGCCTTGATATTTAAAACAAATGTGAACTTTTAGGTTTAAAGATAATAAAAAAAAATACCATTACAATACAAAAAAATCATCAATAATACCAGGCTTATAATTTTGTATGCCAGATGCTCGTTTAGTCTACAAAAGACTCAGTGACACTTGAATTTAAAAAGTTCAAAGGCCAAATAAAGTACGAAGTTGAAGAGCATTCAGGACTCAAAATTCTAAAAGGTATTGCCAAATACAGGTAATCTATTCCTGGGGGTAGAAAATCCTTAGTATTTCAAATTCAAAATTTTGTAAACTGTAAATTTATAGATATGAATAGACTTCTAAAAGTTGAAAAGAAATTAGATTTTTTGAGAAATTGACTTTTGATGCTCTGAAGTTATGGACTTTGATCTTCAAAAAAACATTAAAATAAGGGATTTTGATTTACATGAAATGTATGACCAGATAGTTATTTTGATATTTTAATGCCATAAATTAAGTTTGTTTTTGGTCTATTTGCATGGATATTTACTATTTTTACCAACCCAACACTTCAGATCACCAAAGTGACTTTTTGTCGAGCCTGCAAAATTTATTTCGTGAAAGCAAGGCATAGCGATCCTAGATTCCGTCGTCATCAGTGGCGGTGGCATCAACATTTAGGTTCAGTCTGTGGTTAAAGATTTTTGAGACATCAATAACTTTGTCAAACCTTCTTGGAATTTTATGAAATTTGGACAGAAGCTTGTTTATGACCAAAATACAGTTTTAAGAGCAAAATTTTGAAAATATTTATTTTCATTTTTCCATATTTTACTGATAAATGGACTTAGTTTTACAGTTAACATTCAGATTCAGTCTGAGGTCAAAGTTTTTCAGTCATCAATAACTTTGTCAAACCTTTGTGGAATTTTATGAAATTTGGACAGAAGCTTGTTTATGACCAAAATACAGCACCCAGAGCAAAATTTTGAAAATATTAATTTTCATTTTTCCGTATTTTACTGATAAATGGACTAAGTTTTTTTTACAGTTATCATTCAGATTCAGTCTGAGGTTAAAGTTTTTCCGTCATCAATAACTTTGTCAAACCTTCATTGAATTTTATGAATTTTGGACAGAAGCTTGAAGATGTCCAAAATACAGTATCCTGAGCAAAATTTTGAAAAAAAATTTATTTTCATTTTTCCATATTTTAATGATAAAGGAACTTAGTTTATTTCACAGTTAACAAGTAGATACAGTCTGAGGTTAAAGTTTGTTACACATCAGATACTTTGGCAAACCTTCATAGAATGTTATGAAACTTTAGCAGAAGCTTTTATATGATTAAGAGATAATGTCTGATGAAAAGTATTGAAAATATATTTTCATTTTCAGAATTTTTCAGATAGATTGACTAAATATTTTTTTTTGGACAGAAGTTAATCTCCAGGACCAAGAAATAGCATCTAAAGAAAAAGTTTTATTTTTTTTTTAAATTCTGTATTTTATTGATAAATGGACTCACTTTTTAAGTCAACATTACACTTTTACACTGATAGCAGCAATCGTAGGCGAGACACAGGGTTCCGCGGAACCACTTATGAATTTTTAAGTCTATTATATGTTGTCACCAACTCAGCTAAAATGGCCATAATACTAAGTTTAAGGGAGATATACTTTTCTATGTGAGAATATATATAAAATGTCTTCATTTTTATTGTAGACAATGGACTTAAATGATGTATTTGAAGAGGAAATTCTGCAGATAACAGATAAAGACGAAGACCTCCTTTGTGGCAAAGTATTTGCCAAGAATTTTAGAAATAAATGTTTTATCAAAACTAAATTTCATGATCGCTTTGTAGAAAAAATGACAATAGCAAGGATGACAAGCAGTCAGAAGCAGACATTAGTTGGCATTGAAGGACTTGGAAAGTCTTCATCTGCAATATATTATGTCCTTAGTTGTAGAAAAAAGGGGGACAATGGCATTCACTATATTGACTTAAACGTAATTGAAGCAATCGATAAAAACCTGGAAAAATTTAAGCTATTTGCAGACAGTGTGACTTGTAGTGATTGTTTAGTTGTAGATCATGTAACATTATTTAATATGCCATTAGTGAAGAAAATTGAAGAAGTAACTCAGTATACGCAAATCATTTTGATTGAGTCTGGTTTTACAGCTTGTGCACATACATCAACTGGTGTTGACTTCGGTAAAAATCTTCAGATAGATTTGAATGAGTTTAAGAAGATATGGACTGGATCCCTTTCAGTACAAACTAAGGGTTTATCACTGTTTCTTGAAGGTCATAAAGGTTCATCATTGTTTCTTGAAGGTCACAAGGTTTATCATGAATTGAAAAACCAATTAATTGTAACACCAAAACTATTGCACAGTACTTTAGATGATATGATGTTGCACAATTTAAAAACTGAAGCAGTCCTTTACTCAGCAAAATGTAGATTACGGGAAGAGATAGCTATTTTTAACCTTGATGTTAAAAATACTCAGGAAGAAAGATTCATATTAGATACAAAAACCCTCCTGGAGTTAATTAAGAATTGTGATGAAGGGTTTACCACCACAATTTTTACTTTACAAGAATTTAAGATACCAATAAATATTTTTGATGTCCAAATTAATGTGGTAACCAAGCAAGCTCTGAAGGAAAATTATAGATTATTTGAGCTTGAGCTTGAAGAAGGTGATGTTTATGTAGTTATAAGTGAATTACAACCCTCTCTTCATTCATTTTGGATTGAAAAGGTCCCTTTGAATTATAAAGAAGTGATGAGTCATACTGATAACTTTTCAAAAGATGTATTTCGTAGGATAATTTTTTATGGAGGTATGCAAATAGAGTTTGAGACAGCGCTTGTTAAATTTCAAACAGAAAATAACATTGTTTTTGTCCCTGATAGAAATGTCTTCATGGATACAAACAGTTTTGAAACATCTGGTGAATGTGCGATTAAGCAGTGTATTGGGATTATAAAGCAGAGACATGGTTTACAATGTTTGAAACCTGATCAAGATAAACTGATAGAATATTCTGATGAAAGTACCGATAGGTATGATAAACCTCTAAGGAATGTGCACAGAACAGCTCTTTTCCTGAAAGAAGAAATAAAAAAAAATAGAGATCAAACATTGCTTGTTTATCCATCTGTTCAGAATCTGGTTGGCTTCAGTTATTTCCTGTATACTGCATATACTCATTCACAATGTGGCATTAACAAAGAAACATGTAGCAGTGTTCCAGTTAAAAGAAAAAGGAATGAGGGAACTTTGTTTCTAGTACGAGTTGCAACAGGATTCTCTCACACAGGACTTACAATGCACAAAGCTTTAGAAGTGTTCCAAAATACATTAAAAGAAGTATCTCTTCATGCAGTTGTCTTGATTGCTACACACAGAAGTACCCTTTATACTTTAACGGGGAACTGTGGTTTTAAGCATCTATCAGTTGTCAACATAGGTCACCAACATTATTTGAAATATTTAAATTATTGTCTTGAGGAAGAGCATTATTTAGTTATAGATGCAATATTATCAAGCTCCGATGAAGTGAGGAATGAAAGAATCTTTTCACTTATTTAAAAGACTACCAGGAACAGTTATTGGGTCTGGCTTACTATGTTGTGCTGCAGACATAGTCACTGAGCTTTCAACAGTATCCCAAAGTACAGTATTCGTACTTGGCTTATTCAACAGAACTCTTAAGGACTTTAACTGAACACCATATCTGAAAATTTTGCATATATCATTAAAAGTGAAGAGCAGAGAAGATTTATTTATTAGATATGAGAAAGTGAATAAAATATCTATACTACTAATTAGTGTATGTATTTTGTACATAAAACTAAGGGTTTCTGAAAGATTTAGAACAAAAGAAATAGAAGAAAAAAGAAATAAAAAGTAACACATGCTATTTTTACGTTTGTACATGTTGTAAGGTGTACATGTCTGTCTGGCAGGGTTCATATGAAATAATTGTAAGTGTACATATCTAGCTGGCATGTTTCCTCTGACATTTACCTCAATTTTCATGGTTCATTGGTCAATGTTAAGTTTTTATGGTTACATGTAGGTGTTTTTCTCAGATACTATAAGCAATAAGTCAACTATGGTCATTGTGTATGGAATGATTGCATGGTGTACATGTTGTCTTGCAGGGATCATCTGACCTTGACCTACTGTTATGGTTCATTGGTCAGTGTTCAATTTTTGGTAATTAGTTCTTGTATCACAGATACTATAAGCAATAGGCTCTGTGAATTAGTCCCAGCTATGTTCATTGTATAGTATGATTGTTAGGTGTACATGTCTAACTGGCAGAGTTCATCTGTCCTTGGCCTCAATTACATTGGTCATTGATAATGTTAAGATTATGTGATACTTGTAGTAAAACCTTCATATAACAGACCTTCACATCAATCATGAAGCAGGCAAGACATTGCATCTGACCATGACCTTTTGCACATTTATTGATCAATGTAAAATTTTGTGATAAGTTAGTTTCTCAATTACAATAATAGGTCAACCCTAGAGAGGCAAAAGATACCAAAGGGACATTCAAACTCATAAGTCCAAAAAATAAACTGACAACGCCATGGCTAAAAAAGGAAAAGACCAACAAACAAACAAAAGTACACAAAACACAACATAGAAAACTAAAGACTGAGCAACATGAACCCCACCAAAAACTGGGGGTGATCTCAGGTGCCCTGGAAGGGTAAGCAGATCCTGCTCCACATGTGGCACCCGTCTTCTTGTTCATGTTTGTACAAACCTGGTAATAAGTCTATTCGGTAGGTCATGGTTCATTGATCAATGATGGTTACAGGAATAATAAAATAAGGAGATGTGGTATAACTGCCAATGTGACAACTATCTACCAAAGATCAAATGACAAGGATGTAAACTACTACAGATCACAGCAGGCATTCAACAATGAGCAAAACCCATACCTTCTAGTAAGCTTTAAAAGCCCCTTAGATTAAAAAAAAATGTTTAAAAAATCAAGAGAAACAAACGTTTACATTATAAGAAGAATCTTAATGACAGACAGCAACCAACAACCACCATTGAATTACAGGTTCCTTGCTTCGAATAGGCACTTAAAGAATATGGCATGGATTTAACCGGTTTGCAAATGCTCATCCCTCTCCCTAACCTGGGACAGTGGTAAAACAGCACAACAGTAGAACAAACTGTTCAGTTGAAAAGGGGCTTATCATCAGATTGGTACTTTTAATATAATAATAGCACAAAAACAACAAACACAATGACTAACAGTCAGGGGACCTATTGAAATAAGTGATTCTTAAATCACTTATTTAAGTAGCAAATTCGAAGTTTTGTCACAAATTGTGATTTTGTAGTTTTACCAAAATTTTAAACACATAGCTTTAGATAATATCTTTTCATTAGTAAAATTGAAAAAAATGAACTTTTTGCCTCTTTTAAGCATCAAGGTTTATGCCTTTGATGCAGTCATTTAGCTGCAAATTCTATTTTACTTGAAAAAATGCTATAAAAATGGCTTTACATAATGAACTGATACTTTCTCAACAGATTTTTCCCAGCAGTGGGAGTATTTTTCCTGTAAAATTCAAGGTTTCATCTTATAGATTATGTAATAAATTTCTACTGTTCGCAATCAAAATTTCACTGTTTGGGGGTGTTGAAATTAGTGGGGGTTATTAAAATAATGATACTTAAAGAAGTGATTTTTTGGAAGGAAATTGAGGTATGATACTTGAACAAGTGATTTTTATGTCATTATCCTAGATTTAGTACAAGGTCATCACCTGACATGACCCGGTCATCCTATCAACACAGATGTTGGTTCTGATAATTTTAGCAACATAATTAGTTCCTGGATCATTAGTATTCTGTATTTAAAGCTACAATAAAATTAAATCACTTAGTCTAGTGATTAATTTGTACTACTTCAATAGGTGATTATTAAAGAAAGACAACTCTTACTTCCAACCTTTATGTACATAATGTTACTTGAATCAGTGATTTAGAAAATCACTCATTTAAGTAAGTCCCCTGACTAATGACACAAGATACAATGTAACAATCTATGTCAGTTACCATTTTCTCCCAATTTTTTTAAGGGATTCATATTTTTTTTCAAAATTTTCAAAATTTCGAATTTTTGAAAAGTTTCAAGAAGAAATCTTCAATTGCACAGTATTGCGCAATGGATTTATAAGATCTTTGACCACATTTATTTTGTGTCAGAAACCTATATTATGTCAAAAATTTGATCACAATCCAAATTCAGACAATATCAAGCTTGAATATTGTGTCCAAATTTGCCCCAACTGTTCAGGGTTCGACCTCTGCAGTCATACCAGGCTGCGCTCAGCGAAGCATTTTATTCCATATGTAAAGGGGCATAACTCTTAAAGCCTTCAAAGGTAAAAGTGACGCCACCCAAATTCAAACTTGATCTGTGCTTTGTGGTATTATGCATTGTGTATAAGATTCATAACATTTGCTAGATGCAAACTAAAGTTAGAGAAGGGAAACCAATTTTGGGATGTATGGACGGACGTACAGACATACAAGGGTAAAACTTAATGCCCCCTCTGCTACGGCAGGAGCATAAAAACTAAGCAAAGTAAAACTGTTGATCATTTTTATTCACTAAAATGAAATGTTAAACAAATGTTTTTCTAAGTAACCAAAGTATACATGTTTAGCAAAGTAGTTAACAACTGAAGGGTATTTGCACCCTTCCTGGTATCATTATTTTCAATGAAAAAAAAGCAAAATATAGGATTCCAATAATATCCCATTGTTTTGTCAGTGGCATATTTTTTTTGGACACTAAACATATATCATCACAGAAAATTGAAAGTATGACCCCCCCCCTTTTTTTTGTTTGACAACTAATGCTTTTGTATGGGGACATATGGTTGGAACCCTGTGTTTTCATGTATTATGGTATATTGTAATGATATGGTAATTAATGCTCTTCATGAAACATAAAACAGATCATTACAATATACCATAAATTTCCAGTGCATAATTTGACATTTATATATATACAAACAGTTCATGAATATATCGAACTTTTAAAACAAGTCCAGGGAAAAATGTTATATTATAAGTTATATAGTTTGCTACTGACCCCCTACAGATTCATAGAGGGTCAGTAGCGAACCATACAACGAATTTATCACACATGAGATTTTCCCGCTAAATTTTGTATAAAAATAAACAATGAAATACAATAACAATATTGGTAGACGTGACGTCATGATACCCCTGTGAAATCTACTGACCACCTATGGATTCATAGGCGGTCACCACATGAAGGTGTAAAATCAATCACATTGTCACTAATTTACCCGAGGTGCTAAAAATTAAATTATCAATCTTTCATGTTATTTAGCTTTGCCTTGTAAATAAAAGAACAGAGTTCCAATGTCCCCTGTGTTGCACATATTTATCTATCTAAGGGCAATAACTAAAAAAAGTATTTTTTTTGTTCTTTAAAACAATTTATAAATATCTTCAGAGAAATGAAGGCTTCAGAGCAAATGCAATGCGATTTCGTTATAACTCGTTAAAAATATTTGATCAGCATTTATTTTCAAACATGTCAAAGACATTGCTGATATAAACCTATGATATAAAGTTTCATAAAATTCTGGCAAGAATTGTACCTGTAAGAGCGCTAATGAGGCCTGATTATCTTGTTAAAGAAAATAAATTAAATATCAAACAGACCTTCAAGGACATTACTTATAGTATATTATAAGTTTTATTAAAAACTGGCAAGAATTGTACCTGTGAGAGCGCTAACAAGGCCATTTTTTTCATAAATTTAATATTTCCAAGGGGCATAACTCTTTAAAAAAAAGTCTATCGTCCACCATTATAGAACTTGTCCGAGATATTGCTAATATTAACCTATAGTATAAGTTTTATAAAAATCTGACAAGAATTGTACCCGTGAGAGTGCTAATGAGGCCATTTTCCATAAATTTAATATTTCCATGTGGGCATAACTCTTTTAAAAAGTCGATCAGCCACCACTATAGAACTTGTCCAAGATATTGCTGATATTAACCTATAGTATAAGTTTTATAAAAATCTGGCAAGAATTGTACCTATGACAGTGCTAACAAGACCAGACGGACAGATGGACACGCAGACGGACGGAACCCCGGTATTTCTCTGTCCCCAACAAAAGCATGCGCTGGGTACAATAAACTGATTTTTTAATACACTGAGATCTCTCTTGAATAAATTATCACGATTATATGAATGAATATGTCAACAACAAAAATATATAAATTAATATAAATTAAGATAAAATATTTACTGTACAATAAACTTCCTAAGTACAATGAGTAATGAACACAATCAAAACAACACATAAGGAATGATCGTAAAACTTTTAAGGACACGTAAAAAATGACAGTAAATAGTTGTAAACCTCATCTAAATTAAATATGAAAAATACACCTTAAAACCAAATTTTTTTTGTGTACCATAATATTGTTGTCTTTTGTCTAGTTTTAATCACAGTAATGAATCCACTCTATTGCATCGCAAAATGAGTTTGGTTATTTCTTATTCAATAAAATATTAAGAGTTTAAAATACTGCATGACTCTTTTTAATAACTATTAAAAATAAGCTTTTGGGATGAAATTTGTTTGATTACAATAAGCTTTTTTTAAAGTGACATGCTTGTGACATAATTTCTCTTATATGACATGTACAACCTTTTAAAGAAATTATCAAATTCAAAAAAAATTATTTAAATGTAAAATAGTTTTTTGACAGATGTTAATGTCGGAATTACCTATATCTGATCTTGATTAATGTCAACTTTGCATAGATACTATCAACTTAACTAGTAGTTTATGACTATGCTTTAATGAAAGACAAATGTATCTTTTATTTATCGGACAATATATTTATGTTGGTAATTGTATATTAGCATCAGCGTCTGAATATAAGCCACTAGCAGAAACTGCTCGTACCAGTACAAACACATAAATTCCAGCAGGCTCTGTAATGGATGAAGGCATTCCAAATTCTATATGCTGATTGGTTGTTTCCAGCCACTGTTTTATATTAGATCCTCCCCTGAATGTACCTGCTGATATTTCATACCATAAAGTTTCTGCTGATGAGAAAACATTCTCCCATGATACATCAAATTTGTTGTCAAGCCACTCTATGTTTACTTGTTTGGAATCTGAAATTTGATTTCAGATATTACTTTACATATTTTTTCATACTCGCTTAGTGGTATGTTTTATGTAAAAATATTCAATAAAACACAAGTTCCGTATTAAATTGAGTTTTGCACAAAAAAAATCATTATAATTTCATTTGCAATTCATATAAATTTTTTGGTATTTTTCTATAAGACATAGTTTTTTTTATTGTATTCCATGGTCCACTCATTAATGTTGCTGTGTTTTTATATATATAACTCTGGTATGTTCATAAATTTAACCCCTAGCTTTTTAGCTTTTTACATTCCACTCAGGGTAATTTTCAAATAATGTATACCCATGGTGAAGTCTCAAATTATAAACGAGGATGAGAATTAAATAATTATTTTATTTGATAGAGGAATGATAGGTATTTCCTTCCAATACAAATATCAAACTCAATATTTAGACAGCTGTATGTCAGAAATTTATCAATCTATTAGTTATGAAACTTTTTAAAGTTTTATTTCATGTTTGCACATTTCTGCATTTAACTTTATACTGATGAAAAAATAGTCTTTGGAATTATCTTCTGACAATATTTTAGTCAGATATAGATTATGGTCTGAATGGGGTTTACAGAAAAGAGAATAATGGACTAATACTGCTGAAAAATGGGTAAAAAAAATATAGAAAAGAGAATAATGGGGTCAAAATATAAAGAATAGAGAATAATGGACAACAAAAATAAACTTTTATCACAGAGATATGTCTTGCCTTTTAGTAATTTTGATTATGCAAATGTTGAAATTAAAATAGCAATACTTTAACATGTTACATAAGTTATGCAAATATTCAAAGTCAATGAACCATGACTGAGGTACATGGCTAAACAATCTTCATGTAAATGAGATGTGCCAATGCTAAAACAACTGCATACCAAATATCATTGACTTATTATAAGTCGTTCCCTTTAAACAAACCGAAAACACAAACATTAACTTGTAACCTATGTAAACATTTCATAGTCAATGAACCATGAAAAGGGGGTGGGGCTATATAATCTCCACGGAAATAATACTTGCAAATGCCAATAAATTTGCATCCCAAATATCATCGACTTAACATTAGCAGTTCATCTTAAACTGATCTAATGACAAACTAATACATGTAAACTAAGCAAAAGTTTCAAGGTCAATAGACTATGACTGAGGGGGGTGGGGCCAAATATTCTCCATGGAAATGAGATGTGCAGATGCTTAAACAACTGCATACCAAATATCATTGACCCACCACAAGTGGTTCCCCATAAACTGACCTAATCACAAACTAATATATGTAAAATAAGCAAAAGTTTCAAAGTCAATAGACCATGACTGAGGGGGCAGGGCCAAATAATCTCCATGGAAATAAGATGTGCCAATGCTAATACAACTGCATACCAAATATGATAGAGCTACCACTTGTGGTTCACCATAAATTAGACCTAATCACGAACTTATACATTGTTGACGCCACCGCCGCCGTCAGAAACGGCATACCTATGTCTTGCTTTTTGACTCCGTCAAGGCGAGACAATAAAAATAATACAGAAAATTGACCTAAAATATTAAAGAATACAGAAATGAAATACCCTCATAGATAAACTAACAAGAATGTGTCCATAGTACATGGATGCCCCACTCACACTATCATTTTCTATGTTCAGTGGACCGTGAAATTGGGGTCAAAACTCTAATTTGGCATTAAAATTAGAAAGATCATATCATAGGGAACATGTGTACTAAGTTTCAAGTTGATTGGACTTCAATTTCATCAAACACTTCCTTGACCAAAAAATTAACCTGAAGCAGGACAGACGGATGAACGAACGGACACACAGACTGAAAAATATAATGCCCCTCTATGTGGGGCATAAAAATAATACATACTATCCCTAACTGGTGGTGTTAATAACACAGTCATATTTCTGGAAACTTTATCACTCTTTTTATACAAGACATTAATGGCCTGTACATGTACATTCTGATGGGATTCTGTCAGTTGCAGATTATAGAAATAGGTGAAGAATATATCCTGATTTATAGGAAAACTGACTTTCTCCTTCTTTGTCTGACTTCCTTCGAAAGTAATCTACAAATATATATTCACATAATGATATTTTTTTATTTACAAGTTTCATAATTTATATTTAATATATAATCGATATCTTGTGAAAGCATTTAAGAATAATGTGTGTTTTTTTGGTTTTTTTTTTAAATACAGATTTTTCTTTTTTATATGAAATATATACTGTTAGTTTGGAAATTTCTGTGTGCATTTATTATTGGGATTGTTTGACAATGTACAAGATTAATTATTACGATATCAGAAAAATGCAGCATACTCATAACGCTTTTAAAAATGAAAATGCAAATTTTGATTTTTGCCAAAACATGTCCCATTATAAACCATAAAAACATTGCAAAATTTTTTGAATTTGCTTTAAAAAAGTGTCAAATACTTTATCATGTTGCAGTTTTAATTCATTTTTTCAAAAGATTATGCCTATTTCAGATAAATGTTGTTTTACATAGAAACAATCTTTTGGTTTAATTGAAGTAAGTATATCATCTATGCATGTATATGCTTTTTAGATGTGATCAACATATGGCTGGATAACTAATACTTGATATAGTTCCTACCATAACATTTGGGAGGACCAATAATAAGCCAATTTTATTTTCAATTTTTTTTTATTATTGTTAATACATACCAAGTAATTATCAATACCAATAGAATCAGTGAAACCTTGCCACTTTAATCTGACTACATCTGTTACACTCTGGAAGCCATCTTTAGAAATGTATTCACTGGATGACAAATAAAATGGTGACACAACTGCACTAGTGATGGAGGGAGATTTGTTTGATATTCTGACTCCATCTGAGGATGTAGTATTTGCTAGTCCCATCATATTTTGACATTTGACTGATGTATACACTGTTAACCCTTCAAGGTCACTGTAATCAAACTCCATGGAAACACTTTTAGCTGTTGTAGTTGTCCAAGGGTGAATGTCACTTCCACCTGGTTGATATCCTGCAAGTATAATAATGAATTATATACTGAGAATGATTCCACTCTCATTTTTATGCTGCATTCACACGTAATTCGAACTCGATTCGCATTAACTAATTCGAATTAGTTTAATTCGCATTCGAAACGTTTTACGTCCAAACGTAAATTCTAATTCGAATTGCAATGCGAGTCAAATTCGCTTTACTGTCCGAACGACGTTAACTTTTAATTCGTATTAACAAAAACGCATTTCTAATGCGATTTAGTTAATTCGAATTAAAAACGAAGAGTGTGTGAACGCGATTAGCGAATTCGATTCGCATTCGATTCGAATTCAATTCGAATTAAATGTACGTATGAACGAGGCATAAAATTTCATAACAAATTATCAGTTATAAATAGACTTCTAGTAAACAGGTTATTATTACATTTTATTTATTTTTTCTCCAATTTTTCAAACCCAGGGCTTGCCTGTTAAATCTTATTTTACATAATCAGTCTAGTGTGGGAAATCCAATGTCCCATTATATCAATGACTTATAAATATAAAGATGTTCTTATATCAATTGTTTTCCCAAGTCAAAATAGGTTCAGACAAGTCTATTCATAAGACTTAAGCTTCATTTTTATCAATAAAAATAATAATTTTCCACCAGATTATGAATCTGCAGGATCTTACAATTTTTTCGAAGAGAACAAGAAGGTTTGCAAACTCTACAGCAGTACTGAAAAACAATTTTGTTTCTCAAATTTCTGTACATTTTGCCATCTATTTCCTTACCAAAGGCATACTGACAGAAGTCAATACCCGACTCTGCATCTGCTACTTCCCAGTTAGCTGAAACAATATTGATTTCCCAGGCATCTTGATCAGGACCTGAAACAAAATGTATACAAGATACATATAATAGTGTCATGGGTTACCAATATGATGTATATGTAATCATACAATTTTGCTGAAAATGACAACTTGAAATTTCTTTGTATGTAGATTTCTAAACCTCTTAATCATAACTTATTTAAATATGAAATGCTACAGTCAATCTGAAAATAAGAAGGCACTTGATTCAGTCAATTTCATTGATACCAATTTGGAGTGTATGGGCAAAAGTTGATGTTTTTTTTTTTTGTTACCCATTACTTGGTTTGCTGACTGTTCCTTTAAGGTAGATGGGGTGTCTAAATTATAATCCATAGAATTTTTTAATAATTTGCCTAAATGTAGTTTATTTCATGCTTTTTTAAAAATAATAATAAAAAGAATGGGTCACAGGGCTTATTTTCACGCTACAGGTTGTGCAAAATTGACAGATTTTTGTATAGATTATGCATGCAAAACCCAATTTTCTGCCATAAAACGAAAACAACACCATAGAATTTTGAGATAAAAAATGAGAAGATAGCTCTAATATTATGTTTTCAGATAAGAAAAAGAAAAAATGGGGTCACAGGACCCGTTTTCTTGCTACATAATAAAATAGGTAAATTCCTAACACATTCTATTTTAAAAGTAACTTTATCTGAATTATCTGCCCTTACATTTGAGTTGCCTCCCCTTATGTGACAAAGTTGGAAAAAATTGAATCAAACAAAAGTATTCTGTATTTTGTAAATCACAACCATTAAATATGATAAAACATGTCATTTTCTATATTGAAATGAAAGTTCTTACACATGAATTACCGACTACTCTCAAAATTTGCACATTTTATTAAAGATCTAGACCGATTGTTTTCTGGTATTTCAAAATCCAAGATGGAGGAAGACACCCTATCTACCTTTAGGACAATGTAACATAATTATTTCATTGAGATAGCTTGATATTTTTTCACTAAGCAACCAACTGTCTTATTTGTATTGGGAAGCCATCTTTGTCATCACTTGCTTATTTAATATGCTAGCAAAAAGAAATCTAAAATCATTAACTGTAATTTGACCAAAGAGTTAGTCTGTGTTGAAATGGCTCAAATCCTGGTCAGGGTTAGATAATTCACTGGAAATTACTGCAAATCATGGCAAATTTTCATTGTTTTTTTTAAATATAATATAAAAAAAAAATAGTCAATATACACCAAAACAATTGCTTGCAAGAAGAAACTGATAAGCTAAAATCTTTATCTGGAATTTGACCAAAGTGTTAGCCTGTGTTGAAATGGCTCAAATCCTGGTCAGGGGGAGATAATTGGCTGGAAATTACTGCAAATCATGGCAAATTTTCATTGTTTTTTTTAAAATATAATATAAAAAATATAGTCAATATACACCAAAACTTTACCACATTCACAAATTGGCTTGAGGAATACTTACATGGTAATAAAAAACAATTTTGGAAGTAAAAAATGTAGATAACTTAATATTTGAGAAAAGAAGTTGGATATAACATTAATTTTTATGAAGGTGGTCTTAAATGTAAGTTAAGGGAACTGACTTTTCATATGGGTGCTGTTATAGTCTTTACTCTTATGTAAGTGTTTATTGTTCAATGTTAGTAACTTTAATCAGGCTTTTTGTGTTCTGTTTTGAATTCTTTCACATTTTGTTATTCAAGAGCCTTTTCTAGGTGTTTTGCTCTTGGTTGCAAGTCATACAGTGAACTGTTGTTCTATACATCCATGTCCAAGGATCCGGAAATTTTTCCACACGATTTCGGTCATTTTGAAATGATTGAAAAGTTGGTGCCCCTTTCCAAATTGTCGATGTCAACTTAACTAGATTCATAGCATCAACGAACTTGTATTGCTGTTTCATCGCATTAACTTAGTAAATGTCTTACCATTACCATGAAGAACAGTTAAGGGAAGGCAATAGTTTAAAATTGAAATGATTTTAATGACTCAAAATGGTAAATCTTTCAGACATTGCTTACGTTTCTTTCGATTTGACAAAAGTTAAAACCGGAAGTTTGCGATAAAGTTAAAGTAGGAATAATTCCGGATTCATTTCGGGGATTTGTTTTGTTTATCAAATTGACAGGAAATCAAAGGCTTTTTTATTTTATTACTGCCAGGAAAGGGATTATAAACAAAAACAAGTGATCACAACTTACACAAGACAGTGCAAAATGGCGATTAAGAAATCCGATTTCAAACATTGAGTCAATGAAATGACCGAAATTATTTCTTTAAAAAAATAAAATGTCCTAAATCCCAATTTCTCGTTTAGGACAAATAGTTTCATCTTAGGACATGACTGGCATATATGACCGTTTCCGGACCTTGTCCATGTCATTTGGTCATTGTTGGATAGCTGTCTCATTGGCAATCATACCATATCTATTATACTCCTCTAGATGCATCCTTACACCAAGTTATAAGAATAACGATCACTTGGTACAGTATTTGAAATTTCAACTCTTTCAAATTTCATACACAATTCTTACCTGTACCATCATAAACATAGTCGAATATAGGAGGAGTGAGATCAACTAAGACTGGGTCTGAGTAAGCTATGGTCTGCAGTCCTGCAGCATTGGTTGCTATGACAGTTATGTAAACAAATGTTTTGTCGACCAGGTTGACTTTGTTATTCAAACCAAATTGTCTCCGTCCTTCACATTTGAATGTCTGAATCTGTGTACCACCTCGAGTATAACCTGGAAAACAAAATGAATATGATACAACTTATTCAATCTGTTTTTATCTCTGAATCATTTATCATATTATAAATATTCCTACACATTTCTTCAATCTTCACCATGGATGCATATTGCTCCACGTTTAATAGGCTAAAAATCAATATTTGACCTCTGATTTCTTGTGATCTTTCTTCCAATACTGATCAGTCACCCGAGTAGCCCAAATGACAAAAAAAAATTGGAAAAAATACATTTTGAAAAAAAATTTCTATATTCATTTCCATAAACAGCAAGGAGTATTATAATGACATAACTGACTGTCACATATTCTTAACAAAAAGTATGTTTCAATACACTTATAAGTTTTCCTGTTTGATAATGGGGTAAAAGTATAGTGAAATAATTATTTTTTAAATTCACACGAGATTTTACACTACCTGTTTCTATCATCTCTCTTTCTTTGCCTCCCATTGCCTCAAAGACAAGTCTTGCAGTACAGCATCAATTTAAACAATTTGTTGTAGTTCTTTTGTCAAAAAAATTGTCAAGGTAAAAATGCACCAAAAAAACTCTTGTAGATACAGAATTACTATTAAAGTTACCCTTTTTGAGTTTTATTTGAATACAGGACAGCTTTTTCCAAACCATTTTGGAAGAATTTGCAACTGAACAGCTTTAATTTTTAATTCATCACACACAATTCTTTAACAAAAATAGGTTTACTAGAATGAAATACTGTGGATTCATTTATTTTCGTGGATACCAATTTTCGTGGACTGAGGAAAACTTGCATTTTCGTGGATATTTGATTTTGTGGTTTTCCAAAAGTGCATATAATCATACAGCAAATTTGTAATTCATTGAACATTTAAATTTGTGGTTTCCCTGTACCCACGAAAGCCACAAAAATTGGTATCCAACAAATAAAAATGAATTCACAATACTAACTTAGTGGCAAGTGTATATTAAAAATAAAAAAACGTACCTATAGCCCATTTATAATCCACAATGGGTGATTCTGGATCAATAAAACTCCACGACCCATGAATGGAACTCCATTGGTGGATGTAATCAATGTGACCATTCACATGACCAGACGAAGCAGAGTCTACCTGAACCTCGTGTACCTGTATATTATCATAGAACAAGCCTGTCTTCATGTCAAGGCTGCCTATTGTTAGTAATGCACTATTTGTTGAAGCTGTGAAATAAAATGTATGTCTGTGCCAAGATGTTAATTCTCTTGTACTTGCCCCATGATCATCTATTCTGTAACTTTTTGTGTATATAAGAAAGACATGATATTCATCACCTAACTTCACAAAACCTTCTTTATTAGCCACAAATGCCTCCCATATTGGTAAGTGACTGGTATAAAACATTACACGATACAATTTTCCTGCTTCAACACTCGTTAATGTTTGCTGCAGCTCCCCACGTAAATACAAGAAGAAATTGCCATCATGTGCTAAGTTACTGGTTGAAGAGACTGCTGTCAGACAAGTTCCAGTTCCCCCTGTCCAGCTAGCGGGGTGGTGAAATGTTTGTTTGTACGTACAGATGTCTGTTGTTGTACTAAGTGTTTCCCAGGATATTATACTTCCTTTAGTCACTTCAAAAGATGGATTCTCCACGATATTAGCATCCAAATGGATTAACGATTCAGGTACTGGTCCAGTTACATCAATTACTACACCATCAGAGACAACTTTATCAGATATCAATCCAACAGCATCAATGGCATAAACCTTATGGTACATCTTTGATCCTGAAATATAGTTTTTATTTTTTCTTCTTATTCATTTGTACATAGAGGCATAAGATTTAGTACTGTAAATTCAGAAATTATTGCGTGGATTTATTATTGCGATTTTGTTATTTTAAACTAAAATGCGATTTTAATTTTTGCGATATTGAGAAAAATCGTGTTTAATTCATATAAAAAATTTCAAAATGCGAGTTTAAATTATTGCGATTATTACCCTGTCGCATTTTTCGCAATAATAAAAACATCGCAATAATTTCTGAATTTACAGTATCTAGATATTAAATCAGTTTATTTTTTTCTACAATTTTTTAAAAGTTATTTACTAATTGCAGCCATGCTCTGTTTGAAAGTTGTCTCATTGGCAATCATACTACATCTTTTTACTTTTATATTGATCTTTTTTAAATTTTATTTTACTAAATGTTAAGTAATCATCAAATATCTGTCTAAGCCAATATTATGTCTGTGCTGAGAGGAAACTAGAACATTTAAACTGTGATAAATAAGTATATGTTGGAGAAACAAATCTAAATCATTCATTGATACTGTCATTTCAATAAGAATTTCGATAAAAAGAGCATCCACTAAATGGATATTAAACCTGTTTAGTATTTTCATCAGAAACATTCACAGCTTATACCTTGTGTTGCATTAGTATCCAGATATCTAGAGGCAGAGACATGGAGACCAACATTTTCCCATGGTTTGAGGTCACATTCTGTACTAGTAGTAGTTGTACCAACACACCAGTAGTACTCTTTTATACCAGCCTCAGTATCAGAAAATCCATGCCAGTGTGCTCCAGCAAATGATGAAGAATTCTGATACTCCATATCCTCTAAACCTGTCAACAATATTATAAGAATAAAGTTGACTCAGATATATAAAAATTAACTAACTTTGTCTCGTTTGCCCATTTTCAATCAAAATAGGTTTATTTTAAAATAAAAAATATGGAGAATAAGTGTTTTTCTCAACAATAACATGTCTGTATTCACCATTCCCTTATTTTTCGTTAAAAGTTAAATGAGCATCACTAACTGGACTATATAATTGAAATTTTATGAGACAAGACTATTCTATAATAGTTTTCTATCCTGCATGTATACTAAAAAGCTAGAAATATAATTGGCCAAAAATTGGATTCAATATTGATTCCAGACAAAAGGAAATTCCATTTTCAAAAAGCTCAGTATGTGCCCTTGGCATGTATTAAATCATGTATGAATACATAATTATTTGAAAACTTCAAATTTACCTATCCCATCATACACCATTCCTGCTGTTGGCTTGATGTGATCTATAGTAAACCCATCAGATGTTGCTGTCATGTGGACACCAGAGTAACTGTATGCCACAACATTGACATAATATGTCACTCCGACTTCATAATTCAATCTTGTCATGTTGTAATGGGTTGTCTTTCCTGATAATGTATCTGATAAAATCAGGAAATCATGTCCTGCAAAATATGAATCATATTTCAATTAATGAATCATATTCACTACTTAAGGTTATTTGGGGAATTCAGTTCTGCTACCAATTCATTTTTAAATGAAATTAATGTAATGCTTAACAAACAAGACATATGAAGAATAAAATACAAGCTTTACACTGATTTAAAATTAAAAATTAAAAGTTAAAATCATTAGCAATAACCTTCAAATGGACTTACCTGCTCAGAATATAGCTCTAATATTACTTTATGGACAAATGCATCCTACGATTAATAGCTGACATAATACCTGATGCCTTATCTTTAGAATTACCCTTGGGAATTTTCATTAATCAAATCTTACCTCCGGGAAATGTACTTATGTAGATTCTGAATTCTTTGATCAAAGTGGCAGCATTAACAAACTTTTCATCCCAGTCAAAGGTCATAGGTCGTCCTTGTCTGACAAAATCAGCATCTTTTATATTGGTACCTGTCACCTTCTCTGTAACCTATGATATATACAAAGGCACATGTCATGCATGACAAGGCAACAAGGTAACAACATTTACAACAAAACCTTACATATGTTGACCAATTTCTAGCAACTGGTTAATTAAGTTTAAGTTTTTAAAATTTTGTCAGTATTTAAACAATGATTATTAAGTTTTGAATTCAATATTGTTCTGGTGAAACTGCTTGCTTCAGGAGATATCACTTTTAAAAGATGAAATTAAGTTCCGTTTGAAATGTATTTGTATCAACACCCAATATTTTTTTCAAAACAGATTTTGATAAAATAAAATAGAACCAACCAACATTTGTAGTAAACATTCCTAAATGGTTCTGTAGAACCCTGTGATACTTATGATTCCTGCTATTTGAACCTTTTATTATTTTATCAGACCATCTAGAAGTTTTGCTCTAAAATGGCATTTCTACTCACAGCTTTGCCTCCAGCTGTAGCCAGAGCTAGATTTCCTGTAGATATCATTATACCATTGGTTTTAAAGTCAGCAAATGTTGTACCATCATACCATAAACGGACGAAGAAGGAATAATCCTGACCATTGGTTAGGTAAAACTCTGCCAAATATATATTATACACAACTTTATTTATGCACCTTTTACTTATTTATTCTATATCAAACCAGCAAGACCTCATGTTTTTGATCATCCTAAACATGCATGAAATATTTGCCACTGGATGTTCAGCATTCATCAATCAATCAATCATGTTTTTAAAAACTGCTGTCGTGCAAGGTTTCAGTTTGGTTTCATTTGAATTACTCATATTTGATGCAATTTTTCTTTTCTTCAGGTAGCTTGCTGTTGTAAAATAAGACTCGAAGCTTGCATTTTCTATGCAGCTTTATATATTACTATGAAATCACTGTTATCTAATGAAAAAGCAGCACTGTTGCATGACCAGCTACGTTGTTTCCGAAGTGAATATTTTCTTAAAGGGGAATAGTTTAGACTGTTAGATTCAAATACCTGTAACACGTGTCCCATATGTTGTGGAGGAAAAGTCTCTTTTACTGAAATTTTTTGTGCAGACATGAAATAGTACAAATTTACTGCACGAAATGCACATTTTGACTATTCATGCCTCTTCAGTGATGCTCGAGGTCAAAATATTTCAAAATCAAAACTTAATAGAAACATTGGGAGAGCAGAAATAACATAAAAGGATCCAAAGTATTGCCAAACTGAATCAGATCTATTGCATGATGGAGATACATTCCTTAATTTCAAACTTTGTCTTTGTTTTACATTTATTATTTTCATATGATTTTAAAACTCATAAAAAAGTTATACCATATTCAGAAGAGTATGTAGCTGATGTAAGTTGTGCTGCATCGTGCCATACTCTATCCTCTGCAGAAGTATATATTCCATCTGGTGAATTCCCACTAGAGTATCCTACACTCCATTCAAACCTTAAATACAAGTACAATACAACTTTAATGGATCAAAAAATAAAGCCGAAGAAAATGTCTGACTTATATAATAGCTTAATTTGCTAAATTGTATTGCTATGCCATCATTGTCTATATCAAATGTTTGTATGTAATTCTTCTCTTAACTCTAAATATCATAAAGTTCTATAATGACTTAGTCCTAATAAAAGAGCTTCTGTATCTGAGGATGAACTCACCATTGATGATCTATTCCCAGGTGTCTCATTATAAACAGCCAGTATCCCTGAGTACTGTATCTGATTATATACTCACCATTGAGGAGCTTTTCCCTGTCTCATTATAAACGTCAGTATCCCCTGAGTACTGTATCTGATTATATACCTACCACTGTGGAGCTATTCCTTGTCTCATTATAAACTGCTTGTATCCCCTTAGTACTGTATCTGATTATATACTCACCATTGAGGAGCTATTCCTTGTCTCATTATAAACTGCCAGTATCCCCTGAGTACTGTATCTGATTATATACTCACCATTGAGGAGCTATTCCTTGTCTCATTATAAACTGCCAGTATCCCCTGAGTACTGTATCTGATTATATACTCACCATTGTGGAGCTATTCCTTGTCTCATTATAAACTGCCAGTATCCCCTGAGTACTGTATCTGATTATATACTCACCATTGAGGAGCTATTCCTTGTCTCATTATAAACTGCCAGTATCCCCTGAGTACTGTATCTGAGGATGTGATTTCTTGGTCAACCAAACTATAACCATTAACATCATACACTACTATCAGATCATTAGGGTTTGCTGAAAATGAATACCTTTAAGCTATATTTAAAACCAATAAAATTGATCTTTTGACTAACAAATAACCTACAATGAATAATTTCTTTAATGTAGCATATTCAATAGTTAAGAAATTATTGTAAGCCACTATTTATACTACTGATACAACTTTAAAATAAAATCAAGATTGAATGACAATAGCCTGAATTAAATAAAAGAACATCTTTGTTCCTCTTCTAGCTTTTAGAATGTTGCTGAAAGTGGCTTCAAACACCAACAAACAAACAAACAAACATGCAGTCATTTCTAGTTTATTCTATAGATTACAGTTCAATGTCAAAATACCTTGGATTCATTTATATGTGGATACCAATTTTTGTAAATTGAGGAAAAGTTATTTCATGGATATATATGATTTTTGGTTTTGCTAACATACTGACTTTATCAATCAAGAACTCAAATACTACGAAAATATAAGTTTTCCTTAATTCACGAAAATTGGTATCTAAAGTAATGAATCAACAGTAGAAGGTTAGAAGAAATGATATACTACCACTGTCACATGACTAAAGCTTCTTCACCACATTAATACTTACAATATGTTACACTGTTACATGTTAGACTTGGATTATATGAACATTTCTGGTCCTGTGGAGCACACACACAATGTCCTATACAGGAGAATGTCACACAACGTCTGACTAGTTCCAGTGAACCACCAGGGATCTTGTTAAAGGCTGAGTGAATCATGGCACTTCTTAGTCCAACCTAGAATAAAGACATAAAGACTAAATATTTAAAACCTAGAATAGAATTTTAAAATGACAAGCAGATCATAGCATTTCCAAGTTCAACCAAAATTCAGATATGAATATAAATGGATCACAGCTGTTCTGAGTCCACCCAGATTAGAAGTTCAATACAGATGTGGTTCTCAGCACTTCTTAAACAAACATGAAGGCATAAAGGCAGCATTCATTGTAGCTTAGTATAACAGTATAACAAAAATTACCTATTTCACAATTCAAACTGTGATACACATTATATCAAACAAAAAACAGAGGCTAAATAAATGACCAAATTCAGACCAACTGACTATCTGTCCTCACAGAGGCAAGCTTGTCTCATGTTCAAGAAAGAGATTGTTGGGTCAAACAAGAAGATAAAACTAATATTTGCCACTTTTTTACTAAGCACACGGCATCTAATAGTAACAGCAAATACTAGTTGGCTCCTTTTATAGCGGACTATAGGATATGGGTTTTGCTCATTGTTGAACTCTGTACAGTGACCAATAGTTGCTTATATAAATGTCATTTGGACTCTGCTGGAGTTGTATTATTGGCAATAATGCCATACATCCTTATTTTTATATCAAAGTAAGGATGTCTCTTACCCCATTTACTGCCCATACAGTGACATACACTGTATCATATAATATAAGATTGAGTGTAGGTACAATATAACTTTTCTTACCCCATTTACTGCCCAGACAGTAACATACACTGTATCATATAATATAAGATTGAGTGTAGGTACAATATAACCTTTCTTACCCCATTTACTGCCCATACAGTGACATACACTGTATCATATAATATAAGATTGAGTGTAGGTACAATATAACTTTTCTTACCCCATTTACTGCCCATACAGTGACATACACTGTATCATACAATATTAGATTGAGTGTAGGTACAGTGTTTAGTTGTATATATCCTTCATCACTGTGATCCGTTCCTGAGGTTGTGTATCCATACTTTGTCAATGTGTCCTTCAAAAGAAACATCACAGGACTATAACATTAAATTAACAGTTTAAGCACTGAAGGTAGAGTAAAAAATAACAAGAGGCTGTCAGAGTGACAGCAAACCGGATTTTCCTGCAGAGGTCAAACCCTGAACAGTTGAGCAAGTATGGACACAACATTTAAGCTTAAAACAGCTCTGAATTTGGATTGTGATTGAATATTTAATACAGCATGGGTTTGTGACACAAAATAAATATGGTCAAAGAACTGAAAAATTTGAAATTGAACATTTACCTATTATGGTCCAATATCCAAATGCTAAGTACATTGCTAGAATCAGCATATCAGAGAACCCCAAGAATTCAATTTTTGATGAAATACTTCTTAGTTAAACCATTTCTGTTTAAATGGAAATAACTTAAACTTTATTTCCATGAACTAATCATGTTAATCTAAAATTAAATATGATTTAACCATAGACTCTAAAATTAGATATGATGTAAAGAGATATGATGTTATATTTATTTCTAAATTATAATCAAATATAAATAATAGTTTTCTAATAAATCTGTCACTCCAATTATAATTGGGTGATTGCATTGAAAATTACCAGATGTGTGATATCTTATCACTTAGTGTATAAATCAAAATCAAACTTTATATATATAGTTGATAGTTCCCAATATTTTTTCTTTCATCTGTAACATACTAATATATATAGATCTGCAACTTATCTTATCTTAATTTTAACTTTTTAACTTATAAATAATAGATTATTATCTAATGAATCATGCTTGCAAATTGAAAGGTTATTTCCCCTTGAACAGAACTATGGTTTAACCTTTTAACAAAGTACTCTAACATTAGGTATATAATTATTAGTAATGTAATTAACTTCAAAATGTCTATCTCTTAAAAACCTATAAAACTTATCTATAATTATCTTCAAAGTGTCTAATAATGAATAGTAAATTTCAACCTTCATTTATACAGTCCTACTAGTAAATTTCAAACTTTATATATACAGTCCTACAGATCTTATCAGGAAACAGAAAATTTTCAAATAAATCTGTCACTCCAATTATAATTGTGAGATAAGACTTTTACCATATGCTTTACCTTAGACATAATATTATAACAAGAGAGAAAAATATTTAAAAATACCAATTTTGGATATTAAAAATGGCGATAACTCAAAAAGGAGAAATACTAAAATCTTGAAAATTAAACTATACCTTCAAAAGGTCCCAGGAAACAACATATTTAAATTTGAAAAACAGTTGTTAAAGCGTTTTCATGTTATTGTGGAGACACTGTTTGGCAGCCGCCCGTCCGTCCGCCCGCCTGCCCGCCCGCCATACATCCCCAATTTAATAACCGATATTTCCTTCGAAAATCCAGTTAAAAATAAATAAAGGATGTTTGTTTATAATATTAGCTCTATCAAGGAATAACTCAGGAATACTTATTCAAAAAGATATTGAATTATTTGTTTCTTTTCTGATTCTTTTTCAGTCAATGTCTTCAAATGGTTTCATATTACTAAGAAACTTAAGGACCAACTTTTCAGGCAAAGCTGACTTAACATAAAGGAGTAGGTCTAGTAAGACCCCTTAATGGCCCCAAAATATAGCAGTTTTACAAAACTGTTAAAATGTAAACTGTTAGTTATTTATTGGAAAGTAGAATACTTCTGCTACATAAATATGGGCTGTTTTTCACAATGCAATGCACATATATCGGGTACAAGCATCACTGAGTCATGCTAAATTATTAAAATCTTCACAATTTTAGCTTTTGAGTTAAATTTTAGACGGTTTCCGTCTTAAATGGAAGTGGCCGCATTTGTGTTCATTCTTAATATTTAAATGTAAGTTGTATTAGATGATAATACATAACATATATAAAGGTTGAGGATGAACACGGATGCGGCCACTTTCATTTTTGGCAAAAACCATCTGAAAAGTGACATGTTATGGCATATTTGATAGATTTTTCATAATTAAGCTTGAATTTGAGCATCTTTAATGACTAAATCAGTTAAAATCTTTCACATAAACTAATTGAATCGACTGAAATAGACACTTAAATGTTTTAAAAGTGTCCAAAATCTTTCGTCAGATGAACCTGAAATTTGAGGCCAAAATCGGCCTTTACCGGACCTACTCCTTTGGCTATGCTTTTAGGACTCTTTTGGTCATTCAGCTCCTAATTTTTCTTCTTATTTATACATCCCTGCATTTAAAATATTTGGGTTTATATAATAAAGCATTCTTGATAGATGTATAGCCAGAGTAGCACTTCAAATGCACAGATTCATAAAGTATTATTTCCATTTGTTAATCAGGTCATCTACACTCTTCATTCAAACTGATTCTTGTTGTATAAAACAAAAACCAACAAAATCCAGTAATATATATTGAAAAACTGAATATATAACCGAACATAAAAATATTTACTTACATCTGTCAAATCATCTTTCAAATAACCGCTCCCTACAGTGACATGATAATAATCTATCCCTGAATGTATGTCTGAGAATCCTAGCCAAGCTAAATACAAGGCACGACTGGACCAAGTCATGTGACCATCTTCATGTCGTGTTAAATTAGCTGCATGTTCTGTTTTCACAGCAAACATTCCTATCAAATAAATAAGTATAATTGATTGTTGTTTGTTTAACAGCCAGTAATAGCAAATATGTAAGAACAAAAAAATAATATCTGTTAGTTTTGAAGGCTGTCAAAGTTGATTTTTACTGCTGCTTTTTTGAATGTCATTTGAAATGTACATTCACATCTTGTAAATAAATTGAATAAAATGTCAAAATTTTTGTATTATAAATCAAGAACTTCTGGCACTGCAATTGATGAACTACCATGGGCCTTGAAACTTTCCTAAACCTAGATGACACAAATTTCACATTTACAAATTTTGCTTAAAAATAGATTTGCACAATTCAATTTTACAAGAAAATTCTTGGAGACAAGTTCAGACCACCATGAAAATCTTCTGTCAGAGGGCTATTCCAGGAAAAAATGTTTAGGACGGGGTTGGACGATAATTTTTCAATACCACACAACCCATATTATTATTATTTTCATTTGTTACAGAATTGTATTTGCTTCCACCTCTATTACCCATAGAAAAAATACTATGGTGTCTAACCCTCAAATTCATGTTTTTCTTGAATAGCTCTCTGTCTGAAAGTAATAAAATATCAGTTCAACCTATTAACGGAAACATGCCTTAATAACCTTTCCTCACTACAGATAACTGATGAAAATATGTATACATAAAACTTGAAAGTGTCATATAATAGCCTTAAATTCTACTAGCTTGTGTTATTTTGAAATATGTTGTGTAAAACCCCCAACTTAATGACATTTTGAATGGCCTGAATTCTAAAATTAGCATTATTTACAAGTAAATAAATTGAACAAGAAACTTCTGTAAAAGTGAAAGAAAGATGAATTGCCATCTGTTTTACCACTAAGTCTTATTCCTAAGTTACCTCTAGATGGTGGAGTTGTATCTACAAACATTCCATTTGAGACACTTGTGCTACAAAGTTGTGCTCCATTACAGGCAATCAATGTCACATAGTATGTAACACCATCATGTAGTCTCAGATTAGTAAATATATAGTTCCTTACTATCCCATTCACCTGCAAATATATAATATACATAATACGTAACACCATCATGTAGTCTCAGATTAGTAAATATATAGTTCCTTACTATCCCATTCACCTGCAAATATATAATATACATAATACGTAACACCATCATGTAGTCTCAGATTAGTAAATATATAGTTCCTTACTATCCCATTCACCTGCAAATATATAATATACATAATACGTAACACCATCATGTAGTCTCAGATTAGTAAATATATAGTTCCTTACTATCCCATTCACCTGCAAATATATAATATACATAATACGTAACACCATCATGTAGTCTCAGATTAGTAAATATATAGTTCCTTACTGTCCCATTCACCTACAAACATATAATATACATAATATATAAAAGATGTTATTATGAATCAATATGATGAAAATGGCAAAAGCCTTACTATGCAGGGGCCATACTATTGTGGCCTCTAATCAAATCTGTATTTAAAGCTCAAATTACTGTCAATACATTTAGAGGTAAACCGTTTGATATGAAACTCATAAAATATGCTTTGAGGACGACTGCTTCAGGCACAGGTTTATTTAAAGCCAAAAATTGGGGAAAATCTGAAAAGTCTGTTTGAGTGAAATGGACTCATGTGGACTGCTATATCCAAAACAATTTCACTCTGACCTAAAAAAAATAAATAAACTGTTAACACAGAGATATGTCTCGCCTTTTTGTAATTTTGATAATGCAAATGTTGAAATTAAAATAGCAATACTTTTAACATGAAAGTTATGCAAATTTTCAAAGTCAATGAACCATGACTGAAGGTACAGGCCTAAACAATCTCCATAGAAATGAGATGTGCCAATGCTAATACATCTGCATACCAAATATCATTGACTTATCATAAGTCATTCCCTTTAAACAAACCTAAACACAAACATTTACTTGTAAACTATGTAAAAGTTTCAAAGTCAACGAACCATGATGAGGGGGTGGGGCTAAATAATCTCAATGGAAACAAGACTTGCAAATGCCAATAAATTTGCATATCAAATATCATTGACTTAACATTAGCAGTTCACCTGAAACTGATCTAATCACAAACTAATATATGTAAACTAAGCAAAAGTTTCAAAGTCAATAGACCATGACTGAGGGGGCGGGGCCAAATGTTCTCCATGGAAATGAGATGTGTTAATGCTTATACAACTGCATACCAATTAATATTGGCCTACCACTAATGGTTCTCCTTGAACTGACCTAATCACAAACTAATACATGTAAACTAAGCAAAAGTTTCAAAATCAATAGACCATGATTGAGGGGGCCTAGCCAAATAATCTCCAAGGAAATGAGATATGCCAATGCTTATACAACTGCATACCAAATATCATTGACCTACCACTAGTAGTTCCGTATAAACTGACCTAATCACAAACTGATACATGAAAACTATGCAAAAGTTTCAAAGTCAATAGACCATGACTGAGGGGACAGGGCCAAATAAACTCCATGGAAATGAGATATGCCAATGCCTATACAACTGCATACCAAATATCATTAACTCACCACTAATGGTTCCCCATAAACTGACCTAATCACAAACTAATAGATGGAAACTAAGCAAAGTTTCAAAGTCAATAGATCATCACTAAGGGGGCGGGGCCAAATAATCTCCATGTAATGAGATGTGGCAATGCTAATACAACAGCATACCAAATATCATTGACCTACCACTAGTGGTTCACTATAAACTAGACCTAATCACAAACTAATACATTAATGACGCCACCGCTGGAAACAGCATACCTAAGTTTCGCTTTTTGACTCCGTCAAGGCGAGACAAAAAGGTGGTTAATGTGTTCACTAGAATCTACTCTCTACGTAGACTATATCAATCAAAGTGTATTCTTGCTTCAAATTTCAGCTATGACCCCTGAAAATTGTGTTTGATCAGAGAAAAATTATTTCATTAACAGAGTAATCATCAATTTGTAATATAGCCACATAAAGACTTTGACATTCTACAATAAAGCACAGGTATATGATAAATAATTCATCACAAAATGACAGTAATCAATGTCCATAAAATAAATTTTAATTACATCAAGTTTGGTAAACATTATAAATATTATCCTCAAATTGCAACATAAACATAATGGGAAAGTCTTCACTCATATTAACTCACATGAACAGAGGACAATTGAAACTGTCCACCAATATGAGACTTGACTGACAGATACTGTCTTTCTATATGTGATACGGTATCTTCAGCAGTCCATTCCACTTTCATGGTCGTCCTATATATCTGGGTCAGTCCATTTACACCAAAGTTCTCAGGAAATGTAGGACCAGTAATTACAGGAGCTGTATCATCTACCTTGAAACCGTTGGAACTAGCTTCAGACCACAAACCTGGAAGTATTGGCAGATAGGTATACACATGATACAAATGAAGAGGGTTGCACTTCCAAAATCCCGACTTTTTTTTTTGTATTTCTGCACAATTCCCAATTCTATTACTTCTTTTTTCCAGATGCCAATTTTTACCCCAATTCATCCCACATACCCACTTTTTTTACCCCCTATATCTCACATCTTCACTTTTTCACCCCTATATCATACATCCCAAAAGCATGTCAGCCCCTTAATTAATATTTCGTATTGTGACATTTATATATATTACACACATCATACATACTGTGCAGATTCAACACTTTAAAATAATCATGTGTATGAATAATAAGAACAAAATTTTCATAAAAAAACAGCTTTTGTTGACAACTGTGTTGAATAATTCTAAAACTTTGTTGGGCTTAACAGTTATTTTAATGGAAATATCTTGTGTAAGAAGTGTCAAATTCTTCTTATAATTCTTACCTGCTCTGTTGTAAGCTCTAACTGTAATATAAATAGTCTTCCCAACTGGTAATAATGGGGACAAATTTGGAACAGCAGCAACCTGTGTTATATGGAGCTCCACTGGTGCCATTACATCATCTCCACTGTTTGTTGTACCTGCCCTCCATACATACTTTTCTATACCAGATTGTGGGTCTTGGAATCCATACCATTTGGCTGATATGTAAGACCTGAATCATAAGATAAATATTTCATAATTTCGTAAAGAAACACTAAATGCAATGAAAATAGGTACTTTCCAGTTAGTGGAGACTTTAGTTTCAAAAAGTACTGCTGAGTGATGTGGTCATTTTGTTTGACACCTCTGGGAGGGGTAAGACAATAATGATTCTGATTTACTTAACAGTCTAATATCAAAGCTGATAAACTTATGTCTTCATGCAAAGTCAATTGATTAAAAAAGGATCTAAAGATCCTCAAATAAGTCAAGTAAATTAACTACTACACCATAACACTCTTACGGATTAGGGAGAGGACGTCACTAATGGAATTAATTACTACACCATAACACTCTTAAGGATTAGGGAGAGGACTTCACTAATGGAATTAACTACTACACCATAACACTCTTACGGATTAGGGAGAGGACGTCACTAATGTTGTTTTAACTTGTGTCCAATCCCTTTTGCTCATTTTTGCAAATATAATATGTTTAAACAAACAGTCTTACACGAAGATGTTTATTTTGTATAGCATGATGTACTATTCTTTTCTGTCTTAAAAGATAAGTTCTATAATATATATTGTAAGCCTTGGAACAACAACAGGTACAAAATTTAACGCAGCAAATCAGTTGATACAGGTGTGTTTATGTCATGATATCTGGTATGAATTTTACAGCCTGAAAAAAAAAATGATTCTGACTTTCAAGTCCTAAGCAAATGACCAAAATCATGTGAAAAAGTTTCTGGACCCTGTGTACAAAACCAGCTTTAGATTGTATATCATGGTATCCTGTTCTGTCCAGTTCAGATCCAGTTGTATTTACTTTATAGAATGAGATTCTATAATTCATGGTATTCTTTTCCGTCCTGTACAGATCAAGCTTTAGGTTGACAGTTGTTACTCACCTTAAAGACTGATATTGTATATCATGGTATCCTGTTCCTTCCTGTACAGATCCAGTTGTTACTCACCTTAAAGACTGATATTGTATATCATGGTATCCTGTTCCTTCCTGTACAGATCCAGTTGTTACTCACCTTAAAGACTGATATTGTATATCATGGTATCCTGTTCCTTCCTGTACAGATCCAGTTGTTACTCACCTTAAAGACTGATATTGTATATCATGGTATCCTGTTTCCTTCCTGTACAGATCCAGTTGTTACTCACCTTAAAGACTGATATTGTATATCATGGTATCCTGTTCCGTCCTGTACAGATCAAGCTTTAGGTTGACAGTTGTTACTCACCTTAAAGACTGATATTGTATATCAAGGTATCCTGTTCCGTCCTGCACAGATCCAGCTTTTGGTGGACTATTATCTATAATCACACCATCAGATGACATAGACGTACACAGTTCTGCAGTATTACAGGCTGTAATACTGACATAGTATTTTATACCAATACCAAGGTGTACATTAGTAAGCTCAAAATCTGTAAAATAAATGTAATGCTGTTATAGATAAGATGCTGTTGTGGATGCCTGGAATAAACTATGGGTTGGAGACATGATGATTTTAAACCCTGAAATATAGCCTGTTTAGCTGAAGTTTTCTTTTTGTGTATGATGTCATTGTAATCATATAGAAATCTAACTTATGTCAAAAGAAACAGCAAATGAGAGGAGGAAGATACAAAAGGGATATACAAACTAATAAAACTATGACAAACTGATGCCATGACAAAATACAAAAAAGGACCAGAGGACAAACATACCAAAGGGATATACAAACTAATAAAACTATGACAAACTGATGCCATGGCAAAATACCAAAAAGGACCAGAGTATGACAAACTGATGCCATGACAAAATACAAAAAAGGACCAGAGGACAAACATACCAAAGGAATATACAAACTAATAAAACTATGACAAACTGATGCCATGGCAAAATACGAAAAAGGACCAGAGGACAAACATACCAAAGGGATATACAAACTAATAAAACTATGACAAACTGATGCCATGGCAAAATACGAAAAAGGACCAGAGGACAAACATACCAAAGGGATATACAAACTAATAAAACTATGACAAACTGATGCCATGGCAAAATACCAAAAAGGACCAGAGGACAAACACACCAAAGGGATATACAAACTAATAAAACTATAACAAACTGATGCCATAGCAAAATACCAAAAAGGACCAGAGGACAAACATACCAAAGGGATATACAAACTACTAAAACTATGACAAATTGATGCCATGGCAAAATACCAAAAAGGACCAGAGGACAAACATACCAAAGGGACATACAAACTAATAAAACTATGACAAACTGATGCCATGGCAAAATACCAAAAAGGACCAGAGGACAAACATACCAAAGGGATATACAAACCAATAAAACTTTGACAAACTGATGCCATGGCAAAATACCAAAAAGGACCAGAGGACAAACATACCAAAGGGATATACAAACTAATAAAACTATGACAAACTGATGCCATGGCAAAATACGAAAAAGGACCAGAGGACAAGCATACCAAAGGGATATACAAACTAATAAAACTATGACAAACTGATGCCATGGCAAAATACAAAAAAGGACCAGAGGACAAGCATACCAAAGGGATATACAAACTAATAAAACTATGACAAACTGATGCCATGGCAAAATACAAAAAAGGACCAGAGGACAAACATACCAAAGGGTTATACAAACTAATAAAACTATGACAAACTGATGCCATGGAAAAATACGAAAAAGGACCAGAGGACAAACATACCAAAGGGATATACAAACTAATAAAACTATGACAAACTGATGCCATGGAAAAATATGAAAAAGGACCAGAGGACAAGCATACCAAAGGGATATACAAACTAATGAAACAATGACAAACTGATGCCATGGCAAAATACGAAAAAGGACCAGAGGACAAGCATACCAAAGGGATATACAAACTAATAAAACTATGACAAACTGATGCCATGGCAAAATACGAAAAAGGACCAGAGGACAAGCATACCAAAGGGATATACAAACTAATAAAACAATGACAAACTGATGCCATGGCAAAATACGAAAAAGGACCAGAGGACAAGCATACCAAAGGGATATACAAACTAATAAAACAATGACAAACTGATGCCATGGCAAAATACGAAAAAGGACCAGAGGACAAGCATACCAAAGGGATATACAAACTAATAAAACTATGACAAACTGATGCCATGGCAAAATACAAAAAAGGACCAGAGGACAAGCATACCAAAGGGATATACAAACTAATATAACTATGACAAACTGATGCCATGGCAAAATACGAAAAAGGACCAGAGGACAAACATACCAAAGGGTTATACAAACTAATAAAACTATGACAAACTGATGCCATGGCAAAATACGAAAAAGGACCAGAGGACAAACATACCAAAGGGATATACAAACTAATAAAACTATGACAAACTGATGCCATGGCAAAATACGAAAAAGGACCAGAGGACAAACATACCAAAGGGATATACAAACTAATAAAACTATGACAAACTGATGCCATGGCAAAATGCCAAAAAGGACCAGAGGACAAACACACCAAAGGGATATACAAACTAATAAAACTATAACAAACTGATGCCATGGTAAAATACCAAAAAGGACCAGAGGACAAACATACCAAAGGGATATACAAACTACTAAAACTATGACAAATTGATGCCATGGCAAAATACCAAAAAGGACCAGAGGACAAACATACCAAAGGGATATACAAACTACTAAAACTATGACAAACTGATGCCATGGCAAAATACAAAAAAGGACCAGAGGACAAACATACCAAAGGGATATACAAACTAATAAAACTTTGACAAACTGATGCCATGGCAAAATACAAAAAAAGACCAGAGGACAAACATACCAAAGGGATATGCAAACCAATAAAACTATGACAAACTGATGCCATGGCAAAATACAAAAAAGGACCAGAGGACAAACATACCAAAGGGATATACAAACTAATAAAACAATGACAAACTGATGCCATGGCAAAATACGAAAAAGGACCAGAGGACAAGCATACCAAAGGGATATACAAACTAATAAAACTATGACAAACTGATGCCATGGCAAAATACGAAAAAGGACCAGAGGACAAGCATACCAAAGGGATATACAAACTAATAAAACAATGACAAACTGATGCCATGGCAAAATACGAAAAAGGACCAGAGGACAAGCATACCAAAGGGATATACAAACTAATAAAACAATGACAAACTGATGCCATGGCAAAATACAAAAAAGGACCAGAGGACAAGCATACCAAAGGGATATACAAACTTATAAAACTATGACAAACTGATGCCATGGCAAAATACGAAAAAGGACCAGAGGACAAGCTTACCAAAGGGATATACAAACTAATAAAACTATGACAAACTGATGCCATGGCAAAATACAAAAAAGGACCAGAGGACAAACATACCAAAGGGTTAAACAAACTAATAAAACTATGACAAACTGATGCCATGGCAAAATACGAAAAAGGACCAGAGGACAAACATACCAAAGGGATATACAAACTAATAAAACTATGACAAACTGATGCCATGGCAAAATACCAAAAAGGACCAGAGGACAAACATACCAAAGGGATATACAAACTAATAAAACTATGACAAACTGATGCCATGGCAAAATGCCAAAAAGGACCAGAGGACAAACACACCAAAGGGATATACAAACTAATAAAACTATAACAAACTGATGCCATGGTAAAATACCAAAAAGGACCAGAGGACAAACACACCAAAGGGATATACAAACTACTAAAACTATGACAAATTGATGCCATGGCAAAATACCAAAAAGGACCAGAGGACAAACATACCAAAGGAATATACAAACTACTAAAACTATGACAAACTGATGCCATGGCAAAATACGAAAAAGGACCAGAGGACAAACATACCAAAGGGATATACAAACTACTAAAACTTTGACAAACTGATACCATGGCAAAATACAAAAAAGGACCAGAGGACAAACATACCAAAGGGATATGCAAACTAATAAAACTATGACAAACTGATGCCATGGCAAAATACCAAAAAGGACCAGAGGACAAACATACCAAAGGGATATACAAACTAATAAAACAATGACAAACTGATGCCATGGCAAAATACGAAAAAGGACCAGAGGACAAGCATACCAAAGGGATATACAAACTAATAAAACTATGACAAACTGATGCCATGGCAAAATACGAAAAAGGACCAGAGGACAAGCATACCAAAGGGATATACAAACTAATAAAACAATGACAAACTGATGCCATGGCAAAATACGAAAAAGGACCAGAGGACAAGCATACCAAAGGGATATACAAACTAATAAAACTATGACAAACTGATGCCATGGCAAAATACGAAAAAGGACCAGAGGACAAGCTTACCAAAGGGATATACAAACTAATAAAACTATGACAAACTGATGCCATGGCAAAATACAAAAAAGGACCAGAGGACAAACATACCAAAGGGTTAAACAAACTAATAAAACTAAGACAAACTGATGCCATGGCAAAATACGAAAAAGGACCAGAGGACAAACATACCAAAGGGATATACAAACTAATAAAACTATGACAAACTGATGCCATGGCAAAATACCAAAAAGGACCAGAGGACAAACATACCAAAGGGATATACAAACTAATAAAACTATGACAAACTGATGCCATGGCAAAATATGAAAAAGGACCAGAGGACAAACATACCAAAGGGATATACAAACTAATAAAACTATGACAAACTGATGCCATGGCAAAATACGAAAAAGGACCAGAGGACAAACATACCAAAGGGATATACAAACTAATAAAACAATGACAAACTGATGCCATGGCAAAATACGAAAAAGGATCAGAGGACAAGCCAAAGGGATATACAAACTAATAAAACAATGACAAACTGATGCCATGGCAAAATACGAAAAAGGATCAGAGGACAAGCATACCAAAGGGATATACAAACTAATAAAACTATGACAAACTGATGCCATGGCAAAATACGAAAAAGGACCAGAGGACAAGCATACCAAAGGGATATACAAACTAATAAAACTATGACAAACTGATGCCATGGCAAAATACGAAAAAGGACCAGAGGACAAGCATACCAAAGGGTTATACAAACTAATAAAACTATGACAAACTGATGCCATGGCAAAATACCAAAAAGGACCAGAGGACAAACATACCAAAGGGATATACAAACTAATAAAACTATGACAAACTGATGCCATGGCAAAATACGAAAAAGGACCAGAGGACAAACATACCAAAGGGATATACAAACTAATAAAACTATGACAAACTGATGCCATGGCAAAATATGAAAAAGGACCAGAGGACAAACATACCAAAGGGATATACAAACTAATAAAACTATGACAAACTGATGCCATGGCAAAATATGAAAAAGGACCAGAGGACAAACATACCAAAGGGATATACAAACTAATAAAACTATGACAAACTGATGCCATGGCAAAATACCAAAAAGGACCAGAGGACAAACATACCAAAGGGATATACAAACTAATAAAACTATGACAAACTGATGCCATGGCAAAATACGAAAAAGGACCAGAGGACAAACATACCAAAGGGATATACAAACTAATAAGACTATGAAAAACTGATGCCATGGCAAAATACGAAAAAGGACCAGAGGACAAACATACCAAAGGGATATACAAACTAATAAAACTATGACAAACTGATGCCATGGCAAAATATGAAAAAGGACCAGAGGACAAACAATAGTTTACAAAACACACTTGGATAACCATCATCATAATGGGGATTACAACATCATTTTCTGCTGCAGCATATATTTAAACAAGAATATGTGTCCATAGGACACCATGACCATTACACTATCATTTTCCCTGTTCAGTGCATCATGAAATCGAAACAGTAATTTGGCATAAAATCTTTAAAGTTTACATCATAATGAACGTGCGCTGGGCATAAATACAAAGAATTTTAACAAAACTTACAATTGAAATGAAAAAAATATCTACTACATGTATTTACATTATACTCTACATCATAATATATTCAGGCTGTTGGTTTTTTGTTTGTATTGTTTTGCCTTTCATCATTTCATGGCCTTTTATAGCTTACTATACAGTATTCATTTTGCTTATTGTTGAAAGCTGAACGGTCACTTATAGTTGCTTTAATCTACGTCATTTGACCTTAGGTGGAGAGTTGTCTCATTGGCAACCATACCATCTTCTTACTGTTATATATCTATTCAGGACTGGGTTTCTCAAATTGTTCATATTTTAAATCTAGAAAATTTTAATTTTGGAAACTCAAATATGAAGCACCAGGATTATATAACTTAGCTATACAGTCGACTCTCATTATCTCGAAGTCAGCTGGACCAGAAAAATATTCTGAGATACCCGTATTTCAACTCAACCGAAAACCGAAAGTTTGACAAACCAAGGGACATAACTCTTGCTTAGCTTGGTAAGGCCAAGATAAATCTGGATGAATATGGGTAGGGGATAGATATTCTGGTCTTAGATCAATTTATTTGTATGTTATGGTCTTTTATTATTATAATAACATTTTACGTTTTCGTCTTATTTCTTTGTACAGTTACAATTTTTTACTGTGCTTTTTAGCCGAGAGAGTAATTTCCAATCAATCATTGCATTATTTAAGTTGAAAAAATTGTTTATTTTGTTTACAAGAGAAAATACAAAAAGATTAAAGACGCCGATTGAGTAGTTGTAGTTTCAGTATAATAAATTAAATAACACATATCTGAGAGGGTGATAGAGTAGATTGTCACCTCTCGAAAACACATTGTCAACCTTGGCTTCGCCTCAGCTGACAATGTTTTCTCAGGGTATATAAAAATGTATGTGAAATTACAATACATTGTTAATAAGTTTTCATGGGAGATAACCTAAAACATTATTCTTTTGAATATGGAAGACTTTTTGAAAGAATAGTTGATTATCTCCCATGGAAACTTCCTAACAACGTATTGTAATTTCACACATATTTTACTGATTATAAGATGTTGAAATTCAAATAATGTCTGATTCTTATGAATATAGAAGACATTTCAAAAGTAAAATTGTATGAAAGCTTAGTTTGGACATTTTTATAGCAATTCAAAACAAGTGAAACTGCGAGCTACTGCTAACTGATGATACCCCTGCCGCAACTGGATAATTTTAATAGTGTAAAATTATGTAAGTGTTCGGTAAACAGGAAGTTGTTGAGTGATGAATCTGAAAACGCATCACACGGTATAGCTGACTTTTATAAACCATGAAACCAAATTTCAGAAATCCTTATGATGTAGTTCCTCAGAAAAAATGCAATGAAAAATATTCATTGGACGGACAGACAGAGGTAAAACAGTATACCCCACTTTTTTAAAGCGGGGGTAAAATTACTACCTATCACCTTTCGCATGACAATAACAATAAAATTTCTATACAAACTGTTAGACTGATTTTTCATAATAACATGGAAGTGGAATTAAAGTCTTATAGTATTGTAAGTATGCTTTATTTTTTATCACCTTGCACTTTCATGACTTAGACTGTGGTTTTCTACAGCAGTTTGTTCAAATTTTTGACCAGTTGAACAGTTTAGTTTTATAAAACAAATTGCAATTTGGTCAGATTTTTGAATAAGTTGCAATAGATGGAGAGCAACACTTACAGTCAAGTCACAGTAAATTCTTTTACACATTTTGCAATACTTGTGAACATCTAGTATTACAAAGAAATTTCTTTGCATAAGTTATATACTATGAAGTTATTATTATTCGTTGGATATCAATTTTCGTGGATTTAGTAATTAAAGGTAAAAATCCAATTTAAATGTTCAACAAAGTAAAAATTTTCTATAGACTCATATGCAGACTTGGCAAAACCACCAAATCAAATATCCACAAAAATACTATTTTCCTTACCCCACGAAAATTGATAGCCATGAAATTAAATGAATCCACAATAAGCAACATTACCTTGTACAATACCCAGTGCTTGTCGACTGAGTACATCGTCACACAGTTCACAAGTCCCAACACTGACATAATATTCCTGTATATAGGAATGAGAATCATGGAAACCTTGCCAATAGGCATACAGCATTTTTGTCTCTGTTTGATAGTCTATATCCTTTAGATCACCAGTCATTTGACTTCTCTGTCCATCATAAACATGTCCACCGATAGGGGGTGTTGTGTCAACAACAAATGCCCAGGATGTAGCAACAGATGATAATCCAGCATTGTTGAAAGCCTGCAAATGATTAGAATTTTAAATAATACTATCTTAAGAACATACATCTGAGAAACTGCTAACACAGTTCACAAAATGATACCCCTGCCCCTTGTATTCATCATAAAATATGAAGAATGACCGTGACCATGCAGATATTCAGTCTAACATTATTCGCAACCCATAGTCAAAATTTATGGCTAGCCACAATAATATCAATCATCATTTATATCCTTCAAATTATTCAAAAGTACTGAGTCGGACTGTGATTATTTGAAAACAATGTTATTAACCTTGACCACGCAGACATTCTTCAAACCTCATTTGTGAATGAAGTTCCCAATGAGGCAACTTTTAAAATGCCATACCATTATTCTTAATCCAATGATGGGAAACTAAATAAGGTATAAAATCGAATTTAAATAAATTCAAGAAATCTTGCTCATGGTTTTGGTTCATAGCAAAACATGACCTTTTAAAAAAAATAAATACTTTCTCCATTTATCTTAATTTGCTTCATGTACTCTTCGACATTGAAAAATATGTCTTTTAAAAAAATAATTTTCAAGATACCATTGTTTTTATTTTTTTTCATTCTAACACTATAAAACATGCATTTAGAATTATTCATTACTATTGTTCTGAGAAACCAAATGATCATGTAAATACCTCTACAGTAATATAATATGAATGACCATCCAGTAATTCTAATGGTGTATTTGACTGTCCACATTCTTCTCCTGTGACAGTAGCTCTGGACATGATGTCATAATACCCAGGCTGAGATCCAATGTACCATTCATAGTGATTTATACCACTCTCTATATCTTCAAATACTGACGTCCAACTGTAATGTTAATAAATGTATAGATTATAAATAAACCTACAAGGAAATGAGAATAAATCTATTGTCAAGAATGACACTTACGTTTTTGATCCCTATCCATTTTAGGAAAACAAAATTAAAAGGAAAAATGGGAGAAAAAAACATATTTTGAATTTTCATTTTTTTTCTTTCTATTGATATGCTAACTGAAGATATTGTTTCAGAGATAACATAGCTTTTTGTACATGTTCAATACATAGAAGGCATTTGTCTACTTATAACTGTGCATATTTAAACAGAAGCTATTTGTATGTTGTAGACATGAACATGACTTATTTGTACCAGAGAAGTACTAATTTGTTTTAAAATTTCATATATTGTGGATTCAAGATTTTTCCTCGGAAACCATTTTTTGTGGATTTCATGGGTATAGGTTAACCCAAGGTTTACATGTTCAAAGGAGTGCAAATTTTCTAAAGGCTTGTATGCAGGCTTTGGCAAAATCATGAAATTAAATAACCATGGAAATACAAATTTTTTTTTTGGAAAATTAAGAATCCACAGTACTTAAGCTTACCATGGGTGCACTTCTTGTGTTGATGTTATGTGACGACCAGCTAAATATATAGGTTCATCAGACTTAGTGGGTTGGGTATAGTCTACTATAACTGGATTAGATGTCTTAGTTGTGCTTCTTCCAGCAAAATCAGTGGCTGAAAAGAAATATAATATGTAATATTTGAAGCAGGTATCCTCTCGGGTAACTTTTAAAATAAATAATAGTCTTCTTGATATTTAGCAAAGAAATGTGGATTTCAGAAAAAAAAACAAAATCTTTGAAACATTTTTTTCCTACAAAATTACAAGTTTTGACACATTTTCTACCAAAAAACTTATATGCAATTTTTTCTGTATATCACCATCTCTGTCCTTTTCATTTCGAATAAAATAAAGCATATTTTGATGTCAAAAGTGGCATTTATAAATTTATAAACAAATCAGACAAAATTTTTTACATCAGAACATCTGTGCGAAGCCTTTACAGTGCAAAATTAATTCTTTAAACTATTTCCGAGTATCATCATATACAATACCTGTTACAGTGGCATAATAGACAAATCCATTCTGTAAACGAAGACCGTGGAAGGCTTTGTGATTGACTACTCCTACACTCTGCCATGCTACAACATCATTGGCTCCCTCAGATGTACCTAAAATACATACAAATTTATTACTCAACATTATCAATCTGCAGACCAAATATCAAATCATTTCCTTTCATTCAACCGAAGAAAACTTTGAAGAATATTTTCCTTTAACAATGAGTGTTGATAAATTTAAAACTATGAGCAGGCAGTAAGTGGTATTAACTTACCAATCCCTACAGTGTAGTCCATTATACCAGTAGGATTTGGTCCAGTCCCAAATTCATCAACATCTATAAAGGACTCCCAGTTAACATACATCTCTGTGATCGAACTCTGGAAGATAATTTTTGATATGATAAATGTCTCAGTGTGTAAGGGGCATAACACATAATAATAAAAACCATCAGGAAATGTTTAAGAACATAACATTATTGCAGCAACTCATTTAAAACAAAATCTTACAAGAAGAAATACTTGTCAGTCATGAACATTTCATTTTTAATGCAATTAAGAAACAAATTTTTTTGCTTTTGTAAGTTTCTAATCCCCTTTAAGTTGTTTTAAATAAAAATTGCCTGCATCAATCGCAAGCTGGAACCGTATTCATAACATTCAGAATCAAATCAATGAAATGATATGATATGTACCAATCATCAGGTTGTCTGCATATTGATATGGTAAAATATCAGCTGCAAGTCACAATATGAAGGTTTTTGTTGAGGAAGCCCAGTGAATGAGTTCAAATAAATGGAGAGTGTGTCCATGAGACACAGATGGTGCCCCCGCTTGCATATAACGTTATAAAGGGCATAACTCCAGTTCAACAGTAAAAGTGTAGCCACCCAAATTCGAACTTGATCTGAGTTTTGTGGTAATAAGCATTGTATATAAGTTTCATAACATTTGGATGAGGCAAACTAAAGTTAGAGAACGGAAACCAATTTTGCAATTTTATGAAGAGCTGAGCAGAGTAATACAGACGGTAGGAACACCGATAATACCTGGTATCTAACACTAGGACTATGAGAGATCCAAACTGCCCCTGCTGATGGTGATGTCAAATCCACCACAACTCCATCACTACATGTACTGACCGCTGCTAACACTTCTGTCCATGTATCACGGTCAATCTCTTTATAACCAGCATGGACACATACAATGTAACGAGTACCATGTACTAAATCTCCAGCAGAAAACACTTCATTCATAAATTCATTTTCTACAATACCAGAAAAGAAGAGTAGGATGAAATTCATGGGAATTACAGAACTATTTCTAAATGATTTTTTTTTCATCTGATAAATTCCTTCAAATAAGTGTAATTAAAAAAAATTCTATTTTACTTGTTTTTCAGCCAGATAAATGATTAAGAAGATGTGAGTATATGTCTATGAGGTAGCTACCAGACAAGAAAATAAACTTAGACATCCAGGGGTAATTATGTATATTGTATATGTGCATGCAGTGGTTATAATTTTACAATAGACTTATCAAATCTCTGTAATGTTTTGGCAAACCTCTTCCATAAGCACTAGCATGACTTATTGAAAGAACAATTTTCAACTTTCTGTTAAAGGAGATTTTTTTTATTTTCATACATACTTTATTACATGCAGAACGAACCCATCTCATTTTCAGATAAAATGTTTATCTTGAAATATATCAATTAACAATTACTTATAGCATTAGAGTGGGTGGCGCATATTCGCCTTGGACACATTTTTCGCCGTTTTGCTATTTTTTCTGTAAAATTTGTGTATCTTTACCCAATACTTGCCTAAATAGATGGCAAAGGCTTTTGTAATGTAACAACTGTTGATATTCCTCTTTACCCCATTTCCAAGGTTATTTGCACATATTGAGAAATACGCAGGTGTTTTTGGCAATTATGTAAGATTTATATGGCAATCATGCGCAGTCTTAAAGTAAATATTTGTGAGAAAAATCGTATAGGAATGATCCCTCAAGCTAATTCATGTAATAGCAAACATTCGTTTTTATAATATACCAGGATAATGAGGATGGTCATATCATACACTGCAACGAAAATGTGTCCCCCATGGTACACGAACAACTTGATTTCCTCTTGAGTTTGCGTTTGTTTTTAGAACAATTAACCAATGTTTTGAAGATAGTTTCTTTATCAAACATTTTTTTCATATAGTTAAATTTCTGAAACCTTCATAAAAAGTTCCAAATATTCGAATGTAGGTCGGATGTAAGTGGAAATGAACGAATTATGCGGCGAATATGGGTCTCTCACTCTATGTATTTTATAAAAAAAAATGTCTTTACTTTTATGGAGATCATTGAACACACACAAAACAGTGAATAACCCCTGTATGTTTTTTAAAGGATCACTAGAATTCACTAAATAAGTATTTTTCCAATGCAGATATGAAGCTGCTTATCTTTTTATTTATTGTTATATAAGTTAATTACACAAACCTGTTGTACCACATCTTATCTTATGAGCATGTGAACAGGGTTCATCTAATGAAAGGGTATCAGTTTGCTTATAATATGTTGCCACATCAACACTTTGACCATCCAATATGGCATATTTATAATCTCTGTGACGAAGAGTTGGCCAGACTGCTGATATAATGTTCTTATATGGGGTATAATCAACATCAGGTATGGTCCACAGTGCATTCTTCACAAGGACTATTTCATTACCAACACCATCTAAAACAAATTATAATTGTTACTTAAGTATTGTAAAAGCAGTAATTTTTTATGTTTTCATCGAACCATAGTATAACAAGAATGTGTCCATAGTACACGGATGCCCCATTCGCACTATCATTTTCTATGTTCAGTGGACCGTGAAATTGGGGTCAAAACTCTAATTTGGAATTAAAATTAGAAAGATCATATCATAGGGAACATATGTACTAAGTTTCAAGTTGATTGGACTCTTCAACTTCATCAAAAACTTCCTTGACCAAAAACTTAAACCTGAAGCGGGACAGACGGACGAACAAATGGACGGACGAACGAACGGACGGACGCTCAGACCGAAAAACATAATGCCCCTCTACTATCCTAGGTGGGGCATAAAAATATGAAAAATAGCTACCTTAAAAAAAACCTTAATTAAGAAAAGATATCAAAATATTTCAAAATGATAACATTCTACAGAAGCAGATAATTTAATTTCATTTTGTATCCCTAAAATTTAACCAGATATGTGAAAACCTCTCAGCTTCACAGTAGACATCCTACATATCCAAGTTCGTCATATGGGTGGAGAAATTGAAAAAAAAATATGCTACCATTACCGCCTACCTGAAATGAATTGTGAATATTGACCAATCAAACGCTTGCCGAGTTTGTACAAAACAACCATATTATGGTTAAGAGTGTACTCATTGTTCAATGAGCAAATTTATCTCACTATGAAAAGTTCATGCATTGAAATCTGGAAAATAAATACCTGAGAAAATATCCATTTTAAAAGCATTAAATCTCAGGGTCAATTATGTTTTGATTGATTGATTGTTGGTTGCTTAATGTCCAGTTGCACATTATGTTTTGAATACCTTCATGTAAACTAACAAAGTTATATATTCAATGGCTGTAAAAACTTATATTGTCAATGACAGCAAATTGTAATGAGTTATAAAGTTAATATTACTCAAATAGTAAACCTACCTTCTGAATCAGGTGCACCTTTAGCATCAATAACAATATTAGGAATAATTAACTTTGGATTGAAGGCATCACATTGTTTTATTTCTGTTGATACTAAAGAGTACATCTGTACTCTGTTAAATCCCCTAACAGAAAATCTTTTGCATTTCGAAAAGTCCATTTCTCCAGTCAAGGTCACATCAAAGGTTACCTGAAAGAAGACAAGTAAACTTAAACTTCATATTCAGTTTGCTTTCAAGTGTTTGTTACTGTACTTTCATTCAGTTTTTAACAGATGAATATTGGAAATGGTTAGGATGATTTAGTTATAAGGAGTTGAAATCAAATACATTTTGGTCTGATTTTCATTAATAATAGATATCTTTTTAATCAATGTTTAACTTTTTCTTGAAGAGAAGCCACCTATATAATTCCTTTTAATAATATGAATTTTATATCCTGACTTATTAGTATTCAATACTACAAAAAAATTAAAGAACAAAGTTCCAATGTCCCCCACGTTGCACATATCTTATCTATCCAAGGGCAATAACTAGAAAAAAATTTTGGTTAGTTCTTTATAACTTTTTATAAATATCTTAGAGAAATTAAGGCTTGAGAGCAAATACAATGCAATTTCCAATATAAGTAATATTTCCAAGGGGCATAACTCTATGGTATAAGTTTCATAAAAATCTGGCAAGAATTGTACACATGAGAGCGCTTACAATGCAATTTTTCAAAGGGGCATAACTCTTTAAAAGTTATTGATCAGCACTATTTTTCTAACTTGTCCGAGATATTGCTGATATAAACCTACAATATGAGTTTCAGAAAATCTGGCAAGAACTGTACATGAGATAGCTAACAAGGCAATTTTCCATATAATTAATATTCCAAAGGGGCATAACTCTTTTAAAAATAATAAACTGGCACTGATTTTTGAATTCGTCTGACATACTGCTGATATAAACCTATATGAGTTTCATAAATATCTGGCAAGAATTGTACACATGAGAGTGCTAACTAGGCAATTTTCCATATAATTAACATTCTAAAGGCACATAACTCTTTTAAAAATAATTGATCGGCACTTGTTTTCAAATTTGTTAGAGATATTGCTGATATAAACCTATGATATGAGTTTCATAAAAATCTCTGGCAAGAATTGTACACATGAGAGCGCTAACAAGGCAATTTTCCATATAATTAATATTTCAAAGGGCATAACTCTTTTCACTGCTTTTCAAACTTGTCAAAGATATTGCTGTTATAAACCAATGATATAAGTTTTATAAAAATCTGGCAGGAATTGTACACTTGAGAGCGCTAACAAGACCGGAAGGATGGAGAGACGCCTGGAATCCTATGTCCCCTGCAATGTGTTGTGTGAGGGACAATAATATTTACATATTGAGTCAATTTTTACATGAAAACATTGAATACAATACCTCTATTAGGAATTCTAATTTAAGTAGCTATATTTTTTTTTCTCTCCAATATCTCTAACTGAAAAATATATCTGATGACATGCAAGATTTTCTGTTAAAAATAATGAAATATTGATATCTGACTTACGGTATCTCCTGTAGGAACAGTTAATGCTGTCCAGTTAGTGTAAATATTTCCCATCCAAGAATTATCAGTTATAGCATATTCATATTTGTTCACAGCATCATACTTTTCTGTAGTATCTGGGATGTCAGGATCATAAAAATTATCCAAGGTAACACTCAACTATGGAAAAAAATAGACAACAAAAGTAATATTTTTTTTTAATTGTAGAGAATATGAATTTGGTGGCAGGTCAATTTTTCTAGATTCAGATTGCTTTAGAGCATATCTATTGCTTAAAAACATATGCAGACTTCAACTTCTAAACGTCTTATGATTTTATGTATTTTGAGTTCTTTCGCTGCAAACTATATCCAATAACTTTTATTCATGCATATTACCGCACAGGAAATCATCAATATGTCTGTAAAGGTTTGTTAACCAAAAAACTTAGGATTACTTTGGATATGTATTGAAATGAAATTGTTGTGCATAAAAACATGGGAAATATATTCCTAGAAACTGTGAAGAACAGCAATAAGATGCTTTTCCTTTCATATATTTGATTATTTCCTATCAGTATAGTAGATTTTTGTCTAATTAATAGCAAACCTATAAATATAAAAAATTAAAAGTTTAACATTTCTGTTTTTTGCATATGATAATTAATGTTGGTAAGTGTGTATCAGTTTAAAATATTAATTTTACATAGAACATATTGCAAAATATTATACTAGTGTAAGTATATACTGTGGATTCATTAATATTCGTTGGATACCAATTTTCGTGGATTTCGTGGGTACAGTGGAACCACGAATTTAAATGTTCAACGAATTACAAGTTTTCTAAAGGAATGTATGCAGACTTTGCCAAAACAACGAAATTAAATGTCCACAAAAATGCTAGTTTTCCTCAATCCACGAAAATTGGTACCCACGAAATTAAATAAATCCACAGTATATTAAATATATTAAGCATCAAAATTCACAAACTTAAACCAATACAAATTGAGGTAGATTATTTGACCTATTGGTCTTGTTCTAACCTTTTCAGGACTTCCATCTTGGTGTTCTACACTAAAATTTCCTGTTATTGGTGGGTTGGATATAATCATAACACCATCTGTTGATATAGGTCGGAAACATGTCTGTTGAGCACACAACTTAAGAGTGGTACGGTACTTGAACCCTGGGTTCATAGTGAGTTCATTGGTACTGACACTAAAACTTGTAGAATTTATGTACTCATAGTTTCTGAACACAGTCCAGGTGGTAGCTGGAAATAAATGTAACTTGTCAGTATAACAAAATTACCTTAAAAAGCAAAAATTAATACAACCCTTAATCTAAAAATATATCATTCAAACTGTGAAAAGTCAAATTATCTTGTGAAAAAGCATTTCATCTTTACATTAAGGTCAAATTAAGCTGTAACTGAATAAAAAAAATATTTGCTTTTATCCAAACCTTAAAGAGTGCAAAAAATAGTCTAACTACACAGAGAGGTAATGAAAACACAAAGGGACAGTATTAAACATTTTTTGCTATTAAGAAATAACTCAAAACAAAAATTATTCATTTCACAATAATGTCAATCAAAGCTTAAAATCCCCCCATTGCATTCTTAATTTTCAGAATAATTATCATATTTCAAAACCTATCTCACCAGAAACTTGTGACCTCTGTTCAACCTTGAAATAAGCATCAGGTGTATACAATTGTGCTGATGAAGGAATAGTCCAGTAAGCACTCAGGGTATTAGTAGAGGATTGTACATCTATGTCATCTTCACATGGTACCCTATGATCCTACAAAACATAAGCAAGGCCTTGTTACATGGCATTAGCAACTACATATATATCAAACACTTATTTACAATTGTATTACATTTTTTGTACCAAGGTGTATTCATATCAATATTCAGGTCTTGTCTGACAGTAAATCATTGCAATACAAAGACAGAGAAAATTTAGTCAGAAAGATCAAAGGCAAACTAGTTACTAGTTAAATACAGGTAATAAAATGATAATTATAATACTTACATGTTCATGATGTGAGAATGTTTCACCTGAAAAATAAAAAACTTATAATGCAGAATCTTAAATAAATTTCAGTGAAAAAAAGTAAAAACTTACTGATCTAACATTATTTTCAGTCATAAAAATATCTTTAAATAAATAAATCATTACCATAGAAAATACTTTTAAAAAAACATACTGTTGATTGATTGATTGGTTTATTTTTTTAAATTGTTATTTTTCATTGTGGTCTGAGGAAAAATGTATTATCATAAATATTTGATTTTGTGGTTTCCCAAAAATTTGCAATAGACCATAGAGAAAATGTGTACTTTGTTGAATATGCAACTTCTTTGTACACCTTCACCCATGAAATCCATAATAAACTGTTATCACAGAAATATGTCTTGCCTTTTTGTAATTTTGATAATGCAAATGTTGAAATTAAAATAGCAATACTTTAACATGTAGTTTATGCAAATATTCAAAGTCAATGAACCATGACTGAAGGTACAGTTTGGCTAAACAATCTCCATGGAAATTTGATGTGCCAATGCAAATACAACTACATACCAAATATCATTGACTTTAATATCATAAGTCGTTCTCTTTAAACAAACCTAAACACAAACATTAACTTGTAAACTATGACAAGTTTCAAAGTTAATGAACCATGATGAGGGGGTGGGGCTATATAATCTCCATGGAAACGAGACTTGCAAATGGCAATAAATTTGCATACCAAATATCATTGACTTAACATTAGCGGTTCATCTTAAACTGATCTAATCACAAGCTAATACATGTAAACTAAGCAAAAGTTTCAAAGTCAATAGACCATGACTAAGGGGGCTGGGCCAAATAATCTCCATGGAAATGAGATATGCCAATGCTAATACAACTGCATACCAAATATCATTGACATAACACTAGTGGTTTACCATCAACTAGACCTAATCACAAACTAATACATTGTTGACGCCGCCGGCAATGCCGGAAACAGCATACCTATGTCTCGACTCTGTCATGGCGAGACAAAAATGTGTGCCCATGAATAATCATGAATCAACAGGTAGATTTGACAATAAAATGTCACAATTCTCTTGTTTTTTTCTCTAAAAGTCTTCAGCTGACTGGAAATATATCTTCTAAATATATACCAATTAAGTTTTGATATAAAACATGTAGTATTTTTTCATTTAGACTTACTAGATAGATTACAAGGAATACCATCATAGATTGCAATACCAAGTAATGTCTCATATTCTTGTACTATGGTAACACCATCAGATGATACTGAAGTACTGCCAACTGATGTTGCAGCTGTCACCGTAAAATAATATTTCTGAGAGAGAAAAACAAACACTATAAATATTCTTTATATATTAAACTACTGTTCAGTGACATAGGAAGTTTTCAAAATCATAAAAATTGGAATTTCATTAAAAAAAATTTGATCACTGCATTGGGCAGTATAATTATATTTACAGGTACATAAGATCAAGCTATTTTCATTTGTTCTTCAACATGATCAAATCAGGTCTGAAACCATTGGGAGTTTGGCAGATGACCTTGTGAATGGACATCTCATTTAAAAGGACCTGTGAACTTTAAAAATGTATAAAAACTGTTTATTTAAATGTTTTATTAGCTAAAAAGTGATCTGATGATTCTATTTTTAAACATGATCTTGTGACCTAAGGAGGTACCCTAATGGCATCCCTTATTTAAAGGATAGCAGAAAATTACAAACATGTTGTAGCTTTATTGGCCATGAGCTTTTAAATTATTTGCAAGAAATCTTTGCACTTAAAATAAATTTTCTTCATCCAATAAACCCCTAAATCAAGCAACACTTAATATATCAGATTCAACATACATTAATGAGAATAAAACCATTGAAGTATTTCAAAATACAAACCTGAAATGTACTAAGCGAAAGTCCAGATTGTTTATGATATGTACTGGTTCCCACATTTTCACTATTTATCACATCATTCCCTCCTTTTGTAGTTCCTATACTTATTGTATAGGTAACAGTTAGATGTGGATGATCAAATCCTGACCAGCGGGCCACAAGTGTTGAGAGATCAGTGTGGAAATCAACATCCTGTATATCCTATAAATGTAATTTTAGACCATGGTAAAAAAAATATATTGTACAATACATGTACTTGCATGGAATAAACAAAAAGAACACATCAATTTAGTAATCAGGTAATTTCATATATTTTACCTACTATGGCTGTGCTTGTAATTATCAATGAATGAAATTTAACTTTAGACCTGTTAAAAATACCTTCCATTTAAAAAAAGAGCTAAGGTATAATATTTCTGTGGAATAACATTTAGTTTGTGTTTTTAAGCTAGATTTTATCTAACATCAATCAATGCCAATATATTGTACAGTCAACTCCAATTAATCACATATCGCTTTATTCAATAATTCGGTTAATTGCATAACTTTTTCCTGCACAAAACCATTTCCCATTCATCTAATGTTAAATTATACGGTTATATGCATAGCCTAACAAGTGGCCTTTCGGTTAATTGCATAGAAAAAAATCGGCAGCTAAATTATTAAAACTGACGAGATTTTTGACAGGAAACGGCAATTTGGTAAGTATATTTTTCTTGAATGCATTCTTATTTTTGTTACTATTTCATATTCACTATTGTGATATTTAAATTAAAGAACCTTAGTGAGCGCGCTCACATACCCCACGTCCCCACATTGTCACTGGAGAAATAAAATAATTGTAAGAAAAAAAAATTGTATAAGAAAAAAAAATTGAATCATAATTTCCTGTCGATATGCACATCTACATAGTATGTCCTTATTATCTACAAAGTTTCATGAAATTCTGTTGTGTGGTTTCAGAGGAGTTGCGATGAAAAACTGTTGCAGAGGTATATTGAAGCAAATAAGTTCAAAGGGGCATAACTCCTAGAAAAAAAATTGAATCATAATTTCCTGTCGTTATGCACATCTACCTAGTATGTCCCTATTATCTACAAAGTTTCATGAAATTCTGTTGTGTGGTTTCAGAGGAGTTGCGATGACAAACTGTTGCAGAGGTATATTGAAGCAAATAAGTTCAAAGGGACGTAACTCCTAGAAAAAATATTGAATCATAATTTCCTGTCGATATGCACATCTACCTAGTATGTCCTTATTATCTGAAAAGATTTCATGAGATTCTGTTGTGTGGTTTGAGAGGAGTTGCGATGACAAAAGGTTGCAGTAGTATATTGGGCAAATAAGTTCAAAGGGGCGTAACTCCTGGAAAAAAAATTGAATCGTAATTTCCTGTCGATAAGCACATCTACGTAGTATGTCCTTATTATCTACAAAGTTTCATGAAATTTTGTTGTGTGGTTTCAGAGGAGTTGAGATGACAAACTGTTGCATAGTACATTAAAGTAAATAAGTTCAAAGGGCATAACTACTAGAAAAAAAATTGAATCGTAATTTCCTGTCGATATGCACAACTACATAGTATGTCCTTATTATTTAAAAAGGTTTCATGAAATTGTGTTGTGTGGTTTGAGAGGAGTTGCGATGACAAGAAACAGGACTGACGGACTGACGGACGGACAGACAGACGGACGGGTCAAAAACATTATACCCTCCGCAACTTGTGCGTGGGGTATAATAAAGTTTTATAACAGTTTCTTTCGTGTTTATTTGATGGGATATTGATTAATAACCCTGGATGTGTACACAGATGAAGTTTCCCTTGTTCTATTTTAACCCTCGAGGACATAAAATGTTAAACAGGTAATTGTTGTAAAAACACGACCATTTTCTACCAAAAAGTGTTAATTATTGATTAGATTTGAAACATGTCCATAGATTACATTTGGGTGAATTTTAAAAACAATGACTCCTGCAATTCACTTTGAAAGACCATCCGATGAGTACACTCGTAATTCATCTTGGGCTGAATTGCATTCAGGTTAAACATTACAGGGCATTTATATATGGTTTATGATTTTCATACATCAAACATTTTTCTTTTAATTGTTGAAAAGTGCATTTACTTCTAATTATCATATTTTCTCATGTTCAACACGCGTCAAGCAAATAACTCGTTAAGGGCCCCTTTACTGCTTTGCATATACGAAAACTATCTAGTGTTACATCACTGTGCCAGCGATACATATTTTTTTTGCACACCAAAGGCACTACATTACACATTTATTATTAACAAAGACAATAAACTGTGTAGAATTGTTGAACAGTTTTTTAATCAAAACATGATAATGTTTCATTGAACATACGGGTCATACAAACAAATCTATTCTTAGAACAATTGGTTTTATTTTTATATCTAAGGTAAAGGAAACATCAGTACACAAAAAAACTAAAACAAAATGTGTTTATAAACTTTATTGAAAGAATTGAAAAACAATAACACATATGACATCAGTTACATAACTTTTATTAGAATAAATCATCATTCAACACATTCCAAGTGGATCACGGCTCTTTTTCAGGGATTTCCTTGACTGATCTTTACTTTCAATGATAATTAACTCCGTAATTTTGCATTTCGGATATAAGCATACACCGCTTAATTGCATAATTTTGTCTGACAAATAGGCTATGCAAATACACCGGAATCAACTGTATTATTTTATGAAAGGTAGAATGTCTGAAACTGCTGATTAACAGCAATAATTTGCAGTCATACTCATAAAGCAAGCTATTAATTGAGTTTGATATCTAATACACAGGCATCTAAAGGAAAGATTTATCAAATCTTTAAGAGAAACAATTTGCACACATAACCAAGAATCAAGTCATCAGCTGGATTCAATATTTAATACAATAAATATCCATATAATTTGCAATTGTTAAGTTACAAGTCTTACCAATGAGATATTAGCCTCACATACCTTTTTCAATGAATACAAACTTAGTCATAACAGTATAGGAATGCTTTATCAACAGTACAGATACACTAACATAGATAGAACATTATCTAGAAAAAAAGACCTGTGAGGCAAAAAGAATCTATAAAAATGTTTCTATCTTTAAATGTTTTTATCATTATTCTTATAGGAGTATTTGTAACAGCACTAACTTTTTATACAAAAAGTTATGTGAATGATTTGTAACCATTATTCTTTTAGTTCATTTATTTAAACATATGTTCCCAGTTGTGAAATCTGTCAGTCAGACATGTACCACTTACAATCATTCCATATACCAAATTTAGTTGACTCATTGCTTATAGTATCTGAGAAATAGACCAAACTACAAAAAACTTAACATTGTTCAATGAACCATGAAATCGAAGACAAGGTCAGATGAAATCTGTCAGTCTGACATGCACATACTTGCCAACCTTGTAAAAACTAATCACAAACTACTTACCTTAAGGGCTTTTGCTGTTCGTCCATATAGAAAAATAAACAATGGCGACAATACAATCACTTCGAAATTTTCGGTATTTTTTGTCTAATAATGAAAAAACCCGAGAATCTCGATATCACTAACGACCAAAAAATCAAAACAACGAAAAAGCGTGTAATTGCGTGTAAAGTGGCGAAATGCGTGTACACGCCATGTGACAAAATCCTTGCGTGTAAACCGTTGAAAAAGCGTGTAATACACGTAAATATCATGTCAGTTGGCAACAATGGACATGCACCCCTTACAATCATTCCATACACCAAATATAGTTGACTTATTGCTTATAGTATCTGAGAAATAGACCAAACCACAAAAAACTAAATATTGTTCAATGAACCATGAAATTGAGGTCAAGGTCAGATCAAATCTGTCAGTCGAACATGTACCCATTACAATCATTCCATACACCAAATATAGTTGACTTATTGCTTATAGTATCTGAGAAATAGACCAAACCACAAAAACTAAACATTGTTCAATGAACTATGAAATTGAGGTCACGGTCAGAAGAAACCTGTCAGTCAGACATGTACTTCTTACACCAAATATAGTTGACCTAATGCTTATAGTATCTGAGAAATAGACAAAACCACAAAAACTTAACATTGTTCAATGAACCATTAAAATTGAGGACAAGGTCAGATGAAATCTGTCAGTCGGACGTGTACTCCATACATTATCATTCAATACACCAAATATAGTTGACCTATTGTATACAGTATCCGAGATACGGACTTGACCATGTAACTTTAACCTTGGTCACTGATCCATTGAATAAGGTTGCCACTGGATTGTAATACCTATGTTTCGCATACCGAAAGTCGCAGGCAACACAAAAATGAAAGACAATATATTCACCTGTAAAGGCAATGGATCACTCACAACATAATCCTGCAAAGATAAAAGCATTTATTCATATTTAGTATATAAATTACAGGTACACATATTTATGATTTTATAAATACAAAATATTAGCATACCTAAACTCAGGTAGAAAAGTTTTTCTGAAGCTAAAAGCAAAACACTTCATCACTGTCTCAGACTATTTCTTTTTAATGTTTAAAATTTAAATCTGTTGTGTGTTAGAGACTTGAAATTTTATCTGAAATGCATTATAACTTTAATCAAATGCTCTGCTGGGCGCAGCTTCATACGACCGCAGAGGTTGAACCCTGAACAGTTAGGGCAAGTATGGACACAACATTCAAGCTTGATATAACTCTGAATTTGGATTACGATTAAATATTTGACACAGCATAGGTTTCTGACACAGAATGGATGTGGTCTAAGAACTTAAAATTTTTTAATTTACCTATTCAAACCATATCATTATTATTTGCTTTTATATATAAATCAGAAATAACCAATTTAAGGAAAAAAAGGAAAAAAAATCCCCCCCCCCCAATTTTTTCAATCCCCTTATGATTCATCACCCCCAAACTCAATCCCAGCCTTCCCTTTGTGGTATGGTACCTTGCAGTACAATTTCAGAGAGATCCATATACTTGAACACAAGTTATTGTCTGGAAACTAGAAAAATGCTTGCTTTTTTGCCCCTTTTTGGCCCCAAATTCCTAAACGTTTAGGGCAATTACCCCCAAACTCAAACCCAGCTTTTCCTTTGTGATATGGAACCTTGTAGTACAATTTCATAAAGATCCATACACTTACACACAAGTTATTGTCCTGAAACTAGAAAAATGCTTGTTTTTTGCCCCTTTTTGGCCCCTAATTCCTAAAATTTTGAGGCAATTACCCCCAAAATCAATCCCAGCCTTCCCTTTGTGATATGGAACCTTGTGGTACAATGTCAGAGAGATCCATACACTTGAACACAAGTTATTGTCTGGAAACTAGAAAAATGCTTATTTTTGGCCCATTTTTGGCCCCTTATTCCTAAAAATTTTGAGCAATTACCCCCAAACTCAATTCCAGCTTTCCCTTTGTGATATGGAACCTTGTGGTACAATGTCAGAGAGATCTAACACTTGAACACAAGTTTTTGTTTGGAAACTAGAAAAATGCTTATTTTTGGCCCATTATTCCTAAACATTTTGGGCAATTACCCCCAAACTCAATTCCAGCTTTCCCTTTGTGATATGGAACCTTGTAGTACAATTTTGGAAAGATCCATACACTTACACACAAATTATTGTCATGAAACTAGAAATGCTTGTTTTTTGCCCCTTTTTTGGCCCTTAACTCCTACAATTTTGAGGCAATTACCCCCAAAATCAATCCCAGCATTCCCTTTGTGATATGGAACCTTGTGGTACAATGTCAGAGAGATCCATACACTTACACAAGCTATTGTCCAGAAACTACAAACATGCTTGTTTTTGGCCCCTAATTCCTAAACTGTTGGTACCATAACCCCCAAAATCAATCCCAACCTTCCTTTTGTGGTATTGAACCTTATGGTAAAATTTCATAGAGATCCATTCACTTAAACTAAAGTTAGAGTGCGAAAACCAATGTGTCTTCGGACGACGACAACGAAGACGCCAACGTCATACCAATATACGACTGCAAAATTTTTTTGCTGTCGTATAAAAATCATACTAAATTGCACTTAGATTATTTCTAAAATCTTTGTCCCTACTGAGTTTCCTTGAAATATTGGTCACTGTCCATTTTATCAGATAAATAAGAAAACAACTTACACGATCAGGCTCTATATCAAACACTACACCTTCAGCAGGAAGTTGTACATTATGGATGTAAGGTCCAGATGACATAATCTTAACCAGGCCTGCAGTGTTGGTCACTTTGATGGACACATAATACTTATGATTACCATGGAGAGACCAGTCCAAGGTTGTTACCATTACAGCAGTACAGGTTGGTGTTACAATGTCTGTACATGTACCTCCTCCTGATAGAGGCATGTATTGTTGTATCTGTGTACCTAATGTTGCGTCACCTGAAAATATTATATATATATAAAGATATGAAAAAATGTGAGAAAATACATATCTAATCGCACAATAAACTTCAATAAAATCTTCAATTTATTTTTTAAATTCCTTTGAGACAGGACAACTATTTATTACTTAAGCACTTAGCAGTTTTGAGAAAAATGAAACTAAAATGAGAACGAACTTTGTTTAGTCTTAGATGCATGATTTTTTTTTATTAGTTGTTATTGGCTTTGAACTAGCTGTCAGTAACTGCAAGTACTCTCAGATCTGTGCTAAGTGTCTTTTTGTTGTTGGGATGTACAAGTACATGTCCACGTCCACTTTGTGTTTTTGTTAGATGTATTTCTATTTGTATCCATCTGATGAGTTAAGCCTTTTTCAACTGAATTTTATACTTTGTTCTTATGTTGTACTGTTACACCACTGTCCCAGATTAAGGGGAGGGTTGGTACCTTCAAACTAGTTTAACCCGCTACATTCTATATGTGCCTGTCCCAAGTCAGGAGCCTGTATTTCAGTGGTTGTCATTTGTTGCTGTGTTACATATTTGTTTTTTTAGTTCATTATTTTGAACATAAATTAGGCCGTTAGTTTTCTAATTTGAATTGTTTTACATTTGTCATTTCGGGGCATTTTATAGCTGACTATGCGGTATGGGCTTTGTTCATTGTTGAAGGCCGTCTGGTGACCTATAGTTGTTAATTTCTGTGTCATTTGGTCTATTGTGGAGAGTTGTCTCATTGGCATTCATACCACATATTCTTTTTATATTTGAGACACATGTCCAAATACTCTGACCTATAATTTGTGAGCTCTTTATTTGGGACTTCCAAGTGCTACAGTAAAACACTAGAAAGTTGAAATATAAAACCTTGCCACTTTTACCTATAGCAAATTCATAATTGATGTCAAATGGTTCTTCACTGTCTGAGAATGCTCCACTGGTCCACTCTGCAACAAGATACTGATCAGAAAGGGACAGTGTTATAGTCCCTGAGAAATCTGGTGGTGTGGTGTCCATAAAGCAAGGTCCAATAGACTGCAAGTACAGATATACTTCTTATTCTTAAATTTTTAAATTAGATTACAGACTATATTATTGTATGTTTGGGTAAACAGTTCAAATAATGAAATGAATGTTATTTGTTTGCAGGTGTACATTTTGCTCTATGAGGGTCTGGATGGGGTTTACAGCATAGAAAATAATGAGCGAAATTTTTTAAGAATAAGGAAAAATGAGCAAAAAAATCAAATAGAGAATAATGGGGTGCTAAAACATAAAGAGGGGAGAATAATGGGCAAAAAAAAACTTATACAGAAAAATGGTCTAAAAAATTACAGAATAAAGAAATGAAGAACACCCCGTCTAGATCCTCCTATATATGGTTTTTCTGCTTTTCTTGAACTAATTTTGGTATTGATAACATTTATCAAACATTCAAATGACTAGAAACAAATATATATTGAACATTTCCTACATAAAATTCGTTAAATAAAAAATACCTACCACAAGACCTTCGACGTTGGATCCACTTATTCCTTTAATGATGATATAAAATTCTGTTCCATCAGGAATATCTGCATGTTGTATTCTAATATGTGGATTCTGGTTGGTAGTGATAAAGTGCATTAAATCTGGAGCAGTACTACCTGCAGTAGATGACAGTCCTACTTCATAATCATAGATTTTAGCTGGTAAATCATCTACAATCCATGATACTGAAAACTGAAACAAACAAAAAAATGTTAAAGAATATATATTAAAAAATCACATACTGCAAACGAATATAATAGGTAATATATGATTTACCATGAGTAAAATCAATGTGATAAGATAAAACAAATACTTTAAAAATACAAAAAAAGATTACATATATATATGCTTGATGATTTTCATTGTGACTTTTATGTTGTTTCAGAAATAATTCTTTCATGACATGCTGTATGCTTATTTTAACATCATTGGACATTATATTTGTTAATATCTTTACATAAAGAGTAAGCAAGGTGTAAAATGATGACACATATAATGCCTACCTATTTTAAAATGAGCAAAGAGTATGTCATGAAAGAATTATTGTGATTCCAAATGGAAAATTCCTAACTTCTTTCATCGGAAGTAGACCTATAAGACACCTTCCAAAGTCAATAATTTTGATTTGATAAAGCAAAAATGTTTAAAAAAACAAACTTTTTTATGACTACAAAGTGAACAATAAACATAGGAACTATTTTGTTTTAAATATGTACTACTTTCCAGTATGTTCTTTTAGACCAGGCCCGATTTGGTGGTGTTACATCTTACCAAGTCTACCCGAATTATTTTGGCAAAGAATTCTGCTCAAACAAGTGCTAGGGGCCATCTTAAACTTGCAGTGAGGTGAGAGTTTTCTTGCTCCGTGTTGGAGGCCACACTGTGACTTTGAGATGAAGAACAGCAATAAAAGCACTGTTCCTTTGCTTTTTGCTTGTATTTTGCTGTCTATGTACTGATTTTGTGTCAAGGATGAATACACCAAATGCTATTGTTTTTCCATTAAATTCTTACACATTTACTTTTTTAAAAGATTTTTTGTATTTCCTTCCAAGCAATGCCATAAAATTAGTAGATTTTGATCTTTGGCATCATTAAAATAACAAAATGTATGAACAATTCTCCAATTTTTTGTAACACTTCTACTAGGAGGAATGTTTAACAACCTTGACTACCCATGAGGTCTTGCACGGTTGGTGTTGTGACACTGAGCACATGTACCTCATGTTTTCATGGAATTAGAACACACAGCTTTGTTTCCAAAGCCAAAAAAGAGTGTCATAAAAGATTTATAGTGTTTACACTCAGATTTTCAATCCACTTTTTTCATTTATTTCCAAACTCATCCTATAATGAACTGTAGATATCAATTTTGATTAATGTTTATTGCTAGGTTCATGCCTCACTGACCTCTCTGATATTTATCCCGTCTCCATATGCATTTTATTGTTGTAACAGAGATGCATAGGCTGAAAGTAATTTTGGAGAAAAAAAAATATTATCTTATTATTGAACATATCCAATGCATGTTTTCATATGTTTTACACTTCAAATACTAAAATCATCCTACCATATTAGAAGTAGACATAGATAGACCAGAACTTGTTGGAGCTCCTGTAGAGTTCTCACAAAACACATTTCCATCAACTTCTACAGCTGATTCATTTTCATATCTCTGTACAGGATAAAGATCAAGATCAGTCTTCTCTGTAGCCTTGGTACTGCAAATATATAACATTTGGTCAAATATATTTTATAGACAAAGATCAAGACTTATATTTTTTTGCAACTATTGACAGCAACTATATAACATTTTGTCAAATATGAAATTGAATATCAATAAAATTCATACTGCAAAATTATAGTTATCTTGATAATTTTAACGGATAAAAATGAAGATTACTGTTTGCCTTTTCTGTAGCCTTTAAACTATACATGTGAAACTATGTTCTTATCTCGTGAAAATTACATATTAACATTTAAATGAGGAATTCTTGGATATGGCAGCTTACAAAAGAACAGTGAACCCTGTCTAAAGTGAATTCTTATTAAGTTCCATCTACAATAAATATTCTTAAAATTTTAGCATCCCCAAATACATTTAACCTGTCTAATGTGAACAAAATATTTAGTGCGGAGGTGGTCCTGTTTCAAACTTTCACTATACATCACTGTATTTGTGTTTATATATCACCTGCATTCTGGTGTATGATTGGCTATCAATCTGAGAGTTCTGTCTGACGACAAAATCCAATAGTTCGTCTTGGCAACATCTGTAACAAGCCCTCCCTTTACAACAGTATTATTCACAGTAACTTCTTTAATTGTTGGTACTGTTGTATCTATGGTAACACCGTCAGAACACACAGGATCAGAGTGATCTAATGCTCTGTTGTATGCCACGACAGTAAAGTAGTATGTTCCTATTCCGGGAGCTGTGTAGGTTCCAAAGGTTTCATAGGTTTCTACAACCTGTAATGATTAATATAACAGTAAAACTCCTAAAAACATTAAAACATGATTATTTATTACCTGAAAACCATATATTTATGTTTGTAGTCAGTTACCATAGTTACTATGATATGTTTTTCAAAGAGTGTTGACTGTAAATTCATAAATTGTTGTGAGCATTTATTACTTCCATGGTTAAACGATGCACAAAAATGCAAAATTGATTATTGCAATATCAGAAAATGCTCCATATAAATAAAGATATCTAAATTTTTAATACAAGTTGTTATTTTAAAGAAACAATTATTCAATCACAATTTTCTGTAATTATGAAAACATGGCAAAAAATTGTGAATTTACAGTAGTTGATACTTTCGAAAATCACAAGAAGACAGTGTGGTTAAAATAAAACTATTGATTGAAAATGAAAATAAAGAAACAGTGGATGTACATGTAAACTGTCCTGATTTTACATGCCACATCCTTGAATTTGTCCACTGAACCAACATTTTTCGATCAAATTATATTTTTAAACAAATGTAATAGACTCTGTTAATGTAAATGGTTGACATTTTTTCCAATAAGAAATGATAATATATATTCTGTGCTAATCTTAAAACAAACTAACAAGGCCCAAGACAGAGAACATTTCAAGTCTTTTGTTTTAAATTTATTGATTTAAATCAAATTAACTTTTCTCAATTCTAAAATATTTCTTGACCAACATTTATCAATCAAGGTCATAAAATTTGTTATCAAACATCCATTTTTTTCATGTTTTTTCACAAAAAACAAAAGTGGAAACAAAATAGGTTTGCACTTGATCTGCCATAGTATTGACAATATACATACATCAGCATGTGTACGATTTAGATCAAAATCTGCCTTGACAGCACAACTGGTTCCTGGTATGTATTGGTAAAACAATACACCACTTTCTTTGTCAAAGAACTGGTCCCAGTATGCTGTTAGAGTGGTTCCTTGTTGATAATCACCTTCTGGACTACCTCTCATGCCATCATGAACCATACCAGTATGTGGAGGTGTAATATCTATGGTGATCTGCAATTTTTTATCATAGATGGAATGACCAAAATATTGCAAAATAAAGCATACTCATGTAAATATTACATCATATTAGTGCAACCTATAACCAGTTACTCAGATAATCTTTCGACTGAGTAACCTTTAAACAGGTATGACAAATAATGTTCCAAGAGAATGTACCCTCGGGGTGAAGAAATATGCTCATTTCTTGGTCTTCTTCCGACCTGCAGTAAAACACTTGCCAAAGTGAGCATCCTTTTGGCTGTGTGTGACATGTGAATTACCAGCCAGGTCTAGTCAGAATGGGGACATTAAATATGATGCCTTGTTTATAGACAAAGTAAAGCTCTTTGCATGTTTATAACCCACCATGCCGGTCGACCCCTATTACAGGACCTCCTTATTGTATTAGTTGTCAATTTGTTCTCATTATGAACATGCATGAAATATTTTCCACTAGGCATTATGCAAACATCAGAACAACAAGTATACACTAAGTTTGCCAAAGTGAGCATCCTTTTGGCTGTGTGTGACATGTGAATTACCAGCCAGGTCTAGTCAGAATGGGGACATTAAATATGATGCCTTGTTAATAGACAATGAATTTCACAATTTTTGAATCAGCATCTTGTTTGAAATATAATAGAGCTTAGAATGTGGATAATTTTAATTTTACATTTACTCATTTTAAGTTAAAATGAAATGAACAAGTAAATCATAATTTGATCAGCTTTACACACTTATACATATTATGTTTACTTAAAATTTTGATTTATTGATTGGTGTTTAATGCCACTTTCAGCACTATTATGCTATTTCGTGGCGGTCAGTTTTTATTGGTGGAGGAAACCAGAGTGCCAGGAGAAAACCACAGACCTTTGGTAGGAAAACTGACAATCCTAGTCAATTAAGATTGGAGTCGAGCACACCTGCCACGTGCGGCATTCGAACTCACAACTTAAGTGCTGACAGGCTAATGATACAGTAGTTCGACTACTTAGACAATTCAGTCACCTTAAAATTTTGTTCCAAGCTGATATACAAATTAAAGTGTCTTCGTGCTAATTAACTTAGGTATAAATGGAGTTATTCATTGTTAATTAAGTCACAAATGTACTGGATAATTGATCTCATTAAGTACCATGATAATCATGTTAAAACATTAGCAATGTGTTTTTTTTTTGTTTTTTTTTAATGATTTCAATATACATTTATACCAAAACTATCAAAATTGAAAAAGTTCCAAATAACCTGTTAATGATTTTGGTATTCGTTATTTGGTCATTACGACAGTTGACCGGTTAACCAATTTACCGTTGACAACACTACATTATATCATAAAACTTGACGAACAAGGAAGTAAATTGTAAAATAGTCTAAATGACAGAAATTCCTTTATTTTGTTTTTATCTACACTTAAAACAAACAATGACCAGTTTTAAAAGTGTTCAGCTTCTTGAAAGAAGGTTTTATCAACTAAACATAAAGAATTGTTCAAATCTATTACAAGTCTTTATCTAAATGCACCTCAAAAGAATTGTCAAAACTTATACAAGTCTTTACCTAAATGCACCTCAAAAGAGCATACATGAAATTTTCAAGATTTGCAGGATACAATATGCAAGAACTTAACATGTAGAAGTTTTCATTATATATCTTTATACATACCTTTTTCCTGAGAACTGTAACCAGTTGTGCATGGTTTGTGACAGATATTTCAATGTAATAGTCAATATCATGTTCTCCTACATCTTTTCCTGTATAAAGCCCTTCACTAGTTTTAACAGCTGGTACAACCTGAAAATGTCTGTGATAACACCCTTCAAAATTTGTACAGTAACAGTTAGCTCCCCTTGGGTAAGTTCCATAAGTTGTCTGACATGCAGTTTCATCCTGAAAAGTCAGTCAATAGAAATTAATTGTCCGAAAATAAAAACATATTATTTAATTCAATCTAAGAATGATGTGTATTCAAACTGAGGTAAAGATTTACATCAATAGGCTGTTGACCGTTACCATTGCAAAGCATTGATTTATAGGTTTCATAACGAATAAGAATTTGATACCCTTCATATCAACTTGAGTTATTTACCCTTCAGAATATATGGAATCATGTTTGAAAAAAAGAAAATTTTTGAGTGAAACGTGTGAGTGTTTTGATTATGACTGAAGAAATCACAAATCTCCATTGCCAAGGGGAAAATGTTACCTTTGAAATCATTGACCCAACAAATAGCCAATGGAAATGTCCCAATTTCGTAACAAATGAATTTGCCGTATATGCCAATCAAATTAACACATTTTTAGTATCACTTATTGGTATCACAATCAATTCAGTGTGATATGAGAAAAATCTCTTTGTGTGGTAAATACAAAAAAGGCCATAACCATAAGAGAAATTACTGTAAAATACCAGAATTTTTTTTCAAAATCTCAATAGGGATTTTCCACAGAAGTGGACCTAATGCATATCTGTATTTTTTGGTCTTATAAACTATGATTTTGAATGAGTATGGATATTCTTAAATTCCACTTTCACTCCTTTTAATGTTTTGTTCAGGTGTTCAGTTCATAAAATGGATTTCAAGAGTTGTGGTAAACAGTTCTCATATGGGGAATTCCTCATAAGTTAGCAAATTTGGCAGGTGTATACTATTGATCATATCTATTACTTTTACATACTATTAATACTTACAGCAGCATGTTGTGTTCCTAGATTTTCATGCCCATGTAGTATATCTGTCCCTGTATAATTATCAAAGATCCTCCAGTACAGAGAGTCTACACCGCTGTGGTAATCATAGGCTATCCATTCAATCCTAAAATGTGTATAAATCATTGAAAAAAGTTATCACTTTAAAAGTGGCTTTTCTAAATTGGTTTCACTTAATTTAATTTAGGCAGGTTTTGTAATTGAACAGTTTAGTATGAATTGGACCATAGATGTTTTTGACAGCATTTTGTTATCTTGCCCAAACTCAACATAACATCACATCAAAAAATCCTATTTTTATTGTTTCCATGTTTATCTGTTCATTGAACAAGAATATGGATAGAGAAGCAGCAAGTGAAATTTGTCTACGTCTTTTTCGTCTTATTTATCAACTTTTAAGTTTGAAATGCGTTTCGTTTTGTTTTTTTATAAACATATATATTTTTTTTTATAGATGTCATAGTCAAAGCAATTTAAACACTAATGGACTAAAATGTCAATTCCAATGTGACTTTGCTTTAGTTGTCAAAAGATTTAGTAATATTTGAACTTTACTTAATGATATAGTTTAATTCTTCACATCTCTAGTTGAGAATATAAGTAAAATTTAGAATCAAAATTATTGAAAATATTTCATCAAGTTTACAGTTGTAGATTTAATACAACAAGTATAAGCAACAAGAATATATTCAATTCAAAATTTAAAGCTTCGCTTACATACTTTGTATTGCACAACTTACAACATTTGCAGACAACAATATAAGCAAATGATCAAATTGGTAGGAAAATTACACCCATAATGATTTTTTCTACTTGTTTGGTTTTTATACCTTACACACTTACGTCATTTCAGTTAGTTCTTTTAAATAATGTACAGAAACATTTAACCGATCTCCTCTTGTCAACCATAGATCATCTATAAAAGGGGGTGTGGTATCTCTATACATAATGATAGTGTCATTGTTAGAGCTACCAATCAAATCTGTTGCTTTTACTGTCATTATCAGTTTGTCTCCGTCATTCCAAACTACATTCAGGACCTCAGATTGTACATGTATATCAGGCATAATAGTCAAATTCTGAGAATCACTAAGGTTTGGAGAAAAAACATCATATCCAACTTCAAATTGCACAATCCCTGAAAATGTAACAAAAATTGAACATTTATATTTTCTGCTCTATCATTTTTTTGCTTTATTACGTCCTTCCAATTATGAAAACTTTATTATTTACCATTAAGCTTGGTACGGGTTAAAACAAATAAAATGTAGGAATGTTTAGATATAAAGATTTCAACAATAAATCAGAGCAAGACTGAGAAATCTCAGACATCTAATAGAAAGACTATAAGTTTCTGTCTGAGAGATACCTGGATATCTTAATCTTAGGAATCTAATATTTCCTAGTCTTGTTGGGGTTTGATTATTTTTCTCAACCAAATGCAACACTGAAATGGATAAAAAAAAATGCATTAGTAAATAGCATGAAAAGAGTTGTTTAAGTGAGAAAGTAAGGATCTTACACCCTCAATCTTACTAGACAAATAAAATCTCAGCCTCCCAATGGTTCAGTTTTTAACCTGTCTAGTCTTATTTGAGTCAGACGTTGATGATAAACTAACCTAGGTGTTTTTTACATTTCTCTCTCTCTTTTTTGTTTTAATTATGACCAGTAATTGATTCTCTTATTCACCCCTTCAACATTCAAATGGATTCAAGTGCTCAAAAATCCAGGTTAAAAGGGGCTGGTATGCTGTTTCATCGTGACAGTTTGGCGACACAGGAGTATATTTAGTCCAAAACAATCACACGACAAATCAATAGATATACAATATATGAAAAATTATTTGCACCTGCTTAAAAGAAAGGAAAAAAAGTGACTTAAACATTAATCTTAAAATAATTATTTGCTCAACATAAAAGTAGGGTAACAGGAAATTTTATTTGTATACTATTATACATAGCAAAAATTTGTTGGTATTCATATTGTTTGTACAATAGTTTACTAATTACAGGATTCAAAACATAAAATGGTCTTTAGTCTACATATTAAAATCCCACCTTACTATCAGCATAAAAAATTATTCAGGAGTTTGGCCATACAACTTGAGCTTAAGGATGTTTGCTACTCTGTTTCAAAATAACAAGCTTTTTAAAAGACTGTTATAAATTGAAAGCATAAGAATAAAGGAACTAAAAAAGCAGAAAATATTGAAGGGTCCGTGTCCTTCTTTTAGAGATATAAGCCATTGAAAATTAGGCTGGAAAAGATTCTCTCTAGATTTTTCATCCATTTATCATTGGTACCTTTTTTCTTTCAAAAACTACAAAAAAAAATATTTTCAAAGATTTTCAAATATGGCTTTTTAAACTATATGTAATAAAATTATGAAAAGAAATGTAGAGGATTGCAGGCAAAATTTATAATGGCACTACATGGATAAAACCAGACGATTTCGAATATCTGGCAAAAATTCAAAAACAAGAGGAGCGAACATCCTAAATCAAATGATTGATTAACATTGCATAAAAAGACTTCATTGGACGAGCTAACCCAATGAATGCTATAAAAAACAGGTCAAACAGTGAAGTTCTAAAAGCAATATTGTACTGTGTATCTATAATTATTGGTTGGATACCAGTTTTCATGGATTTTGTGAGTACAGGTGAACCATGAATTTAAATGTTCAACAAATGACACATTCTCTATAAGGTTGTAAGCAGACTTTGGCAAAACCACGAAATTAAATATCCACGAAACTGCAAGTTTTCCTCAACCCATGAAAACTGGAACCCATGAAAATAAATAAATCCATAGTATTATAAAACATATCATTATTTTTATTTACTTTTAAGCAAGTTGAAATGACTATAACCTAAATGACTATATACCTTGTGTATTATCTATAGCTGCTGTAGTTCTATCTCCATCAAATTCCTCATACACAGTTGAAGCTGTATATGGTTCTATTATCGCTAACCATTTATTTGTCTCATGACGAGTATTAATGAAATGATCTGTCCATGTAATTGTTACTGTACTGGTATCCTGTACAACCCATTTAAAGGAACTATTTTTAGAAGCTTGGGAACATTCCATGGGATTAGCATCTTGAATGTCAACAGCTGATTCATCATCAAAAAATAACAAGGTCCTTGCTGTTCTGGAGTTTCCAACATTTTCAGCATTGTTTGTGTTGTCAAAAGCAGAAAGATGAATAGAGTATACACCTGGTTTTGTAAGTTTAAATCTACCCTATATATATAAAAAAAAATACCACTATTAAATAAATCATATAATTCTATTCAGAACTTGTCACTTGAAAAACAAATTCTGTAAGGTAATAGTGTAGCAAAATAAATGAATACACATTTTCTGAACTTACAGCTTCAAAATTTCAAAACTACAGTAAAAAATTGAATATAAAGGTCAACCTCCAGGACCTGAGAAAATTGACCTTAGAGTAGAGGTGACCATTGATTATCAAAATGTTATTACAGAAGGACAAAAATGTGGATAGTGTCCACATGTGGACACAGATGATGCCCCCGCTTGCATATCATATAGTTATAAAGGGACATAACTAAAGAACGGTAAAAGTGACGCTACCCAAATTTGAACTTGATCTGAGTTTTGTGGTAATAAGCATTGTGTGTCAGTCTCATAACATTTGGTTGAGACTAACTTAAGTAGAGAACAGAAACTAAAAATTCAGCAATTTTTCTATTTGTAAACACGCATAACTCTGGAACGGTAAGTTTTATAACATTTGGTTGAGACAAACTAAAGTTAGAGAACGAAAACGTAAAATTCAGCAATTTCTATGTTTATAAAGGGAGATAGCTCAAGAATGGTAAAAGTGTCGCCACCAAATTTCGTACTTAATCTGTATTATGTAGTAATAAACATTGTGTATAAGTTTCATAACATTTGGTTGAGGCAAACTAAAGATAGAAAACGGACACAAAAAATTTGTACTTGATCTTAGTTTTGTGGTAATGAATATTGCGTATAGGTTTCATAATATTTGGTTGGGGCAAACTTAAGTTACAGAATGGAAACTAAAAGTTTTGCAATCTTTCGATTTATAAAGGGGCATAACTCAATAATGGTTAAAGTTGATTCAACTATAATCATGGACAAAGGAAGATAACTCCAATTTTAAAAATTACTTGATATTTAGAAGAAAATAAAAATTTTGCAATTTTTCCATTTATAAAGGGGCATAACACTAGAACGGTTACAGTGACGCTACCCAAATTCAAACTTGATCTGTGTTTTGTGGTAATAAGCATTGTGTATAAGTTTCATAACATTTGGTTGAGGCAAACTTAAGTTAGAGAACGGAAACTAAAAATTTTGCAATTTTTCCATTTATAAAGGGACATAACTCTAGAACGGTTAAAGTGACGCCACCAAAATTCAAACTTGATCTGTGTTTTGTGGTAATAAGCATTGTGTATAAGTTTCATACCATTTGGTTGAGGCAAACTCAAGTTAGAGAACAGAAACCAATTTTGGGACATACTGATGTAGGGACGGACGTACGTACAGACGGACAAGGGTAAAACTTAATGCCCCCTCCGCTACGGCAGGGGCATAAAAAGAGGATAACCTGCCTAAACAGGTTTTCGTTTAATATAAGAGATCTGACTATATATCAATTGTATATTGGCTGTAATGTGAAAAGCATGCATTCAAGTTTGAATGTGTTTTGGTCTTGGTTGTATTATTTTCTTTCCATTTTTTACTGACAAAAATATATCAACTCCTAGATTTCAATGGCACCTTGTAATTGTTTGTAAAAGACAAGATCAAGTATTAATATTCCCTTACAGTACATCACATAAATTGATGACACTGAAAACTAGTATACTCTATTAAGAAATTGAGAACTACACTTCCTTTCAAGAATGCCCAATTAATTTCATCCTATACTCACAACTTGAAGTTTATTGTTGATTTTTCATTATTTTGTACAAAGAAAGAGATGTAGAGTAAATGTCAATGAGTCAGCAACCTTACAACTCAAATTGAAAAATTCAACTAGGGGTAAGAGAATCTTATAGTGTTTTAAAAGATTTGTTATTTCATGAACAGTAAAGTAAAAGACAATGACTGCATTAATAATACTGTATGTCAGCACAGCAAGGAACATTTTAAACCAATAATAATAACATATGAACATTAACACATATTTGGCCTCTATGACAAAGTAACAAATGTTGCTAGTGAGTTGAGAAGCCAAGACACTATATATTTTCTGTATTTATGACTTACAGTTGTATTGTTGATCACTTCATCCTCTATAGAAGCAGCTGTCTCTCCATCTGTCAGTTTGATATTGTCTTTTGTTTTTACTTCAAATACTTGGAACGTGAAGTCATTAATCCCAGACAAATCATCTAACCATCCTCCAAAGACAAAAACAACTTCAGGCTGGAATCAAAATGAATAAATAAGTCAAACTAATCAAAATTTTAAAACTTGACTAAAAATTCTGAAATTATTGCATCCATTTATTATCGCCATGTTAAACAATGGACACATAATGCGAGATTATTTATTGCGATTTCAGGATATGCTGCTTACAAATATGCAAGTTTTTATTTTTGAGAAACATATCCTGCCTTAATGTTTGCAATCATAAAAAAATTGCAACAATTTCTGAATTTACTGTATGCAATATATCAATTCAGCTGTAATTCATTATAAGTTAATTTCATCTGAATTTATAACTTGCATTAAAGTATAACCAACTAGTGTGCACCCCTCCCCAAAAAAAAATTTATTGCACAAATAGTTGATCCAAGAAAACTTTGAAAATTTTCCTTGTACAATGAGTGTTGTAAATTTCAAACTATTGACAAACAGGAAGTGGATACATGGCAGATGTAAAAATTGCTTTCTCAGTACAACTCAACATTACAAAGCTACAGACCAAATATTAAATCATTACTTTCGTAGAAGACATGTAACAAAGTTTTCTTTCTTTCAGACGGACAGATGGAAGGATGGAGTCAAGTGGTTATTAGAACTGCTTATGCCTTTTGCAATGCAGGTAAAAATAAGATGTGGTATGATTGCTAATGAAACAACCCTTCAACAGAGACCAAATGATGTAGAAGATAGCAACAATAGGTCATCGTACAATAATGAGCAAAACTCATACTCCATAACAGGCTATAAAAGGCCCTGCAATAAGAATTGTGACTATCATAAATATATTTTGTTGAATCAACAAAATATACATTTCAGAACAATTTCACATTCTTTAAATTCAATTTTGTAAGATCTGGAATTCATTCAATCTCAACTGCAGTCTGGTTCTTTTCATCAACATCTTCCTTTCCATGATGCCAAAGTTCCATTTTTACTGGCCATTTTTTTGTCTGACAAAAGCAATTAATTACATTCGGATAAAATTCAGTTTTAAACTATCAGTTATGAAGACAACATATTGTTATGTCAAATATTTTCAGCTCATTAGTCATGTTTCCCAAGGTAACTGAAAATAAGAGAGGAAGAAGTTGGCTGAATACCAAATATATATACATTTATCAAATCTGTTAAATAGCCAAACAGATAAAGGACAGTGGACTAGTCTATTCAAAATACAATGCTTTCTGGTAGGACTATACAAATGTCAGATAATTCATGTTAAGTAACTAATGTAAGTTGTGAATTCAGTTTTATTGGTTGGGTACTAATTTTTCGTGAATATAACGTGTAAAGGATGACCACAAATTCACTTTCTATCAGCTTACATCTATAAAAAAAGATCATTTTTCCTAAATGCATGATCATTGTTACATACGAAAAGTAAATAAATCCATAGGATCATAAAATAAAACAATGAAATGGAATAATGAAACATATTTCTAATAAACTTTAACAGACAGAAGTAAAAAAACAACTATTCACAAAAAACTAAGGCTGTGTGCAATTACATACATTAGAAGTGATGTCATCTGTAGCTAGCTCTACAGGATATGGACATGTAGAGGTACCAGTAGCCTCTATATCACTGCAATGGTATGGTGATTCTAGATCCCAATGGAATGTGAAGGACCTAGTTATTTCTTTGCCATTGTAGTACTTTTTGTCTGTTGTCACAACTGTTGGGAAGCTGCCTCTATTCTCAACATCCACATATCCACCATTGGTAGCACTTACTGTGTATACAATTCTGGGAAAAAAATCGTATAAGAATATCATAATTTCCATTTGTTAACAATGAATTTTCAAAACATGTGACTTACATATGAAGAAGTGTATATTCATTAAGTCATCATTAAATCTATTCTACATGATGGTTTTAATGATTTTAAGAACCTAAACATAATTTTCATAATAACATTAGTTATTTATATTTCTTAAAAATTCTGGTGACAAAATTAATGCACTTTATCACTATTTCAAATTGAATTGTTGCTGATGTCAAAGCATACAATACATGTATAAATAATAACAACACATTATTTTTAAATATTCTTTTTTTTCCATGTTATAGAAACAGGTATAAAAGAGAGGATCATTTGGGAAAAAGCTAAATCATTTTCAAGAATTTCATAATCTGAGGCCAGAATAGCCTGTTATTGTCTTCAATGATGCTTTGTATTGAAAGAACAAATTTGAATATAAAATAATGCCAAACTTTTGGCTGAATACGGTAATAATGTGGTATAATTTCACAGGACACTATTCAACTTAACTCATGTTCATCTCCTCTCTTGTGATATTCTACAGGCAATGTAGAAGCAGCATAAGTTTTTCCTTAACATTTTGGTAAGAAACTATACCTGACATTATGTTCTAAAGGCAACCAGTCTATCAGGGATACAGTTTCACTGCATTCAACATTATTTGGCGCTGTATCTCGATTAGCATCTGGACATTCTGTGACTTTTTCTGTGAAACTTCCTCCTAAATTATACGTAATTACAAAATTTTAGAAAGATAACTAACACATCCTATGCCCATGATAACTGTTCAAACTGTGATTTGAACATTTCAAAAAGTATTATTTTTAAGTGTTGTTTTTTGCCAGTCCCATAAAAAAATCTTTCTTGAAATACAATAAAGAAACATATTAAAGGTATTTTGGGCTGGACAACACATGTCTCGATGGTTTTTTCCTATTAAAACAGTTACTATAAGAAATTCTACCTTATCTGCACTTATTATTTATACATTTTATTAAATTCCAAATCTCAATAAAGCTTGGATGGATAGAGGAATTGATGTTTAATGTCCAGTGGCAAATTTACCTATCAGGATCAGAAAATGTTAATGTGATATGAATATGAATTTTGGTTTGTATCGTAATGACAAACTGAGTAGGATTTTCAATATGGCAGTCGACAATGTAGCAGTTCAGATGAAAGTATGTCACCCTTCTCTGACATTTTTTTCTGATACCAAGCCAACCAATCTTTGTGATTAGCAGAGAAGCTGAAAATATCAACTTACAAGGCATTGGTTTGACCTAGCCATTGATCTACCAAAGACCTCTAATACTTGAGGCAACAACCCTACTAGACAACTGAGGCGGTTGCATATAGGTTGATGAAGGAAAATCAAATTCTTTACCTTTAAATAAACCTAGAGTATATCTCATATCAGCTAATCCTACTTTAAAATCAGTAACATAATGGTCAGCATCCCTTGTATCAGTAGGTGGCGTATATGTTGCTGTCAAGGCTAAATCTACTCTCGTGAAGTCAGCCTCGTTTGTCCAGATTGTCTGATTACTGCCTGCCTCATTTGGATCATTCTTTGCAGTTTTTGTTTCATCATCATTAAAAAATACTGCACTGTTTAAAGTTATATTTGGTGCATTTAAAACTGAAAAAAAATAATAGAAGTTAAAATTTAATAAATATCATAAAAAGAGAGGCAAAAGATAGCAAAGGGACATTCAAACTCATTAGTTGAAAATAAACTGACAAGGCACTGGCAAAAAACGAAAAAGACCAAAAGACAAACAACAGTATACAATCAAAGAGCTGATTGCTCTGAGGTGGAAGAAGATGCATAAAAGGTAACTTGAATTACCATAAAAGCAGCCTACACCATCCCAGCCTGCTTTGTCCCATTATTGCTTTCGACGTATTTTTTTCTTCCAAAAATAATAATACTCATAACTCAACCAAAACTCACTATACTTAGGATAAAAATCTGCAAATACTGTTTATTCAAAGTAAATTTTCTATAACTAAATTCCATACATTCGTCTCAGCATGGTCAACTTGATGCAATGCAATTTCGCCAAGCAATTATAACAGTAATTGATTTGGTTTCACTTGAAAGTTTTCTGTCAAAGGCAGATAGTTAACGTAAAAAAAAAAAAAGATTTTAGTCAAGTTTGCTTAAATTAAATAAACATATATTGAAAAATTCTAAATATATCCAATGCAGATATGTGTCTGGCCAAGGATTGACCGATCATGTCAGGTGTTGACCTAGCTATGTTATTGCGATAATTTAGAGTCAAACGATCACGTGAATCTGCTGATGTTTCACACATCAAACGATGCACCGTCAGTTGACAGAAGCACGTGTGCGCTTGACTCTTTTAGCATTTCATACCCGTTCATTTAAAGTGCTTGACCCATATATCATATTTGTTTTTCATCTAATATTTTTACACAAAAGTATGAGGGTAGGTAGGAAAGGCATTTTCCGTCAGGAGTCACACAGTCCTTTTCTGAAATTTTTCATGAAAATAAAACGAATTACTGGTTCCATACTCAAGCCTCGATAATGTGTCATTTTTGTGTGTACCTTAATGACGAATAACGGTAAAGAGCTGGACTAATCAGTTGTTAAATCCCATTTTTTATCACTTCTAAAACTTTGAAACGTATTAAGGCAATAAAGGCAATCATTGGGGACATTCCAACAATGACCAACATGAAAACTACGTACTTTCGAAATGGAATCTGTCAACAGACATTAGTTTGTAAATTGATATTTCTGTCAACAGACGGTGCATCGTTTGATGTGTAAAACACTAGCAGATTCACGTGTGCGCTTGACTCTTTATTATCACAATAACATACTTAAGATATTATAACTTTAGTTTTAAAAAACACATGTTGTCTAAAACTGGAATATGACTTAATTGATTGCATTAAAGATCTGAACGCAGACAGAACAACTATATCCGTGTATTTTTTCAAGCATCATTGATTTGAAGTCGTACTGTCCACGTATATACTTGACTTTAACTCAAGATGGATTGTATGAATATATGACAATTCTGTTTATCATTATTTTGAAACTCTCTGATGCACAATTAAATTTCCCATTTGTGCACATGCGCAGATACGTAACCAACGTGGTTTAAATTGACCCGAATAATCCAGTTGTTTTATTCCGATAATTCCAATTATTAATCTACCAAAGACAATTATTACAACAATCAGTGAGAATTATTATCATGACCCACGATAAAAGTAAGGAGAAGTAACCCAGGGTGAACGTACTCTATGGGGACGAACTCAGGGCGAATGGACCAAGGGTTAACATGTAATCAGGGCGAACCGACCCGATACCAAATTCACGCATGCGTACTACAAACTCTACTTTAAAGACATCCGGTTACAAGTTAACAAATAACGTTCATGTAAGATGAGATGAAATCTAATAATTTACATAAATAAAAGGGTTGATATTAATACATAAAAACATGAGAAATTATAACACTAACGATAGTGATCGTTTTTCAAGCCTAACTAATAAATTAAATGATGCAGATGCTTAGATCATGTGTAAACATTGGTGTCAAGATATGGCACGGAAGTTGTTATGAAATTGTAAAGCACAGAAAGGGATACGGCATACGTCCTGGTGACGGTTCAATGATTTTACAGCCGGCAGTAAAGGCTTTCAGAAGACTTGAAGTCTTCTTCCACCAAAAAAAAACAACATAGAAAACTAAAGACAAGAGCAATACAAACCACACCAAAAACTGGGGGTGATCTCAGGTACTCCAGAGGTAAGCAGATACTGCTTCACATGAAACACAAAGACTATAACAATCCTACAATTTCTTTGAATTGAACAAAATAGTTTAAATGAATGCCACACCCCTTCCTTCAAAATAATGAAAGGACTCTCTACTATCAACAAAAGTAGGTCATCCATAAAACAAACTCATGATTTTACTCATGAACCTAAAAACAACAAAATATGTGCAAGCAAATATTTTTTTTGACCAAGTACAATTATCTTGAATTATAACAATTGAATTTGTTTTTATAAAATCACTTGATTATCTTCGAGGTAAAAAATTTAGCTGAGCATCTATATAAGATTAATCACTTAGTTTTGTAACACATAATGTGTATCGGGTCCAATAATTATAATATGTATCAATACAAAAGGCAAAATATGTGTCTCCTCAAAAACAAAAATATGTGTCTACTCAAACACCAAAACATGTGTCTACTCAAGAACCAAATTTGTGTCTACTCAAACACCAAAACATGTGTCTACTCAAACACCAAAATTGTGTCTACTCAGGAACCAAAATATGTGTCTATTCAAACACCAAAATGTGTGTCTACTCAAACACCAAAATTGTGTCTACTCAAACACCAAAATTATGTCTACTCAAGAACCAAAATATGTGTCTATTCAAACACCAAAATTGCATCTACTCAAACACCAAATTTGTGTCTACTCAATCACCAAAATATGTGTCTACTCAAACACCAAAATATGTGTCTACTCAAACACCAAAAGATGTATCTACTCAAACACCAAAATTGTGTCTACTCAAACACTAAAATATGTGTCTACTCAAACACCAAATTTGTGTTTACTCAAACTACAAAAATGTGTTTACTTAAATACTGAATGTATTCTACTAAAACTTACTGTTTTCACAATTATCACCACCAAAGTTATCAGCACATACACATTCTGTAGCTAGATCATTGGTTCCTGTACCACACACACCAGGATAACAATAGGTACTATCGACTGCCCAGGAACACACCTCTGAAAAGTTGATATAAAAATTATTAAAATAAAAAATTGAGATGATATGTTATTTGTACCACACACAACTGGTTATAATTACTGTAAATTCAGTAATTTTTGTGATGTTTTGATAACTATGAAAATTGAGATGGGATAGGATAACACAAAAATGAAAAAAATTTTTTTTATTTTGATAGCAATTTTTTCATCTTTTATAAAAAAAATAAGTAAAAACACGCTATATGCAACAATTTAGGTCCTGTACGTGTCACAGTAAAAACAAAAACAAATTTATACAGCAAATAAATAAATTGATTGTTTGTTGGTTGCTACACTTCCAGCGGCAAATAGTTTATGCATCAAACAAATAATATATAAACATGAGAAAATATACATCTGAATCAATTTCATTTAAACAAATGTCATAAAATTTTGATCAGACTTAAAACTCTTTACCCTACTGTTACAAAACTTGCATTGGGTGTCTTTGTCATCATAAATGTTTTTTATTCATTCTATTATTTTCCATTCAAATGATAGTATAATGGTTTTAATGTTATATGATTGGTAACACAACTTTTCTTTGGTTAGTTCTGCTGTCAATTCCACAGTTCATGGTCAGAGCCATTGGCAACAATTAACAATTGCAAGCAAAGTTTCGGTATAAATGTAGTAAATTGTTATTAGAATAGGAAAAACAGTACTGTGTTTCAAGAGTTGCTACTGTCATGATTGGGGATTTTATTATCTGTTATACCATCTCAGCTCCACGTTACCAATAAAACGACATTTGCAACTGTTGACAATGGCAACTCTTCATGCACAGTATTGCTAAATACAGCTGCAAGTAAGGATTTAACTGTATTTTGATTTGATGTTATCAAACTATGAATTTCTTAAGGACATACTGTGACTTATAATTGCTTACATCTATGTCCTTTTGTCTCTAGTGGATAGTGTACATTCAGATATTATTGCAAATAATGAGAAGTGGTGAGTCAGCAAGAAAAAGAACTGAAATCTGACACATATATCTGTATGCAGCTTTTCCTGTAATCACAATTATTATTTTCACATTTTTGGCCTGTCATGTTGAAATTGCAATAATAAATGCACATATCATTTCTGAATTTACAGTGATATACCACATCTTTTCAATTTTTGTATGACTTTCTTACAGTAATAAACTATATAATTCCTTACTGTCACATTGAGTGCCATTACTGATTTCATGTGTGTATGTCCTGTAGTACTGTCTTCTATCAATATCTCCATCACACCACTTACATACTGTATCACTTAATGTTGTGCAAGTTCTGTGGTTACACTTAGTTATTTCACCACAAACTACAAAATATCATTTACTCTCTAATGTATATATTCAAATAGGAAAATAATTCTCATCTTTTTCTCCCCATTACTTCATACTACATTTTATGACCATCTTTAAAGTTATTATTTAACTATCAGCTGTTGACACAGTGACATCTTGCTTTTTGTAATTTTGATAGTAAAATGCAAATGTTGAAATTAAAATGGAAATATCTAAACATGTAAACTATGCAAAATATTCAGTCAATGAACCATGACTGAAGGGGTAGGACCAAATAACCTCTATGGAAATGAGAAATGCCAATGCTTATAAACCTGTATATCAAATACCATTGACTTTTCATAAGTGGTTCCTTTTAAACTAACCTAAACACAAACTTCAACTTGTAAAATACGCAAGTTTTAAAGTAAAAAAAATCGTGACGATAGGGCATGGCCATGCAATCTCCATCAAAATGAGACTTGCAAATGCTTATACAATGCATACCAAGGAGGAGCCAAATAATCTCCATGAAAATGAAATGTGTGTATGCTTATACTACTGCATACCAAATATCAAGGACCTCCCACATTTTTAAATTAGTAATAAGAAAGGACAAACAAATCTTTTTGAATATGCATTTTTCACTAAACTCTTCATTACTCAAATTCCCAGTCAAATGATTACCAATCAGATCAAATATGAATTTGTTGGTTCCATCCAACAAGTTACTAGATTACTTGTTTGCATTCATTATTTATTTTCTTCAGCTTCTCCAAAATTTCATCTTCCCTAGCCTAGGCTTACCATCCAGTCCCCTTCTCTCTAACTTTGGCAGATTAAGATGGAATTTCAGATCCACGAGGTAATGATTTCCATTGGTCGCAGTTATAACTGGCTATATCCAATCAAAAAGCCCCTATGATCACTTTTAAATGTAGAAAATGTAAATAAACAATTGCCAAGTGCTGATTGTGCAACAAGTCTATACCCCAAAAACATAGAACAATATTTAGTGACAATTTTAAAGTTCTTAATCAACTAAATGAAGTTCTTGAGTATGTTTCTAGTGGAAATGTTGGAATGTCAACGTATATTTTTCGGTTCCTGATTCACGAAATTTGTAAACACTAGACACAACCATTTTTACACCTCCACACTGAAGAGAGTTCAAGTGCTGCCATTGGTCAAGAATGATTTAGTCGGAATGGATGTGACTTTTATCTACCGTTAGATGGCGCAGCATTGTAATCACAAATGTTGGCTTAATCAGCCAAGGGTGGATAGGAGGGGACTGGATCGTAACCCTTGGCTAGCAAAGATGCCAAAATTTAGGATAATAATGAAAAATATATTCCTTCATATCAAAGAAAACTTCTACTATGTAGCATAATGGGAAAGTCATATCTAGTTATTTAAGTGTATTCAAACACCCAATAAAGAGCTTTCTACTCACTTTCACAATAAGGTCCATTTGAATAAAATCCCTCGTTACAACCGCTACAAGTATCTGGTGCATCACATGTTCCACCACTGTCATACTGTAATCATAATTAGTAATATTGATCACAAAATATTTACCCTATCAGCTATGTTTTTTCTATCTTTTTTTGAGTGCCGATAAATAAAATGCAATCATCATTATCAGTAAAAAGATAAATTATTTTCTACCTCTCATTAAACAACTCATTTCTTGGGTTGTCTTCCAAAGTGATCTGAAATGTACCTACTTACTGTTCAGCAAAAAAATCATGCAACTTCCATAACTAAAATCAAGTATAACAAGTGAAACTGCGAGCTACTGCTCACTGATGATACCCCCAGCCCAAATATGCATTTGTTGTTGAGTGATGAATCTGAAAATGCATCACAGGGTATAGCTGACTTCTATAAACCCTGAAACCAAATTTCCAGAATCCTTATGATGTAGTTCCTGAGAAAGATGCGACGAAAAATATTCATGGGATGGACGGAAGGACGGACAGACAGAGGTAAAACAGTATATCCCCACTTTTTTAAAGCGGGGATATAAAAATTTAATCCTCAGTTATATATATTTAAAATTGAGAATGGAAATGGGGAATGCGTCAAAAAGCAGAAAACAGCCCAAGGCCACCAATAGGTCTTCAACACAGCAAGAAAATCCTGCAACTGGAGGCGGGCTTCAGCTGGTCCCTAAACAATAGTATAGAAATATATATGCCTTATAAACTGTTAACACAGAGATATGTCTCGCCTTTTTGTAATTTTGATAATGCAAATGTTGAAATTAAAATAGCAATACTTTAACATGTAAGTTATGCAAATATTCAAGTCAGTGATCCATGACTGAAGGTACATGGCTAAACAATCTGCATGGAAATGAGATCTGCCAATGCTAATACAACTGCATACCAAATACTTATCATAAGTAGTTCCCTTTAAACAATCCCAAACACAAACATTAACTTGTAAATTATGTTAAAGTTTCAAAGTCAATAAACCATGATGAGGGGGTGGGGCTACATAATCTCCATGCTAACGAGACTTGCAAATGCCAATAAATTTGCATACGAAATATGATTGTACATAATACATGTAAACTAAGCAAAATATTAAAGTCAACAGACCATGACTGAGGGGGCAGGGCCAAATAATCTCCATGGAAATGAAATGTGCCAATGTTAATACAACTGCATCAAGGCTTCCAAAACGGTCATATATTCCGGACATTTGTATAATGTCCGGTAAAAGTCCGGCTGGGCAAAGCACGAAACGGTCATCTACTTTTTAGATTTCAAGGCTTTCTTAAGAGACTGTCATTTTAACATAATTCGTGATCTTTTTGACCCAACCTTTTGCCTTTAACAGCCACACATTTCCGGTCATAAAAGTGACATGATCATTAAGTACTATCAAAACAACCCCTATTTTAATACCTTCTCATTTTAATCAAGGCTAATTAGTTGTCGAACAGCTGAAATTTACCTGTTCAGGTGACAGGTAAACTTTTTTTAACCGGACATTGATCGGTCTATTCAAAGTTATTTTCTTACATTTCACCGGTTTGCATCTAATAGACGTATTTACACTTGTACGCAAATTTGTCCGCCATTACGTAAAATCAATCAGGTTCCCGTAAACTTTGACATCATAATTCAAAACATTTGACGTCACAATTAAAAAGTGATTGTTGCCTGACGTCAAAAGGTGATTCGGAGTAGATCTAAGGTCATTCGGAGGCAAAATGTAGCTAAATACCAAAAGTGTAAATACATTTATTATATAGTCAAAAAGATTTAAATTATCAGAAATACATTTACAAATAAGATTTGATGAAAAAATTAAAGAAGGTGAAAATGAAAAATCGTCATAACCACCTTGTTTGAACCAGAGACATGTCTCTGTTTGAACTAGTACACGTGTGCGCATGTGCATGTGCGCAAGTGTGAAATTTAATTATGCATCCTAATTTCTTTAAAAAAAAGCTTAAATTGTCATTGATACCTTTATCTCACGTTTATTTCGAATATTTTCTTGAAGAAATAACGTAGAATGAGCTACTTACACTCATTCATGCTTTGCAAAAGTACACGGAATTTACGTATCCGTCTCTGGTCCATGTTTTACCATTGTCAAGATAACATCCGGTTTCAGATTTAAAAACGAAAGTAAAGTTTTTGACAACGTTATTTTGCACAAATAAAGAGTTTAAGGCAGATATAAGTACGCTGATGTTGCACACTTCGGATGATGCACTGCCAATTTAACAGTTTAAGTCAGAACTTCGAATTTGAATCAAAGAAAGTTTAATATCGTTTTTTTTTAAATATCAATGATTGGGATGGCCAACTCCGCAACTGATTACCATAATTGCCTTTTGTTTATTTAGTCTTAAGGGATTAAAATCGGGATAATATAGAAAATGTGCGGCTGGCTAAAAATAATTTTGGAAGCCCTGAACTGCATACCAAATATCATTGACCTACCACTAGTGGTTTCCCATAAACTAGACCTAATCACAAACTAATACATTGATGACGCCGCCGCCGCCGCCGGAAACAGCATACCTATGTCTCGCTTTTTGACTCTGTCACGGCGAGACAAAAAGTGTACAAAACAACATATATATATATTACAGTACTAATTGGAACTCTGTAGGATCCAGAATCCAAATAGAACAAATTGGAATTCCAATATCTTCAAGGAGAAATTGGAATTCTGATTTATATTAATTAAAATCCAGTACAAATCAGAATTCCAATAGTTTTCTAGTAGAAATTGGGATATCCAGATTTGTACATTGTACTTGAAAAATTCTGGATTGTACTTAACATGATCAAGGAGTTGGTTCACTAACTCATAGTTTTGGCCCTAAAAGTCTGAAAACTTTTAACTGTGATAATGTTGTTAAATTTTGATGAAAGCATATGTTTAAATTAAATATCCAATTGTTTCAGTTAAGGAAAATTTTCACCAATTGCTTCATTAGTGATGTATTCAAGACATCATAAAAAAGGGGAATTTTGTTAGAACCTTATTTTTTAACACAATTAAGAAAAAATAATGATAGTATTCTGAAAAATTATCAGTGGTACCACCCCTAGCCAACAAATTTTTCAGCTGAAAAAGTCTTTATCCAATGTGAAATCATGGTCAAAGTCGAAAAGGAGAACAAATTTCTAGAAATCTTGACTAAAATGGATTCCATTTTTATTTCAGGCTAATATATTTATAATATATGAAGCAGATATACAATTTTATTTATTATACTTTAAACAATAATACATTTAGTAATACATTCACATTAGATTTACTAAAAAACAGTTGAAGTTTAAAAAAAATACACCTTCATGGGTCCATTTATTGGGGTTACTGGCTCTACTCCTTTCTATTAGGATCCAGGATATTACTAAAATCAAAATTTAAGTTAGTTTGATTCTGGATTCTATTGGATTTTTTAAAACTTATTTATAATTTTTAACTGATGCACTTGATAAGTAGAAAAACATAACAAATGATAATATAATGCCACTTTCAATACTTATTTACTAACAAAATATGGTAAAATACATAAACTTTCATGAAATTCATTTATTCATAATAACATTTACTTATATTTGGTTTATGGTTTTTTGATAAACAAACAATTTTGACTTTAAAACAAGAAATAGTTCAGGGAAACAGATTTTGCGTAAATAAAAAAAGTATCGTCTTACCTAGACAGAAGGTAATGAATGCTTTTGCAGCAGCCGGCCCTCAGTCATCAGCATTTTTCTGATGCATATACCTACTATTTTCTACTTTTAGACAGGTTTGGGGTTATTTTTATGTATACATATTATAAGCAGCAATATACAGGGAGGATTTGGGGGGGGGGGGGGGGGGGGGGGGGGAACATTGATGTGGATTAATGCTTAAATATCTGAATATTAATTTTAGACATTTTTGAAATTTCAACATGTTTTTGTTAATATTTGTATCAATAGATATATGAAGATGTGGTATGAGTGCCAATGAGACAACTCTCCATCCAAGTCACAATTTGTAAAAGCAAACCATTATAGGTCAAAGTACGGTCTTCAACACGGAGCCTTGGCTCACACCGAACAGCAAGCTATAAAGGGCCCCAAAAATGACTAGTGTAAAACCATTCAAACAGGAAAACCAACAGTCTAATCTATATAAAAAATGAGAAACGAGAAACACTTATGAACCACATCAACAAACGACAACCACTGAACATCAGGTTCTTAACCCATCAACCATCATTTACATAAATGAATGAATTATTATCTGATAGACAATATTTAAAATACTTATAATTACTCAAAATTTGCCATGAGTGTTAAACCATATGAAGGTATCTATAATTTGATCAAATGTTCTGAAATAATGTACACTTAAGTGTTGTTAAAACCTTCTGTAAAATATTGTTTGTTTGCCCTTTTCCTACCCTATTGTTTGAAACATGGTAGGTAGGTAGGTAAAATATTTTATTTTATTTGACAGATATGAAATCTGCATGATATCATTTTTGTCTGTACTGCTTTTGTTTATGTATGCTTTGTTTGGTATCTTCTTTAAAATAGCTTTAGATCCTTTCATATGCATCATCTGCATTCAACTTTTTAGTATAAAATTGAGAATGGAAATGGGGAATGTGTCAAAGAGACATCAACCCGACCATAGAGCAGACAACAGCCGAAGGCCACCAATGGGTCTTCAATGCAGCGAGAAACTCCCACACCCGGAGGCGTCCTTCAGCTGGCCCCTCAACAAATATGTATACTAGTTCAGTGATAATGGATGTCATACTTAACTCCAAATTATACACAGGAAACTAAAATTAATCAAAGTGCGAAAGCGCTGTAAAGGCAGTTAATTACAGGTTGTGTGTATTTTTAGTCCAGTTATATCATTATCTTGCATAGTACATTGTACTTTGATATCAGAGGTGGCTTTCAGTATTTAAGATTTAGAGTTCTCTAATGATATTGAACAAGTTTTATGAATGTCATATTCTGAGCACTATATGAAGGCGATTGTTCTCACTTGTTTA